TTAAAAAATATCATATCCAATACGGACATGTTTTTTTTTGAATTGTAAACAATACATTACATATATATATATATATATAGATATTAATATATACAGTATTGTGGGTTTATTACAGTCTTAAAACGTTGAACCGTTTATATTAGTGATATTTCCTCTCTTGTTTCTTGTTTCTCTTTTTACCTGGCCTAAATTGGAAACTATCTTGTGCAATAATAGCAAATTAATTACCTAAATTTCACTTTAAATCATCTCTTAATCGGTATATATAACCGTAGAAAATAGACGTAGCATAAAATGGAAAAAGAGACAAGAAAATTTTCCTCTAGATGGTGCTATTGTATAACAAATAGCTCTTATGAAAACAAGTATCTTAGCTACGAATAAGACGTAATGCTAAAGAAGGGTAAATTATCGATGTATTTGTTTGTAATGGTTTATAGATGTAAGAGATATTTTCAAAGAATTAGCCTATAATGTAAAGGCTTTTTAATAATGAACAAAATTAGTATAGCATATACACATTTAATCGTCTTGTCTCAACTTATTATCAATATGAATTAGGTTATTTAAGAACAGATGACGCACAACTTTAGACATTATTAAAATTTAGCTGTTCAAAACAACAGTAGACTCTTGTAGTAAACTGGTCGTTAGGCGTACAATCCCTCTTTAGATTTTACATTTACACATCATATTAATATATAACAAGTTTGTATTGTATATCTATATGTTGCTTATAATATAATGTACGATAGTAATACTTCTTTATATCCTTTGTTCACTCTTTTGCTTCATGCAAAAAGAGAAGAATCGACTTTTCAATTAACTTTTCACAGAAATTCTTTTCCATTCTGTTTGTCTTCTTTTTTTTTTTAAATTTTACTTTACCTGATGAAAAATAAAAGGACAAGAACTCTCTCTCTCTCTCTCTTTCTTTATTTCATCCAGGCAGGTTATAATCTCTTTTTAGGGATGCATTTTTTTATAACATAAAACTTGTATTATTATTAATTATTCATAAATTCTGAACGATTTACCTTTTGTTTGCGTAAATACGTCTGCTCTATTGTTGGTTTTACGTCCCTTTTAACTAGAGAATGTTATACAAACTAGACGCTGTACTAGTTTATATAGATTTGTAATATTCATAAATCTACCCAGACTATGGACCCACATTAATTCTTTACTAATTAGTTTTTTCTTCTATCATTATCAACGTTCAATTAATCTGATTTACCTTTATTCTGTCTTTAGAAAAGGTCGATGGATAATATTGATTTCACCTCTCATACTCTTTGTAAAGAAGCATAATATTGAAAGCATTCAATGGCTTTTTTTTATATTTTTTTAATTTTAAAAATAGATTGGAAAAAAATTTCAAGTACGTTAAATTCCTCGTGTGAATTTAGTAAAGTCAATGAAAACGTAGCTTCAGAAAAGGAATGTAAAAATTTTATATGCAATTGAAGTTTTTTTCATATATTAAAAATAAAATTGTAATATAAATGCGATAAATTAAAGGTAGGTAGTTAGGTAGAGACAGAGAGAGAGAGAGAGAGAGATAGAGAGATAGAGAGAGAGAGAGAGAGAGAGAAAAAAGGAAAAATTTTTTTTATATTCATTTCAACTTTTCTTTATAGTAGCAACAAGAAAATTTAATCATAAAAAGGAGAAAGAAAGTAATTACTTGTTAGAGAAAAGAATAGTCTTTTTTCTATCCGAATAAAAAAAAACAAAACAAAAGAAGGAAAAATGATAAAAAATTTATGCAATTTTACTGTTGAAGTATTAGACATAAAAAAGAAAACAACCATATAATCATATCTTCTTTTTCTTCTTTATGATCTTCATTTTTTTGTCTCCTTCATTCTCTTTCTTCTCTTCCGTTTTACTTTTCAAATAGGAAAATAATATGTTAACTATTAAAGTAAGACAAATATAATTATATATATATGAAAGAGTAAAGTAAAGATAATAATATATATAAAGAGAGATAAGAATAGAGAGACAGGGGGAGATTTACAAATATCTATCAGTTCTTAAACATGAACGTGTAAAGTAATACGAAGTATAATACATACATAAATACTTTTACATCTATATATATGTGTATGCTGTATATACTAATATGTACGCATATATCTATATTACATCTGCACAGGGGTATTTATTTGACATCAAACTGGGCGTGTTTAATTGTATGTATATTCTATACGTTTGAACATGTTACATACAAGAGAAAAAATGAGAGAAATAAGAGTCTTCTACTTGAAAATGATAGCAAAATCGAACACAAAAGGAAGACTAGTTTTCTCTAATTGAGAAAATCGATTTAAAGCAAATTAATTTAAAATTTTTATTGGCAAAACTGCTGAAAAGTTGTAAATTAAGAAAGAATTGATTAAGTGTCTGGTTGTAGTATATGGAATGTAATCGATTATAAGGAATCAATTTTCTCTGTTTACTGTACTGGCTTCTATCCGTAACGATCGTTGCAGTATTCTCTCCCCTTGTATGCTCTTTATGATTATGTTTTTCAACTATTCTCCCCTTCTATCATTAAGTGGCATTTTTTTTCCATTAACAGTGTAAAAATATCTTTATTTTAAAAATGAATTATAAAATACGATATCTTTTATAATCAAATATAAAATTACATTTAAACGCCAAAAATGATAATTAAGTCATCCATTTTCTAAAAAAAACTCGACATTACTTTATTCAATTTATCTTCTTATCAATTGATAAAGGAAAACTAGTCGTTACTTTTTGTTATCATTATATTTCTAATATATACATATCCTTTCTAATTATACCGTACATGTATCCAAACCCTTGTCTATCAATAAACCAACTGCTTTGCAAGGTCAATGTATTCAGCACAGGTAAAAAGAAAAAAATCGTTAAATATTCTTATGATTATCTAATATAATATTCGCATGTTTTAACATTTATAAGCTCTTGAACACTGCGGTTTTTAAATGATTTTTTAATTTATTATCATATTCTTTAGGTCGAAATTATGTCTTTGTACTTTTATAACATTATTGCTTGCCCTTAAACAACCTCTCATTCTATTTCCCTATGAATAGTAACATATATTTTATCCATGACATGCCAATGTCCTCCCTCCATTTCGTGTTTGCGTTGTAGAGTGATATTAGACAATATAAAACGTAGCTTAGTATCGGCGGATATAAGCTCGTATTTTTTTGTGTCTAATATTAATCTCTCAAGGTTGAGGATTTGAACCTTTTTAAAGATATTGTAGATTAATATATATTACCTATTAGAAAGCAGTATGGGGGTGGGTAGGGAGGGGGGCGAGAGAGAGAGAGAGAGAGAGAGAAAATTCGATCAATAGCTTACCTTAAAAAACTTATTGAAACTTGCAACGATTTATTGTTTGGTAAGTCGAATACTATGATAATAACCAAGTTATTTTTTTTTTCGCAATATTCCTAGTTAGTTAGAAGGGTATTGCATTTTTACCAAAGGTATAATTCATAAAAATTCATTCTGCAAACCTGAATTGAAAATATTAAATTGGAAAGTATGAATCATAAGAAAAATCATATCTTTATTCTTGTCGCCTACTCTTCCCAACCCTTTTGAGTTATTTTTGCTGATATACTCGAAAAGTTTTTTCGGTCAATAGCCTTAACTTTGTTCAGAATAGCGAACTCGTCTCTTTTTTATTCTTATTCTCAATTCCCCTTATTTGATTATTCATTCGATGACTAGAATTCTTGCACGATTTCTACCTTAAAGTAGAGAGGTTGAAGAGTCTGTATACAGCATACATTTATATGTGCGTAAATTATCTGATCCGATCTGTTTACTTGTTTATTCGAAGGAAAAATGTATAGATTGAGAAATACATTTTTTTAAATACACGACTTGCGTAGACTTGCAGACTCGTAGTTATGAATATATTAATATATATATATATATATATATATATATATACAGTATATTCAGGTGGAAAATAGAAGTGATAAATCCCTATTAACTAAAAATAGCATAAGTTTGTTATTTTCATATTTTATCTCTTTCTCTCTTATAGTGTATGCTTTTATTATTTAATAAAATATTGACTTATTTTTTGTTTTTAGTTGAAATCTTTTCCTTAACGCTGTTTCTTATTTTTGCTGTTTAAATAGCTATTCAATCATTTTTCTCTGTATGATATACATACATATATATATATGCTTCAAGCCTATCATAAATATAATATTGTTTAAGTGCAGTACCATTATATTCCTCTGTAAAAAATGATGTTGGATTAGGATAATATACTGGGAAAAACTTCTATATATATTCAAACAGTCGTGTTAAAATATTACATTATTCATAGTCAAACATTATTCGAAAGAGGTTATTTTTAAAAAAATGGGACGGGGGGAGAGAACACGGCCCTCTCTTTTTTTGAAAGAGATAATGGGCCATAAAAGGAGTGGCTACTAAAAGTAAGTTATACATTCGTATTAGTATCCTCTAGAAAGGCCGAAAAAGAATTAATATTAGATTTCGCTTAATTTCTTGTTGATTTATATTAAAACTATTTCCACATACATTTACTCATCAAAGTTATAATGAGTTGAACGTCATAAGAAATAATAGTCTGCTATCGATTTTCAAGTAAAAAGGTAAATATTTAAATAGAGTTCAAATGCTGATTGTCAAATTTACTTTATTATTCACAAAGGTATCATTCAACTTTTACAGTTGCCTTCAAATTTCAAATTAACTATAGGCCACAAAATCTAGGTAAAAAAGAGACGTTATTTTTAGAATAACAATTCAAAAAACTGGTTTAGGCCTCAAACGCTTTGGGAAACTGAATTGAAGTATGAAAAAGTAATACTATAGTTAAATTTATAATAAAACATAAATTATGAAAAAAAAGCAATTCATTATTATTCCTTAGCAGTTTTTTCATACCGTGTTACATATATATATACTGTATATACTGTATATATATATATATATATATATATTTATATATATATACTGTATATTTATATATTTATATTCTCATTTATTGATCAAAAAGAGAGGATTTTCGATAAAAGTATCCATAATTTTGAACTTACAATAAATGAACTAAAGAAGAAAAACACTGGAAAAATCTTTATAAAATGATTTTATGAAATCACAATATTTTACATGTATTTTTTAAAAAAAAAGTTACATATATTCTAAAAGCACATGCACAGACACATAGAAGACTATGATTGTATACGATACATATGAAATATGTGATAACACTGATCGCTTATTAAAGTTAATATATTCATATAATTGTTATCTAATTTGAAAGAATATTAAATTTTATCTAAGTTTTTAGAATATTAATGTTTAAAGGAAGAGAAAAAAAGTATCAAATATGAGAGAAAGAAACACTGCAAAAAACTTGGATCACAAAAGTTTTTCACTTAAAAATTACATAAAAAATTTTCTTAAAGCGACGCATCCGAGTACCACAGACATGCTAAATGTCATTTGTCCAACGCCAGCTATAAAAACGTTTTAATCAATTCATTAATATATGTTGTCTTTTTTTAAACTATATGTTATCTTACATGTATCTTTTTCTCCTTCCCGACATTTCAAATCATCACTTCCTGGGCATTTTTGACACTTTAGATCTTTTTTGCAATATTTACCGTCTTTATCATACGTAGCCATACATTCTTCGTCTTTTCCAACATTAACGGTGGCTAAACGATTAAAGGAAAGAGTTTAAGAGTTAGCGTTGCACAATTATTAACACAAGTAAGAAAAAAATATACCGTTTGCCGTCAAGCATTTTTTTACTTTATCTGACATATAGTAAACTTCCTTGGCCTCTGTATCTTTAGGACAGGTACATTTTTTTGGAGTACCTGTACCTGTACACTCCAAACCCATCATGGGATTACACGTCTTCTTGTCACAGTCACCGTCTAGTCCTGCGTCTAAGGAAGTTAAATAAAATGAAATAGATGGTTAATTAGAATTACATGTTAGAGCTATAGCAAATCTAGTCTAAGATAACAAACTCTGGCAATAATGTGCCTAAGAAAAATCTTGCTGAATAAGTAAAAAGAATAATACTGCTAATAATGGCATTAATAAAAAAAGAGATATTAAGCCTAAATATTGATTTAATGTTATTTTAAATAAGTTTTAACCTTAAAAAATATACTGATATTTAACTTATTGTCTTTAGTTAATGTCCTTACAATTTATTTAACTAGCATTGTTAACACTGCTCTCTTTAAAATAAAGGAAGTATCAAGGCGTTCCGCTGAGTGAATAATATGACTCATGTTCATATTCCTCTATTCAAAAGACACCTTAACCGACTGACACATTATTTCCTTTACCTTACTCATAAAGAATACAACTTTCCCCCTTTGTGTTTACAGACCGTAGGCCAAACCCTAAAAATGCGCGCCGACGTGGTCGACACATTCTCGGACGCCATATTTGAAATGGCAACGCCCTATCTTATATTCCATAAGAGAACCTTATTAAAAGTTAATTCTCCTATAAAACTAATATAAAAAATGTTAGATAAGTTAAAAATTTCCCTAAAAAGTTACCATTATAAATATTTCTTTTTAAATTAACCAGTGTTAACTCAACTTTCGCTCTTTTAAGAATAGACTGATGTAAACTTTTTAATATCTTCTTTTTATTATTATTTCAGTCTCTTTCCTCCTTTTAAAAATTAAATCAAATAGATTTCAAATATTCTCCTTCCCCTTCTTCTATCATTTCTTTCCTTCTCTCATTATTTTATTAGGAAAAATACTTATAGTACTACATTTCAAGTTAAGTACAAATTTTTTTAGCTTATTCATTCGTTATGGAGTTTTTCCCTGTTTTTTAAAATATGATAATACTTACAATCTATCTCACTGCATATTTTATCTTTATCGTTCTTAGCCTTGAATCCAACTTTACATACGCACTTCGTGTCTTTACATTCCATGTTGTTACCTTCACATGCTGTGTCCTTACAATTTTTGCCAAAAAGAATTTTATCTGTGCACGTCATTGTTATCTCAATGTAATTCTTTTTAGCTGCCGGACATTTGCATTTTTTGTCAGTACATTCCAAACCAGTGTAACAGTCTTCTGTTTTTGCACATATGCCGTCATACATAACTTCTGTTGATGGGAAAAAGAACTTTTTAAATATACACATAGCAATGTACATGAAATAAAAAAACTAACTCGGTTTCTCTGCATCTACGCATTTTTTATTCTCTGCAACCTTATTTTCCTTACAGTGACATTTCATCTCTGGACAGTATGAATCTGTTCTCTTACATTCCGATTCTAAAGTGCATTTATCATCCTTTGTACATGATTCTCCTGGTTTTTTATCAGCACAAAAAGAAACTGCAACTAAGCATAAAGCAACAGCGCAAACGAAAAGTTTCATGATATTCGAACGTTCTTGACGGCTTCAGAATTCAAAATGATCGAGAATATTTAACCAGTATGTGTTGACACTGTCGTCAAGTTGCGATACTCTTTCAAAGGGTCGCGTATTGATCCGCGGAATAATACAGATTACTTTGGCCGAGCAATTTATACTCTATTCTGTAATTATTCAGAAGGCGCTTATGATTCGTCGAAAAAGAATTTTCCGAAAATTACTCAATGACGGCGGTTTTGTTGCAGAGTTTATATATTTATTTAAATATAGGCCTATTTAAATGAAATGATTTTCGTGTTAATTACAAAGGAAATTGTATATTTTTTCTTTATATAATTAATAAATATAAAATTTGTCGAACCTTCTCAACGTATTATAATAATAAATTCTATATCTTTACAGAACTTTCTTTTATTGCGTATGAATACTAAAATTTACGATAATCGCCATCTTGCGGTTTTCATTCTTCCCTTGTTTTTTTTTTTTACTTTAATGTCTTTTTGAATACATGCATTGATAAATTTTGTTGGAATTATTTATATAAAGATTATATTAAGATTACTAATAATGAAATTAAAATGAAGGAAAAAGTGAATCAAATGAGGAATAGAGTTAGATTGAAGATGTCAGGTGTATATCTTCGCTTTAGTCATTTTCCTTTTATAAAACTGGACTATAAGTGCAATCTTGAATAGAAAATATCTTTAAAATGGGAGATCCCAAATGAATATTTTAAAAATCTATCCTCCCTTTTCTCTTCTTTACCTTTTTTCATTCAGCAATGAATAATATCATTTTGAATGAAAATTTGAATAGTTGGCGATTTCATTTCTTTCATATTCAGCAGATATATTTAAAAAATCTACCCTTTTTTAATCTTTTTCTTATTCAGCAAATGACTAATATCCTTTTAAAGCAGGAAGCAAAAATTTGAATATTAGCAGTGCTCTTAAAGGTTTTTCCCCTCATTCCTCTATATATCTATGTACTACGCAATGTAACCTCTTTATCGTAGTTACGTCGCTTGCAGTGAGGATAAATTATCTATTATAAAAAAATTCATTGAATATTGAAAAAGTCAGGTCATTTAGAGAGATTAAGCTAAAATAACATGCTCAAAAGCAGTCGTTTATGATCTCATAAGAGCTTAAGACTCCTACTAAGAAAGAATCAAAAAAAACTATATTAACGTATGCTTGAAAGAGAAAATAAAAATCTTCAAATAAATTGTATACATTCTTCAATAATGATCTTTCAGAATACTCTTAAACACATCTTTAAATGTTGAATTCTGTTTTTTATTAGATATCAGTTAAGTGGAAATATATTAAAATAAATATTTCAATAGACACAATGGAAGAAGAGAAAGTAGAATCTATATAATCTATTCAATGCAAGGTTTTAGTCAGATTATTCTAGCAACTGCATAGATATCTTCCTGGTTAACTAAAAAATTGCAAAATGTACTACAAACTATATTATTCAATTGTTTTAATCATTTCTATTATGAATTTATCTCGTGGAATATCTACTTCATCTAATGTTACCAGAGCGGACAACATTAAAGCAAAGGAAAATGGTCAGGAATGTATAGAACTATTTCTACCATGTAAAGAAGGTTCTAGAAGACCTCATAAGAGTAACTGTACCAAGTATTTAATCTGTGAGAACGGATCATCAGGATTATTCTGGTCGGAGAAATCTTGCTCGAAGCAGCTAATATTTGATGAAAAGTCGAGAAAGTGTCTCGATTTTAAACAAGTTAAATGTTTTACACCTGAAAGGGAATATTGTTCTCTGACAAAGAAAATTTTTTACTCTGTTGAAGTAAATCAAAAGAAGCTACTAACCCCTCTACGTTATATAAAACTTTATAGCGATGATGGAGAAGCTGAGGATGGTAACTCTAGCAACATAGCCCTCATAGTTGTTCTTGTGATGATTCCACTCTTGTTTATAATAAGTTTCATTCTTTTAGTTGTCAGATGTACACGAAAAAATACTACATTAAATGACTTAAATTGGAACAATAGGAATTCTTATATATAATCTTGTGTCGAAATTGTTTCGACGATTCTTACAACGTATGTCGATTTTCATTCATTTTGTTGAACATCATTAAAGATAAGAGTCATTTATTAATTTCTAATTTTAATAATCTTTTTTTCTTTTTACTTTATCCAACTCTTTGAATGACTGATAATTAAGATTTAAAAACTAGGTGATTTTCTTAGAAGATTATAGGATGAAAAGGACATTATGATTTATATATTAATCATGTAGGGGAGAATGATTACGAAATAACTTTTGAGTTCTTTTTCGTTTTACAAGTCAAGGACTGTTGTACCTAGAAATGAAGAGGTTAAAGAGAAAGAAAAATACAACTTTAGAGAACGCCTAAGATATTTAGTATTTTGTGGATTTAATATAAAAAGAAATCTATAATAATAATAAAAAAAGAAAAGAAGAAGAAGCATTTATTCGTGATTTATTTCAATATTATCTTTTAATTAAATTATTGAATATGCTGTTTTAGTTATGATTATCTTTATTTTTTGTATTCCGCTGTTTTTATGAAGAGACAATGTTTTAAAACTTGAAGAATTATATATAAAAAACAAGGAATAATGTACAAATAGCAATGTATATCTCGAATGTAATTTACTTTTTTATATTGTATAAGAAACCTTGTTTCAAGTCATATTTAGTAATTAAACTTGATACTCAAGTAGGTTTTTATTTTATATAGATACTTGGATTGTTATTAAAAGGCTTTTATTTATATCATAATAAATGTCATGTAGTTTTATCATGTTCATTTTTTCTGTTGCTTTCAGCCTTATTAATTATATTTCTGTCTGCTGTATTCCAAAGAGGAATTGTGTTGATGCGAATCCTATAAAATCCTTCTTCTATCACTTTCTATATATCTCTTGTAGAAATTTTCGTTTAAATTCTATTAAAGTTAAAATTTCATGTAATGTTAATATTCTGCAATGTTTTTATTGTTAATTATCTATTGTATTATGGTAACGTAGTGAAATAATCACTGAAAATTATTCTTTAGCCTGCAGATGGAGACTCTAGAACTCTATGAAAATGTATAAATGTCTACTTCGATATAGACAATGTTTTTGACTTATCTTCTGACCTCTTTTTTGAAAATAACAACGGTATTCAGTTATATGTTAGAAATTATGACAAAAAAAACCCTCCAATGCAAAGTCTTGTGTGATTTTGAACATCTGTATTGAACTACTTTTGAAAAGGGAACATAGTACGCTATTTGTTATGTCCTGATTTCATAATTTACATAAATTGTTTTTTTTACTGATTTCCAGTAAACTTATTTATCATTCAACTATGAATTAGTTTGATAATACGAATGAAAGAGAGAGACATATAAAAATTAATTGTTCAAAATGATAATAATACAAGTAAATGATGTACAGTAAATTCGAATAAATGCAATTTATTGTTAATTTATTAACAAATAAAAATATTCTTCATTATATATTTTAAACTTTTGTACTTTGACTTTCATTTTGAATCACAAATTTCGATTGATGACTATCTCTTCTTTTAACACACAAGAAAATTACAAAGAGAATTGACATTAAAATCAATGCAATACAGCCAGAACAAATAACGATTATGGCTTTTATTGATATCAAAAACCTTGGCCTGTGATCAGCTATATTACTAATTACTTTACAAATTGGTTTGCAGGTGTGTTCTTGAGAGCAATCGGTAGAACAATTTACACTCCTGTCTGCGCAAACGACATTCTGAAAAAGCATTGACAGATAGAGAAAGAATGAGTAAACATCGTTAACAGTTCAAAAATTTAATATTTAAACCTATTTGTATACTAATTAGTAATTTAACTATAATTATATAAGTCAAAGGGATCATCATTACCTGGCAAGGATCAGACGCGCAATCACATATTGCGCAACCGTCCACTTCCTTTAATCCATATGCGCATTGACTGGAATCGCATATTATTTGTGGACAAACGACGGGTTCTAAAATTAATAATTGAATATATCTTATGAAAGAAATACATATTAGTATATATATATATATATAGTTTAATTAAAAGAGCTATAATTGACCTTTACACTCTGGATAGTATATACAATGGCCGTCAGCACAGTCCTTTTCAACTTTGCAATAACTCTCCCCTTCGCAAACAACATCCTATAGAATTATAGAGTATAAAAATTCCAAGTACAGTTTATAAAGATATTGGCTTTCTTTGTTTTACATTGAAATATCATATTATAATATCACAATATATATTTCTAACAAGAATCATTACTCATCTTACCTTGCAGATATCTATACATTCGCACGTTCTACAACCCTTAGAATCCAATTTGTAGCCGTGTGGGCAGGGTTTTTGACAATTTTCTGGCTCGCACTCTTCAACTATTTCCTCTCCGTTCTTAATTAAACTTGTAGTTAATGAAGGAATAAAAGTAGTTTGGGTTTCTTTATAAAAAGAAAACTTATTTATTCAAAGATGTAAATAGAATAAAAGAAAATAACCTTCCGATTGTATACACTTTGGAATAGGGTAACAAGCTTCACCCTCTCCGCAATGACTTTTGTCTTCAGTGCAGTTCGCGTCTGATGGACACTGATGATCAGTACAAATATTGGCACATTCGCAAATTGTGCAATTGTTCTCATCGAGTTTTTGTCCATACCGGCATGCCATGACACATTCTTGTATAGGGCAAGGACGTCTATTATGTGTTCCAGAGTCTGCTTTTCCCGATGAAAGGAAAAAAGTTTAGTGTTTTTACTTATTAAAAAAAAGGACAAAACTAAAAAAAGAACTCATTGATAGAAAAGGAAATATATTTCTCTGAAATGGTGATATTACATATTCTAATATTACAAATGTGTCTTAATAACCTTTCGTTTTTAAACATTCTCCTACTGGGTTGCACGGTGGGCTGAGACAAGCTACTTCCTTTTCCACGCATAATTCATCCTTCCCGCACTCTTTATTATCACAAGGTCCAATGCATTTACACATCGGACAGCCATTTTCGTCCTTTGCCAAGCCTTTTTCGCACCGTAACAGACAAGCAATAGGTGAGCACAATTTCTCTAATAAACCGTACAAGTTCATTAGGCATAACGAAAAAAATAAAATGATGGAACTATAGCTACTTTCAATAATAATAGTAAAATAATTATCAATATTATTATTACAGAGGAAATTAACTACCGGACTATTTATTAATGTATAGATCAAGGTAAAATATTGACTTACTTTTTGGTTCAACTTTCACGCAGTTACATGTGTTACAACCTGCTTCATCTTTAGCAAAACCATGAGGGCAACTAGCAGCACACCTTATTGCAGGACATCTTACTAAATAGTAGAAAGAGAATACATACAGTATTTATATATATATATATATATATAAATTGTAATTGATAATAAAAAGAAAGGATTAAAAATCATAAATTATTAATCTTCTTTCAATTAAGAATTAATCAAAAGGGTATACTTTGACTTTTAGTGTAGGTAAAGAGAAATACGGCGGTAATATACCAGTGCAAAAGGTTCATTCTGAATGTTAAAAATATGCTTATTGTTGTATTTTCTCTACCTTATATTTTAATTTGGTTATTTGATACCCAAAAAATATATTGAAATTCCCTATTGTTATATTTGAATATAAGACTAACAATTAATTGAATTTTATGTAAATTACACTCGTCTGTGAAAAAAAGGACTTTTATTACTTCTATGTTAAAAGGTTAATTGATATATTGATGTGTCTTTTCAAGTAAAAAATAACTATACTAAATTATTAAATGACATGTAACGAATAAAACCTGACAAAATGAGAGATAGGAGATGAATAGAAGGAAGGGACCGTTGAAGAGGGAGATAGAGAGAGAGAGAGAGAGAGACTACGCATATAACAGTATATATATATAATCATATATTCTTTGATAGAAGGAAAATTGCAACAAATTTTACCTATGAATTTTACACTATTGATAATTCTAAAAACTCTTTATAATAAAGTAACAAATAAATAAGAAAAATTATCTTTTATTATCATTCTCTTTTGAATAATTGGACTACTGTCTTAGGAAACCTTTGTTAGTTTTTCCAGGGACTCTATTGATTATAAAGGAATTAATGTAATTATGATGATATTCTACCAAACAACAGCAATATTTATATACTGTATATAGTCAGACAGGATCAATAAAATTGATAAAATGTTCTTATTGTATTATTCTGTATACGAGTTTGCATATCCTGTATACTTCACTTGTATACACGTATCTATGTTGTATAGAGAGCATCTAGCATATATATAACGCATATAGTGTGAGAGACTGGTGGCTTTTAACATTAAATTACGCTTATTAAATATCAAAAGTAAAGGAAACTGTACAAGTATTCAGTAACTCAACTGTTCGTAGTGTCCTACTGACCTAACGCTTTAAATAGTAAGCTTTGTTTACTAAAGTAACATTATTTATGAGAAATGTTTTTATTATAATAGATTCATATTTGTATATTCGCTCTTAGCCATAATAATTAATATTTCATTATGAATAAGATAAATCCACTTATGAACGCTAAGCGGAATGCGCGAAATGAATACAAGTATACAACTATTGTCTAATATTTATCAACACTTTTCAACAATTTATCAAGGGGCTAAACCTGAAAAATGAAAGAAAACTTTACCTAACCATCCCCCATTTATCTAATATATTCATTTAGAAAGAAGACTAGGAAACTATTAGATTACTCCCTCTTCCTCTCTCTCTCTCTCTCATATTACCTCATTAACAGTTAGCGCTTGGAATTTAAAATCAATAATCTATTTTCATATAATTTTTATCATCCACGAAAATCTCTCTATTTGAAAAGGAATAAACAATCTAAAAAAAGATAAATTCACATATGTTGGTAGAATTTATTAACAAAAAAATTAGTAAGGCTTGATTCATTAGTCCGTATTCCGTATTGATGTGATTAAATAAGGAAAATGAAAATATAAAAACTGTGAGAGAAAAATAAATACGGAAGAGAAAAGAAAGATAGAGAAAGGTAATGAGTTTATTTTATTAATAAATTAAAAGAGAAAGCAAGACTTATTCAATGAATATCAAAAACAATATTTAAAAGCGATGGCTGACGATAAAACGACATCGGATGAGAGTACAGATGGAAAGGAAGAGACTAGTCTAATTGAGAAGAAGAAAAAGACTTTCTTTGATTGCAAATATCTTTTAGAGCCGATTATATTTCTCGTGTTTGCTGCTGTAACAACAAAACCAGCTATATTAGCTCAATTTGTTTCGAATTATTACAAAGATATTCGATTAGAACACTTGAATACTTCCCATCCAATCAATGTTATGAAAGTTATTCATGGAAATGTGAGTCAAAAAGCTGCCATGCATATACTAGACATAAAAAATGCTGCATTTTTTTTATTCTATTTAAACATCTTTCAAAGTGTGCCAATATTATTTACTATAACATTATTTGGTCCTTGGAGTGATGTGATAGGAAGAAAGCCAGTAATGTATGCTGGATTAATAGGACAATTTGCAGAAACTGTCTTACTAGTATTCATTGTCTATTTTAAATTAAACATTTATCTATTATACTTAAGTAAGCTGATTGGAGGGCTATGTGGAGGAGCAAAAGTATTATTATTAATATTAATGCTATTTTCACTACGACTAGTACTACCACTACGATTACCACTACTGTTGTTATTATTATTACAAGTATTAACAGTATTATATAAGACATTTAATATTCATATTTTCCATTTGAGCTTTCATTAATTACAAGTAAATATCAAAACTATATAGGCTTAATAAGTTTCCTGAAGATTTTAATAATAATACTTAAAAATAAAAAATAGAGTTTTCTATTCGGATCATTTTCCTACATTGCTGATAGAGTTCCATTAGAAGAGCGCATTCCCAGGATTGTTGTTGCCGAAGTGATAATGATTCTTGTGTCATCAATGTATTCTATTCTAGTCGGTGTTTGGATTGATAAAACGGGATTCCTGCAGCCTTGTTTTGGAATGTTAGCAATTTATACCTTCTCTCTCATCTACACATTTATTATACCTGAATCTCTTGTCGTTTCACCCGATGTAACAAAAGCAAAGTCTTTCTTTAGAAAAGAACATTTTCGTACCGTCTACGATGTCTTCTTTCAAAGTGGTTTGCGGGGGAAAATCCTTCGAATATGCTCAGCTTCTTTCTTTCTCTACTTTGCTGCCTTTAGTGGTAAATTAATGCCATTGTTACTTAGAATTCAATCTCCGCCTCTTAAATGGAAAGCTGTTCGAATAGGAGTATTTTCGGGAGTCTCTTCAGCACTTTATACAGTAAGTGCTCTCATTTTATTAATAACTCTTGGAAGACGATTGAGCTTGATATCATTGGCTATAGTTGGAATGACTAGCTGCTGCTTATCGAATTTTGTCCAATCTTTCGTATTATATGATTGGGTCATCTATTTAAGTATGTGTTTTTCTTTACAATTATTTTTAATATTTCCTATTAAAGAATCGATAATGAAATGTTTTTCATCTTATCTTTTCAGGTATTTTTATAGGGAGTGGGAGTCTCATAGGATTTTCCGTAATGAGGGGTTATCTATCAATATTAGTCACCAACAAGCAACAAGGTTAGAATAAGAAATAAGATAATAGAGTTTACGTAAGATGGATTTATTTATTTTTTATTTTAATAGGAGCCTTATTTTCGGGAGCTTCAATATTAGATACATGTGCAGAATTACTTGGCGGGCTTGTGCTTAATCAAATATTTGCCCATACTGCATTTATATTTCCAGGATTGACGTTTCTAATAGCCGGTGTAATAGTACTCATAGCTATCGGTATAGCAGTGTAAGTATAACAATTCTTATGTATATCATTAACTTTTGTTTCAATCTATTAAGTATAAATTATAACTTGGCTTATATTTCTCTTTTAATAGGATAGCCAGACGCCTAGAAATTGGACACGAAGAGGAAATAATGATAATAGAATATGATTGAGACAGTTTCATATAATAAAAATCGATAAAGATAATACAGTATCAGTATTTTCACTTTCCACAGTATTATCCTTCCTGACTTATCCTCCCTCGCCACCTACGCCTCATCTTTCTCTCTGTCTGATCATCAAGTCATAAATATTTAAATATGACTATTCCTGGCTTTCTTTTTTTATACTTTTAGTAATTAGAAATGTCCTATTTTATGTCTATTTATCCCATAAGAATCAAAGCTTAAATAATATGAAAATACTGTATTTATAATAAAAAGTTATACAATCATCTTAGCTATTAATCCTAGTAAAATGAATACAGCAGATATTTCGCTTACATTTGAGCTATTTTTTCTTTCTTTAAGAATTTTTTCACATTTCTTCTTCGATATTGATGATCTGGCTACTTTTATTGTATACGATACATTTCCTGCTTTACTACATGGTCCGCAATTTGGCTTAGGTGGTTGTGGGCAAAGTTCATCTTCTGTACACCAACCATAAATACCTATGTAATAGTGTCCAGCGTCCATATTAACGTCATTTGGTCGTAGTCTAACACTTCTTGTTTTTCCTTCAGCAAGTTTCCAAGCTTCATCCTTCACTTTAACTTCTGGATTATTTTTTGATACTAATAATTCGGGATATCCGTAAGATGTACAATGTCGTCCTTCTGTACAATGAGATATTGTAACATTAATATCAAAACATTCGCTAGGAACACACATTCTGTGATATTTGTATTTTTTTTTATCAATAATTCCATTGTCTTCACGTTTAACCCATAAATCAGGCATCGGTTCTATTACGTGATCTTGTTCGCTAGCGGTCACTGTGAACTCGGCAGTCCTATTTCCAGTTGGTACATCGGAACCACAATAGGCGTGAACGCCGATATAATACTGGCCATGTTTATAAGAAGGTTCCCAGCTTTTTATAATTACCGTATCGTTACCTGTTCAACAATGTGATTATTTGAAAGAAAAAGATTAAAAATGAATGATTAATTTAGAAATCAAGAAACCTTGTTCGTATGAAGACCAGACCATTTTTGATATTGTTGGATATTTTTCAGGTTCCTTGGAAATATATAAATTGGGTTCTCCTTTCTCTTGTTTAACAAACACTTTAAGATCTTTACACGGATTGTTAGTTCCTACTTTAAAATACTTGTAATCGTCGCATTTCGTTTTATAACTTCTGCTTTCCTTACCCAAAGTTAAAGTAACGTGTTGAGAGAAAACAATATTACCTTAGAAGAAAAGAAAATACAAGAAAGGAAGAATAATTATCTTTTATTCAACAAGTAAAGTCGAGAGAGAGAGAGAGAGAGCGATCAAGAGATCGTAACTACTTTTCTAATACTTACAAGTCAGAAGAAGAAAATAGATACTTGAGAGGAGAGGAAGCATTTTTAAGTATGTTGTGCTAAGGGAAATGAATGATACTTCGCTCCTTTTAAAGACTCGATAAGAATGATGGGCGTATCAACGACGAATGGCAAATTTCGAATATTTTCAAGTGTGTAATGAATAAATTTCAGATATATAGAGTACAGATAATGCAACTAGAGTAGCTACTATTTTAAAACAATCAAACAAAAGCATTCGCTTATATTACGTAGTTCCTCTGTAATATTCGATACAGTAAATCCGGCTTTAGCAGCAGCTTCCTCAATTAGCTTACCATCAACCATTAAATTATGATACGCTTTACCATCCACCAACAATTCACTATGTTTATTATTCTCCTGTAAGAATAGATAACCGCCTTTTACTAGTTTATTATAGACATTTTTCATTGCCTTTTCCAAGTCTTCTACATTCATACAAGCGTTCAAAAAAGCGAAATTAACCAATATAAAATCGAATTTAGCATCATTTTCCGGTATGACCTAAAAAAAAAGATTATATTTTTAATATCATTAGAACAATAGAAAAATGATATTTTTAGTTTTCTGATCGGTCACGCAATTTGATAAAAAGATGGAATGAATAATTTATGAAAAATAGTATAATCAGAGATATAGAATAAAATATCTGAAAGGTGATTCAAGTTCATTCAGTTAAGAGCATTAATACCTCTGTATACAACAAGTCAGCAAAAATGATCTTTTGAACACTTTTCCTTGTTCTACAGTCTAATTCTTGAACCGATTTATTTTCCAATCTTGAAACATCGTGGAACATTTTTAAAACATTAGGATGTAAGTCCACTTTACTTTCGTGCCAATTCATCAAATGTAATAAGTTCCCAGTAGAATAATCACTGAGAGTAATATTCTTACAGTGTTTACCAGCTGAAATAACGCCGCTGGGACTCGGACCACTACCGATTTCCAAGAGACGCTCAATACGAATATTCTCTCTTTCTACACAATCGAATAACGCATGAAGAGTGCGAATAATATTAAAAATATTTGTATTTTTCGTAGACGAACGATATTCATCTAAGAACGCTGGTCCAAATTTCTCTGTATGATATGCATCTCTAGACGACATCTTTTACAACAGTAGAAAAGTGTTAGAGGAAAGAAGGCTCATTGTCTTTTTAAACGTTTACCTCTGCAGGTGTTTATTATTTATTTCCCCTTATAATTCATAAAACCTTTATGAAAATTATATCTATTTACTATATTTGGATCTCGTTTGAATATCATCTATGAAGGAAGAGTATATAAAATAAGGTCATTGTCTAATTTTAGCACAAATATTCAGATAAAATATATCAAGTGGGCTGATTCAAACTGCGAGTATTATTATTTTAATGTTAATTTTATTATAAATAGAAAGAGATATAGAAATAACTGGATAAATACAAAGAAATTGGAAGATAGAAAGTGAAATGTGGAGTTTTTTTTAGTTATCTGCACAGAGGAGAGAGGTAGTTTCTTCTCTATGCAAATTGATGTATAAAAGCAATTCTTCCGCTTCGTAGCTTGTAAAAGTATTACATATGTTGAATATTCATAGAAAAAAGAACCCTTAATTAGTTAAAAACTAATCAATAGTATGTTAAACATAAATGTACGTTTGCATGCGTATGTTTAGACTTGTATATTTGTTTGGCAGTACGTACTCTTTATTATTATTATTCATTTACAATATTAGTCATCAGTATAGGATTGTATGTATACAGTATATATATTATATATATTCTTCACCTACACTTATGCTTAGTATTTTAATGTACATATTTAAATTATTTAAATGCACGGCGCGATAATTTCTCACTCAGTTAACATGTTTTAAATAAATTATTAGTGAATAGTGTTATACCAACGGATTTCTTTCATTGAACAATAGTTCAATATATACTGAATATACTGTATAGTGCATATACAGATTGAGCTTTTCAATCATTAGTTTTCTCTTCTTTTCTTCAGTTGTCCTAATATCTAAAAACATCACTTTTCTCTCTCTCTCTCTCCCTCTCTCTATCTCTTAGACTTCCAATCTACTCTGAAATTCGTGTTGAAGTATACAGATATAAAAATATTAGAACATAAATTGAGACTCTTTTTTATAATGAAAGATAAAAGACTTTATTAATATCTATCAGGAAAAGATCGCTTAAGCACTCATAAAATAAACCTTAGAGAACGCATTAATAGTAAATCTACGTGTATCAACGATAGAAAGATATTTTACTCTGGCTTTAGTTTGGAATGTGACCTTGAAATTGCTCTAATAAATGTAATATGCGATGCATGACTAAAAGAAAATATATTCAGTAACGCCCTCTGAAGATAATGAGGCTATAATTCACACCCTAAATGAGTGAATTGAGGCGAGATTATAAAATGATCATGTTAGAACAATTTGGAAGTATGCAATTCTCTTCTATGCACTGTTTCCCAATTGTCTTCAGTACAACGACATAGCACAAAGTAATAGATAACGTAATAGGATGAAGGCACTATTGTGAAATATAAGATATAAGAAGAGAAATATTTCAATGGTATAATCAACCGTAAACATTTATTTAAATATGTTTATACTTCAGTGAAAATGACGTATAAGATTTATTTAATTAATTTTTAATAAGAAATATTACAAAGTATTACTTTGGAACTAATTTATCAATTTCTTTTAATAACTAATAATAGTAAATAAGATTATTTAAAGGTCATAATTCGGAATATTTATGATTGGTATTCACAAACGAATATAGATATATGTTGCATGTTCAGTATATATAAATTTCATTCTAATGGTTCATGGAATAAAATATCTATTACATAGATAATATTCTTCTTATCTTCTTGCTGCTAATATGTAAATACTGTATATCAATTTATATACTGTATATATATTTATAATAAATCTATCTTCTTACCACTTATAGTAAAGTCAAATAAAAAAGAAAAATAGACCTAATTGCTTTTTTATTGTTCTTTATTTATGAATTTTTTTCCCTCTTCAATCAGAAACAAATAAAAAAAACAAAGTATATGATTATTTATAAAATCATCTTTTACATTTTGTCTATCTATCTCTCTGTCTGTCTGTCTGTCTGTCTTTCTGTCTGTCTTTCTTTCTTTCTTTCTTTCATACTCTCTTTCTGTCTACCGATCAAATATCATTTTTTTTTTAACAGGAAACTTATTCTTTTTTTCATACAAAGGAGAAAGTGATCATTTTCTCTCTTTTACCCCTAAACGAAACAATTGTGTTGATGCCGATATATTACTGGGTGTGTTTTTAGGCGTGTAATTAGTGCAAGTATGAACTTAGGCCGAGGTATCGTCAACCGTAAGTTCGTTAACACTTGGTATCTTTTTAAAATATGGCAAAAATATCTACTATAGATGAACACTACATAGTTGTTAATAGTGTTAGTAGATTATATACATATATACAGTAGTATAATAATAGGATAGATTCATTTCTTTGAAGAGTGACTTACTTAATATTTAAAACAATTTATTTAGGTAATTAATTTATTTTTTACTAACTAATCTACTCAGCTAATGATTAATTAATTGATTAATAAAGAAAGAAATAAGAGGAATATAGCAATAAAAAACAATATTTTAATATAATATTTATTCTTCAAAAAGGATAAAAAAGGAGAAAATAAAAGTTTTCTAGGAATGAAAAAAGTAATGTACAAAGAAGTTTCTAACAAAATTTTCTGAAGATTTCTTTTCAAACAAAACCTCCTGCATAATTGGCCTTATCCGATGTATCATTTACAAATGAATGATTGTCAAATGCACCAGTTAAATTTTCCCCGTTTTCACTTTTGATTGTACTATCTAAAGAATGATTCTTAGTTATACTTAATTGTCTGTTATTGTTCGTCTGTTTTGATGAGCCAAACGATGAAAAACGAGTAAGAGGTTTCCTACCGATAAATCCGTTGGAGTTTGTTAATTCGTTTTCTGATTTAATAACAATTTCACTTTCCATACCATTCAACTTTTTCTCAACAACAAAACCTTCATTGGTTTGTTTTACCTGAGCATCATTGTCTTCATTAATCATTAAATTTTCTTTTTTATTACGTTGTGCTCGAACAATTTCTCTTGCTTTTTCTCTAGCTTCTTTCCTTTCCCATCTGATTTTTTTAATACGATGACGATCTCTATTGAAACAGAAAACATTCATTATAATAGAATATTGATCAACTAATTAAAATTTCGAAAATAACAAAGAGGTAACACGATAATATTTTTTACGTGGTCATCACTTTCATTTTCGTAAACCAATAACAGGACAAATTACATATTAATAAACAACAAATTAACCAATATTCCTCTTCAGCTGATAGTGGAATCTATACGTATTCCCTCTCTACAGGTATATAAGGGAAGCCTTAAATTACTCGTTTATAGCATTTTTTCTTCTCTGTTAGCTCTTTTTTTTCTATACTTCTACAAACCACCTGACTTTCTCTTATATATTACCATTCGATTATCTAGAACTGCTGGGTTATTTTCATTTTCATAAACTGCATTACATTGCAGATTTCTGAACGTATTAAATGAAAGTGAAAGGATTTTAATTAAATTTAAGGATATATAGTACATAAACTATACAAGTATGTTTAACTATCCTAAAAGAATATGATCTATTAAAAGTTAATTTGTTCGAAAAGTACTTGTAGCTATACATTAGTATCATATTTATATAAGATAAAAGATAATTAATAAACTATAAAAAGATAAGACGTCAAAGGAATATCTAATTGTTTCTCAGCTACAATTATATGAATGGATAAAAAATGGCAGATTTCTGTACTAAAACATGTTTTCGATTAACGTAAATAAATATGGATTTAATACAAAATACGGTCTACAAAACAGTCTATATCAATAAGTTTCAGATGTTGTAAAAACAACACAAACAACTGAAATAGATTTATTGCATAAGCACTTCCGGTTGTAATTATACGGTCTATCATCAACTTTAAAATTAGTTATTCCGTTACATCTTCTTTTTATAGTACTATTAATAAATTATGTAAAAGACTCCAGGACGATAATCTCATTTCTTTTTCTCTTATATTAATTCTATATTTATTATTTTCAATAAATGAACTATTAAAATCAACTTCCGTTTATGTAAGGTGTTTTTTTTAGACACTTATTTTTATTTAATTTATGATTTTTTATGCAAATGAGTTAGCAACGATATTAATATTGATATTTATTTTATTAAAACGTTTAATTTCGTGTTTACCGGGAAACAGTCTGCAAAATGAGAAATTAGTCTGCCAATTTTAATTTTATCTTTCCTTAATAGATTTTTCTATACCAAACTACCTGATGGTATAGAGTACCACACAGGGTATGGCGTGTATAGTAGATACGTATAATATTAGTATATCATCGTACTGTTAATTTTTTAATAGTCTTTCGTCTATCCCTGCATATAAAGGACAAACTACTACTTCGTCTAAATCTGATAGAATCTTATTATTTTTTCAATAAAAGATCCTCTTAGCCTTAATGTAGAATAGAATATGAAATTTAGTTGACAAATATTTAATGATGAACGGTATTTTACTTTAATTAAGTAATTATCATTTCAAGTTTAATAACAAATGATCTCAATACCCATATCTTTAACTCACCTAAAAGAACTTGTAGAGAAAGAAAAAATGATACAATCGGGTTTATTCTATTTCTGCTGATAATCTATAGTTTAACCATCAGAATATTCTATATTTCTTATAATTTCTATTAGAATAGGCTTATTAAATAAAATACTACTTATCTAATATTTATTAATAAATAAATTAACTAGAGAAAAAAGTCAAGCTATAGACTTTAATGTTTTAATATACTGGATATTATTTTGCCGTATTTATTTCAGTTTCCATCGTAGTAGTGACCAATCAATGTTATGTTAAGTATCAAGACTGTCTAATAGTACATATATCATATATACAGTATATATCTATATTACGTAATTATGCTTTTTATTAAATTAATCTTTTTCCTATTGATAGAGATTGATGAAATGAATAATTATTTTATGATGTATGTTTCCCTTTCTTGTTTATGTATCTACCGTGTATATTACTATGTCTATTTGTAAAAGGGAAGCCAGAGAGAGAGAGAACGCTATCATCTGGCTTTTTGATCAAAATTTTCTGTTGCATGACAATTTTGGTCTTATTGTTAATTAGTTTAATCAAGTAGAAAAGGGATGAAAGTTAATTAGTAAATATAAAACAAAGAAAAAGCTATCTACATTTCGGATATAGTTAGAAATATAGTCTATAAATATATTGTTTTTACTTAGCTAAAACGATGTACAGCTATGATTTAATCATTGAAAAGTAATAACAAACATTTTTATACTTTCAATAGAAAATTTACGCTTAAAAATAAAACAAAGAGACAAAACGTTGAGAGAGACTGAGCGAAACTCCTTCCGAATTTATCTAATAGCCTATTCAATTATTCATTAATTCTCTATTTTTGTTGGCACATGAACGTTTTAGCTGAACGATCGTAAGTATGTACAACTTAGATCACGTGATGGGTATCGTTAAAGAGAACAGAGTATTAGATAAACAACCATGTTGATTAAGCTTTAATTGCTCAATTAAGTTTGCACTTGTTATAAGCCATCGAACAGATATTTCTACTGGTAATACACTTTGAATAAATGCGGTTATATAATGTAATGATGTAGAGTGTATAACATATCTCGAAACGCCCTCTCTACAAGACGCATTCAACTATGTTGCTTTCGCAATAATCAATGACAACTAGCTACGTTTTTAGCAAGAAAATATGAAAGAGGTTTAAAATATTAGTTTGAATAAAAGAATTACTTACAAGCAAGCTTTAGTACAGGATACGAAGTAAGAAATGATAAATATTATTGAAAATATACCGGAAAATACAAAACCCAGCCATTCTCTAACTGTAAAATCATATTTAGAGGAGGTTGTTGATTTGGAATTTTGAGGATGCGGGCTATTCTTTATAACCAGAGAGAAATCAGGGAATACTGTCTTATTCAAAGAGTTTAAAAGTTGTTGTTGAGAAAAATCTGATAATATAACTACTCGATAAAAATCCTCATTAACGAATACACTAACTATCTCTAAATTTCTTGTGCAATTACAATCATTTTGAATTGATTTTGCTATTGAATATTGCCATTTTCTCTCTAAGTCTGTATTGAATTGATTGGAATTTGTCTTTAATGAAAATTCAATATATCTCCTTTTAATATCACCCAAGTTTTCAGAATTGCAACAATTCGGCCACTTGCACTTGAAACAATAGCATTCGTATAAACGGTTAGCGTTACAAATATTTGTAGATTTCGATGGTTCAACGAGTAGAGTAATCCACAATATAACCAGATAGTGATAAAGTCTTTTTATTCTATTGAATGTCATGTTTCTCCACTGAAGAGAGAAATGCTTGTGCGAATAATGGCGTGTGTGCCAGGTGTATATATTGATCACGTGACTCGGGCGCCTTTTCCAATGAAATAAAACTTCAAAAAAAAGGTTATAACAGAGAAAATTGTATAGATTTTCTAAATCAATCGAAAGGTAAAAGTGAAAATATACAAAATTAAAATAATTAAGCGCATTATCTTATATCCAGAAGACAAATTAGTCATGCTGTTGCTGATATTTCAACTTTGTATTTACCAGCATATCTGCATATATATATACTGCATATACTGATATATATATATATATATATATATATATATATATATATATATATATATTTATTTATGAACGATACTTGGTATACTCTGGTGTTATATGATAAATATTCTGTAATATATAGTACAATGTAAAACATTTCTATATACATTTCAGTCTCTTATAGGTCTAATTATGGTAATAAAAAAAAGACACATAAGCATATATACATACTGTGTAATAAAAAATGAATATTTCTACAACATCAAGAATTTAATATATCATTTCATTATAACAAGAAAACGAGGGAATATAAGATACACCTAGCATCTTATTCAATTCTTTCGAACTCTTTTCGTTTTATTGCGGCGTGTTTGCTTTTAGCTGTAAGGAAGGAAAGCTTAAGTATTAAGTATCTTTTATTTAAATATGAAATAGAAAAGAGAGGCATATTTATATTCTATTTATAAAAAATTACTGATATACAGTAAACGTTTTAATACAGATATTTAATGACACACAATTACAATCATTTATATATGGGTTAAAGTTGAAGGTTAGGTTTATGTATATTTATATATAGACAGATAGATAGATATGTGTGTGTGTGTATGTGTATGTGCGTGGTTGGCAGAATCATATGGTTTTTTTTTAGTCCTGTATAATATTTTCATGGTTTGGTCGTTTGATGTGCATTAACAGTGCATTTTAATTAAAGGTGGGGCCACGTACAAGCAACATTCCGGTACGTTTTTCTCATAGGTTTGTTTCCTGAGTACTTTTTTTTTACTTTTTACTTTTTTTTTCTAATGAACTTGTAATATTTTTTTAAAATGACGAATTAAGTAATTAATTAACAGCTTAATTAATTAATTAATTAGTTGATATATGATATAGGGGGAGGAGGAAGAAGAAGAGGAAGAAAAAGAAGAAAAGAACAAGGTTATAGAATAATAATCCATAAGCGTGTTATATAAAAGAGGAACTACTGAAAACAGTTTACACTATAAAGCATATAAATGTTATTTTATTATATTCTAGTATATATATACATATATATACTGTATATTAAAATAAATATATATAATACGTGAATAAGATACCGTAAGATGGCGTCTCTGAAGGATGTCCAGTAATTGGAAAAAATTATTTTATTGATTTGAGACGCCACCTTGTGGTGAGGAATAATTTGTACCATATTTTTTTTAATTACTCGTTTAACTCTAGCATTTTTCTACCAATAAGATTGATTCTAGTGATGTCACTTGATTTCTATAAAATGACTATGATAAAGGCGCCCCTCAACGACTGTAAATGGTACTAATGTATGCAAGCCTATGTTAATCTGTGTAGGTGGCGCTGGCGCCTCGTCCGGTTTGTATTACGATGAATGAAGACGGTGCAGAAACGGTAAGTGAAATTATTTACGATCGAATTTCACAAACAGAAAATTTAAATCCGATTTTTTTGCAAACGGGAATGCTAAATTTATTGCGAAATAGGCTTGCATATTCTGAAAAATACACAAAGCCCGAGAGTGATGACGTCATTAGTCTATTTATGGATGATCCCGTGTGTGTATATATTACGTCGGTTTTGTTTCATACGTCATATTTTTAGGGTAATGAAGAAATGAAAAAGAGGAAAGAGGAAGAGGATAAAAGAGAAGGAAAAGGAATATTACATTTTTTTTCCAGTAGTTGTGCTAGATCGAAATCAGAAGATGTAAGTATTCTATTATTATTAAGAAGGAGAGCCTCTAATTTTACACATGCTATATAAAAAAAGACCATGAAAAATTTACTTTTGACCTCTTCTCAAAAAAAGTAACACAAACCAATATTTAAATAGACCGATGCTAAAAATGGAATATATTAGGGGCTGCCTAAATTCAGGATATGTAGAAAAAGTACCTTTATATATATACTGTATATATATATATGAATTTATATACACAGTATATTGTTCTATAAAATTACATACCAATAGTCCTATGTGTGTGTATTCTACTACTTCAGTCTATAAAACATGTATACTTAGTATTCTAGTAAAATGAATAAAAAAATAGATAAAAGCATAGTTTAGCAAGTTGTTTCTTGGTTTTTTCCATATTTAAAAACCATCTAATGTATTTAATACTTTTATTTATTGAAAAAGTCAGAAATTGTTACTAATTAATTATAAATAGTAATAAAAAATGCATGCTTAAAAGAGTGTATATGTACATGGTTTTCTCTCTCTCTCTCTCTCTGTATATATATACATATATACAGTATGTATTTTGTCCTTATTTCTATGTAACCTTGTTTTAATTGTAAACTTAAGTAAACTTTAATAAAACATACAAATTAAATTAATAGCTATTTATTTGTTAGAAAAAAATGAGAATAAAGCTATTTCTACTATATACAACATATATACTTTTTATTTATTATACACATACAATGAATAAACTAGTGATAAATAGATAAATAATGAATTGAATGTAATAACAAATGGCCGTACAGTCTGTCAAATATATGTATAAACATTCGTAACGTATTAAACTTTTATAGCATTTTTATTCTTCGAGTAGTATTCATTCAAGTAATATTAAATGGTTTTAACTGAAATTATACAATACAGCTTTATTCCTCCCCCGCCTTTAAGGAATCATTTCTTGTTTTTTATCATAAATAACAGTCAATAATTTCCTGTTGTTTAATTGAATATAATCAATTTTATACTGGTTATAAAAGAGGTAAATTTAAGGGAAAAGTAAAATGTCTTCTGTATATCAAAAACACGTTAGTTTATATGTAACTACTCTAAACAAAGTCTAGAAAAGGGAAAAGAGTGTTTGCTTCTTAAAAGTAATTAAAACTATTGGAATAAATTAATCACAACAATACAAAAAGTTAATGATGTATATAAAAAACAGACACTTGTTATTAACTCTTTCCAACACTTTCTCTCCATCTTTCTTCCTCTTTATAGTCTACACATAAACTTATTTTCTTAAATACAACTAAATCTTCTATAAATAGCTCTATACATTGGTAGGGTGCCTTTTCTACTAAACGTTTCTAAAATAGGCTTTTACTAGACTATAGATTTATGCTTAATCTAAGCTAAGTTAATGTGCTACACCTCTTAAAGTGATGTTTCTTCTTTTTGATTGGTTAGCTTTGTTTATCTCCAACAAAATCTTCAATTTCTATTTTTGTGGCTGCTCGTTCTATTTTTAAATATTTGATAATTTTATTGTGGAATCATTTCGCCATATTTTTCATTCTAGGAACTCTCTTGTACGTTTTCTTCAGATACACATTACAACTTGGGGAGAAATCGAGTGGTGTTCTTATAATGACATTATCTCTTCTTGTAATCCTTCTTATTCTGTCTCTGACATAACTGCTATGGAGCCATTTGTACATTTTCGCTTTAAGAAACACCCACCACATCCGGTTAATTCTTTCCACGAATCTAATAAAATACAATTTTATACATTGTATACACTATATACCCAAGTAATAATAACAATCAAAAGTCGGTTAATTATTTCCCCATTCCGCTTTGCACAAGGTCAGAATCTACAACCGCCTCTCTTGGAAAGTCATTGTTCACGAGGTCATAGTTCACATTCGTAAAGAAGTTTTTCTATCAAAAACCCATTCCACTATCAGAACTATCTAAGATATTTACCAATTGCCATATCGCCAAATGGACAATATCGGGAACATGTGTTGTCACAGCACATATTGTGCGTATTTATTTCATGTTAACATAAAATATTCATGTGTGTGTAAATACCCTTTTTCTTTCTTTCTACCATTCCTTCTTTATTCACCTTATAAAGCACATTTCAATGAGACTAAATATTTTAATTAAAATGTAGAAATTTGTTTTTTTATTTTCCTAAGAAAAATTTATTAAAATTAATACGCTTGCTCTTTAAACCAAAAGAAAAACTATCAATAAAAAGAAAGGTAAATATGAATAAAACGTCTTTAGGGTTGTATTTTTTCTCTCAATCGACAAGAAAGGAAAAAAAATGTTTTATTCTTTTTTCTTTCTTTCTTTCTTTCTTTCTTATAAATTCTTCTTACTAAAACTTTCTTCTCTTTCCTCTATACCTATTCCTCATCGGTCCCTACTTTCTGTTCTCCATACCGCGTACAATAGATACATACTTAACACATAGACTTTATACGTACACAACATATACTTCCCATAGCGTATCTTTCTGTTTACACCTCTCTCACAATCCTAATTAGAGATCATAAGAAAAGGATAAATTAACGGATAATTTCGTCTTTGTTAATTAAAAGCTATTTGGTATGTATTATTGCCGGTCTAAGTTATTATTATACTATTAACGTAAGAAAAAGATTCGCGAACTAATTGCCAATTAATATTCTGATAAGAGGATTTAAAAAATCGTCATAAGGCTTGTTTTTATACAGCAACCTGCGGTTAATCCAGATCGAATATTTAATATTAACGTTAATTACTAAATTACAGAAATTAAAGAAGTATCCAATCAATTTCTTTTGTACGTTTCTTAAAATTTAAATAAGCGATAGAGATAAAGTAGAATTCTTTAATTCTAAATGTTTCTTAGTCTGTTATATCTACCGCACAGTCTATATTTGTATATGTACTGTATGTATATAAGGCTTATACTCAAACAATTATACACTATATTAGATTGACAGTACTACTATATATAAAACAATACATAGAGTATACAGTATATGCGGCATACAGAGATACTAATTTGAGGATATACGCTGTATTATAATAATTATTATTACTGTTTTTATTATTATTATTATTGTTATTGCTGTTGTGGCTGTTGTTATTATCGTTGTTATTGCTCTATCTTTAAATTTCGTCTGCAAATGATTTTAACCTTGTTTACAACTGAGAATTTGTAAATGTGTGAAAAACTTTTTATTTATTTTCTTTCTTTTCATTTTATAAAGGAATGTATTACATAATAATTTGGTTTTAAATATTTAATGACGTACATTTCGTGAGTAATTGCTTTACGGGTGATTGCCGTAAACGTATACTGCCTCTACCTCAACTGAAATAGATAGGTTATGTGGCAATATGTACAGTTATTTCTAAATCTAGAGGCTTAACGAAAACAGTCGAGTATATGCCGTATATATTAAATGCGTTGTATACTTGATAAGATATTGTAGAATATATATAAATTCAAGAAAAATAAAGATTTATCAATTGAATGGTGGATACTAAAAATAGACTCTATATATAAATATATATATATATATATATATAATATTTGGGCAAACAGCTACTTATATATATATATATTGAAATATCTATAAATAGACGGTACTGTTAACTATCGTTTGTGTATTTATTATATAGAATTAAGTAGGAAACGTAATTGTCAAATACTTATTGGATTAAATAGAAAAAAATTATTATTAGATATCTAAATAAAAAATCAGTAAAAATTGTTCCATTGGCGAGCTAAGAATAATTCTACGATGAAAAATATCGCCTCTAGTAGAAAGTCGGTCGCCTGAGAGAAAAAATCGATAATGTGTATAGAAAAACTCTGCAACGGCAGATTTTTACAGTCATGCACGCGTCGTCGTCGACGCCCGAACTGAAAAATAGACGTCGAAAAAAAGACATACGATTTCCTTTGCTCGTCTCAGCACCCCTTAGACTTTGCTTATCGACTCTAAATTTAGAAGCGGTTCTCACCGATACTCGCGTAGGCTTATGAATATTGATGAGATAATCCGATTATTTATCTCTTCCCTTTCTTCCAAAAGGTTTCCGAAGGAGCAGTTGCTTCTGGAGAGGATAAGAAGAAAAAGAAGAATATGTTCTCATTTGTAATGCCTAATAAGAATAAGAAGACGAAAGAGAAAGATGATTTGCAAGGTGAAGGCCAATTATCAGATCCATTGACTTGGAAGAAGTCTTTCGATACTTTGTTGCATGACAAAGGTGAGTTGTTTTGTAATTTCATTTTTTCCTTTTCCATAGTTATCTCTCTCATTTTTTTGTCTTTTTCTCTATATCTTTCTGTTTTCAAGTAAATAACGATACTCTCTCATCTGTCTCCCGCTCCTCTCTCTCTATCTCTCTCTATCTCATTGTAAAAGAATATTCTTTTTATCATTTAAAAACAATTTTTTTTATCAATTTACACTTACTTCTCTCCTTTTCAATTTTGTATGAAAAAAGTATGAATAATGAATAATTATTCATACTTATTATTATGATATTTCTTTATAATCATAATTTCAATTCGTAGAATGTTAAAATAAAACAAAAACCTTATGTTCCATTAATACAAAACGATAAAATATGTAAACAGGGAAATAATCTAAAAGCAAACCTATATAAGTAAACAATTAAGATCAAAATTTAAAAAGATAGCGATAATTAGAGTTATTAATTATGTACGGATATGTGCTGTAAATTTACAAATGCACTTGGAATATTTCTTATTTAGGAGAAAACAAAACAAAAAGAGAGAGAGAGTGGAAAAAAAAAGACAGGTAGATCTAGAAATAGAAATGAGTATAAAGAGAAATATTCCATCTTTTACACGCTCTCCCTTTCTCGCTCGCTCGCTTTAACCAGTATTTTCTTTCTAACAAGTTAAAAAAATTGATTTCTTTTTGCGAATGAATAAAGAGAAAAAGAGATAGATTAACATCGATAAACAATTTCTACTAAAACTATTAATAATTAAGAAAAAACATAGAATTATAATAGAAAATATATTTAACTTTTTTTCTATCTCTCTTCGTATATTTCTATTATTAAAAGATAATTCTGAAAAGTATCCTAGACAAAAGATTACTTTGTACAAAACATTTCCCGTTTATTACCCCTATTAGAATACCAATTCGATCGATTATTATTATCTATTTTTGCTAATTAAACGCTTTTCTGCTCCCTTTTTTTTCTTCGTTCAACATTTTTATCGTTCTTTCAATTAATGGAAAATGAGAGGAAAGCGCATAGTTTACTTTTTGAAAATGTTTGGAGTACTAGAGAAAAGAGTAAGCCTACTGTTCATAAGTGCTCATTTTGTCTTTTCATACAATTTTATTGATATTTTTTAAATTAGTAAAAGAAAAAAAATTTTCCAAGTGTGTATTAGCGATATGACCTGAAATACGGAAAAATCGATAGTCATGGCATCTTGATTACCTAACGGCCTTCAGTGTCACCTTTAAATTTTTTTTTCATTATCATTATTTAGTTAATATTAGCTAAAATTCATATTTCCTATTCCCGTAATTATTTCTGTTTGACCTAAAGAAATAAGAACCTTGACGTTTGTTGATATTCTTTATTTATATTTATAATTAAATTTTCCGTATAACGGAAAGAGAGCGAAAGGAGAAAAATGTGAAAGAGGGCTAGTAGACTAGACTTGTAGAGGAGAGATAGTAATGCGTTAATCTACTATATAAGCATTCATACAGAATGTATTCAATAGACGAGGTGGGTACTGGGTAAGAGACTTTTTTTTGGGAATTTATTAAATAAACAAACTATACTGTATGTAAAAATCAAAATAGGTTATAAATCTAAATTATCCCCATTCTGACACTTTTCCCCCATCAATCTTGTCAATATTATTATCTGTAAAATGTATTCCATTTTCTCTTATAAACAGATGGTTTAGAACAATTTCGTAGATTTTTAACAACCGAATTTTCCTCGGAGAACATAGAATTTTGGATAGCCTGCGAAGAATATAGGGAAGCTGACAAACATGAACTTAAGGAGAAGGCTGAAAGAATTTATGAAGACTTTATTAGAGAAAGATCTCATCGTCAGGTAATATTAAATTCTCAACTATAACATATTATTAAAAATACATGTACTTAAGAATAAATGTATATTGTATACACGCCTATATGTACAATATACATCCTTAGCAAACGCATGTACAGTATAGATGCTGTATATATATATATATATATATTGTATATTATAAATTTATTTCCTTGTACAAATGTATGAGAGCACTTTTTTATTATTTAAATGAATCAAAGGGTGTAAAAGCGGAGTACTGATGCTTCGTTAATCTATATGTAAATGTAGAAGCAGAAGTGCTTGCTATGCGTGGAAATAGAAAGGGCCAGGGGGCAGTAGTTAGTATAGCCTTTACTGCCACCTACTGATCTTGTTATGCCAGAAGCCAATATTACTTTTAATACTTTCCAAAATCCTTTTTGACCGTTGCACCTTTTCCTAGTTCCTTTTTATTTATATTCTCATATGTTGCCTTTTCTTTTTCTTTAATTGTACAAATCATTTAAAAAGAACTATATGCACAAAACACCAAAATAACAGGTTAATCTCGAATCGACAATCAGAGAAAGTACTATAGCAAGTATCCAAAATCCGAATGCGCAAACTTTCGAAGATGCTCAAAAACGAATTGAAGCGTTGATGAGTAAGGATTCCTATCCTCGATTCATACGATCAGACGCCTACAAGAAGTTAATAAAGAAATAAACTGAATAAGACTAGAAATAAAATTAGGTCAAACGCAAAAAAACATTGAGCTATCTAGTCAGCCTGCAGAATATTATTGTTTGGAAGAAATCTGGATTATACTGTACAAACAAAACAAGCTGCCTCAGCGAAAACTGCCGCCATCTTTCCTCGCTCTAGGATACTCAAAAAATGGTCGTGCGAGTATAGTTATTACAAAATTTTTGTTACTCATTTCATTCTTTGCTGTAGCTCGTAAAAAAAAGTATTAACTCATTTAACCATATATTCTAAATATACCTCTATAAACTTGTATATATACGTATATATATACGAGTATATATAGTTTACTATATGTATTTATATATATATATATATAGAATAACTCTTAATATATACATATGTATAACATATACAGTATGCTTTTACTGCATATACAGTATACTTTTATATATACTATATGTGCATATGTATGTAAGAATCCAGAATCTCACTCGCTTCACTCATTTTATGCTAATTTATGGTAATTTCAGTGTAATAAAACGCAAAGCAATTTGTTATAAATCACTCACGTTGTTGTGCAAAGGAAAAATATTAATTTAATATATTTATTGCGCCAAAATTCTCGTGTTTTGACAATAAAATTCCCGTGAAAACTAAAAAAAAGTACACGGAATTATTAGTGGAAATGGTAAAACGAAGCTAGAGCCAGATAAAAAGTTTCTAAACAGCTGCACGTGTTGTGAATATTGATTATAAACTGCAGTGTGTTTTTAGCTTTAATTATGAATTTATAGTATAGATGTCAGTAGTTTATACAACGTTCTCTTAAATGTTTTCATAATTGTTTTCATTCTTATCATCATCATTATAATCATCGTCATTGTCATCTTCTTCGTTATCGTTTAATTTTTTATTATTAATGTAAATATAATATAATTTTTACATATCTAACATGTTTTTTTTTCTTTTTTAATATCTTCATTTCATGCTAAAACAGTCTTTTTTTCTATTTCTTTTTCTTTTTAAAGCAAAATACGAAATTCTAACCAAATACATAACTTTACAAGAAAACCTATAACTGTAAAAGAGACGTCTATCGACGCCTTACTTTAAATGACTAAATCTATTCTCCTATATATTCTAATTTGCGTCGACTGGAAGTACTCTTTTTTTTTTTCCTTCTATTTTCTACATCTCTCCCTTTCTTCAAGTCTGACCTTCTTACTTAGAATTTAAATTCCTATCTTTTCGTTACAAACACTTCTTTTGTTTAAACATTAAGCCTATAAAAAGAATAAACTAAAGCTGAGTGATTATTCTTTAAATGATAAAAAGAAAGAAAAAGCAAAAACCTTAAAGCTTTAATATAATAATATTTATTTTTAGAAGGAAATCCTCTTTCTGGATACTTTGTATTGATATAATTAACGGTTAGGTTTTTAAAGATTACCATACTTAATAGTATATTTATAGTAATTCGTCATTAACAAATCAAGAATCAATTTTTCAAACTAACAACAAAGAAAGTGTCTTTTTCTTATATATATATATATATATATATATATATCTCGCTCTCTTTTTAAGTAGAACAGTGTTTAGGTTTAGTTTATCTTCTTTATACTTAGCATACTATGTTCTCTATTGATTTTTAAAATATAGATATTATTAATTCTTAGAGTATAGTTGATAGTTTTACAATATCGGCCTATTTCCACGATAGTAATAGGATTATCATCGACGTCATGTAAGCCGGACTATGATGAAAATTAATGATTTAGTTTAAAATTCTCGTGCTGTAGGAAAGTCAAAAAATAGAGATATAGATAAGGAGATAGATTGAAAGAGAAAGAGAGAGAGAGATAGGGAAGGAGGCGGAGGAGGGATAAAAGAAGAGAGACAGAGAAAGTTAGATCTGCAGAAAAAGATCATAGAATTAAATATGTTTTCGTTTCTCGATTCCCAGTAAGTATTTTATATATTAAATAGAGTATAAAGACTCGGAAGAGTAATTAAATTACTCTACAATGAATATATCATCTCTTTATTTAAATATTAATATAAGAAATTGATAGATAAAAAGTGTAATCTTATGTGAAGCGTCGTTTCTTTGAAAATTACTAAAAAGGAAGAAAATGTAAAGAAATCTTAAGAACAAATGGAAATAATGAAGACGTTGTTAAAATTGAAAATTTTAATGTTTTTAGAACAGAGGAGAACATCAGTAGAAATCACCGAGCAGTTGAAAGGAGAAGGAGGAATAAGATGAACTCGTATCTCAAAGAATTGTCCTCTATTGTACCTATGTGTACAGTCCTTAGCAGTCAAAATAAGAAATTAGACAAATTGACCATACTGAAACTCACAGCCCAACATCTAAAGTCAATTAAAGGTTTATTAATAATAATTACAATAGTAATGGTATTTATAGCTGAATTACAAATATAATAGATAGGATTAACGCATTAAAAATGACTCTTCTAATCTTAAACATAAACTCTATTTAGGTTGCGAGACTTCTAAAAGAGAAGAAGTTCAAACATTTTTCTCTTCAAACGATTTAAGACATTTCTCCTATAACGTAATATTCATTTGCATATATAACTAATTGATTATTCTAATTAACCTCAATTCTTAGATGATTGATGGATTTTCAATGGTGATTGGATGTAAGAGAGGAGAAATTTTCTTTGTATCGAAATCAGTTGAAACTATCTTGAATTATTCTAATGTAGCTATTAACAATCAAAACTTTTTATATCATTTGCATTTAGGCCTGAAATACTAAAATAATTTTTGTATTAAAATTCTTAGACAGAACTTGAAGGTCAAAATTTATTTGAATTTCTACATCCGAATGATTTAAATTTAGTTAAGGAACAAGTCCTACATCGTGGAAATTTTCCAAAACCATTTAATCGTTAGTTAAACAAATATTAACGTCTTATTTCTTAAATACAAAGGCGTTTGTTATTTACTAAGCTGAGGAATCTGTGAATAATTTATCCTGTGAAAATTGGAACTTATGGCCAGGCGATAGGAGAAGCTTCTTTTGCAGATTCAAAATAAATCGAGAGATTGCCTGCTTATCTAATGAGGGCACTTACCAAATTGTTCATTGTACAGGTTTACGCTAATTTTTTATGATTTTATCTTGAAAATATTTCGTTAATAAAGTAAACGAAGGAGTTAAGAAAGTAAACTCGCTTCAGGTTATCTCAGAATATTTGGTATAAGCAATTCTAATAATGAAGACGATGAAAGCTCTAATAAAAGTTGTCTGCTGATGGTAGTTAGAAAAAAGGAGTCTGAAGAGACTAAAAACTCATTAGGCTTCCTTTACCAGTCGCCGCAATTCTACGTTAAACAGTCTACAAATGGGAAGTTCACTTTCGCAGATCTAAGGTAAGAAATAATTGAAGACGATTTCCAAAGAAAAGCTTTTGTCTTTCTTTTATTCGGGATATCTAGTGTATTTGAAGTACTCGGCTACCTTCCACAAGAGTTAATAGGTTCCTCTTACTACGAACTTTGCCACCAAGATGATGTACCGAATCTAACAGAAATATACGAACAAGGTAAACCGAGTCTACGATTGTGTATAAACAGAGTACTCTACATGCGCGTACACAAGTGCGATTTTAACTGATTCTCTTTCTATTCTTTCCTTTTATATAGCATCTTCTAAACCCAATTCACCTATAGTTAAGGTACTTAGAATACGTAAGAGAAGCGGAGAATATGTTCACTTGAAGACTAAAACGATTCGCGTTGAGAATTCCTATTCAAAAATTGTTGAATTTCTTATTACAACAAACAGTTTAGCATCAATCGATAACTTTGAAAGTGATACTTCAACAATTAACGAGGGTTGCGCAATAAATGACAAAAGACACGAATCAACAATAGTTGGTTTAGGATTAGGATGCGAAATTGTCGAAAATATTACTGGTACAAAGTCCAATTCTGAAAATAAAGATGAAATCAATTCTACTTTGGAAAAAGTAATGGATTTAGAAGAAAATGATACTTACTTTGATGGAATCCAAAATCTAATGGATGCCTCCTGGTAATCCTCTCTTTCGATACTTTTGAACATTAAATATCCCTTATAATACGAGAGTTTTTAATCTATTCAACTCATTTACAAGTAGGCTTTAATCACATATTAATTGAATAATATAGAATAAAACTCTATATATATTGTATATATATAGTATATTATTAATGAAGATAAAAACTTTATAAATTCTATACGATTAAGTAGATTATGAAAATATCATTGGATTAAGAGAGAATAAAAAATTTAAGTATACTTATTTCAATAATTTAACCAGTGATCTTGTGTACATCGATAGAGTATTAAGTTGATTATTATATTTTCTTACTTCAATAGAATCCTTCTCCCTTTTTACCCTCTCCATTCACCATTTAAATATTACCCTTTCATTTTATACTGTATATATATACAGTATATATATATATATATTAATATATAATTTAATTGATTATTTCATTTGAAAGCTTATTAAATATATTTAATTTAATTTATTTCTCAGAGTTAACTTAAAGATTATTAAAGAGGACAAAATCGATTATTTAGGCATGATTGTAAAGAGGTAATACATATATATAAATTTATATATATATATATATATAATATATATATATATACATACTTATATAATTATGGATATGTACAAGTGTAAACAAACACGTATTGTAGCTTTGCTAATTAAAAAATATCTTATACTGTATTAGCAAACTGAAAATTAAAAGAAAGTGTGAAATTTCCTTTTTCCTTGATATCCAATGAATAAAGGATGCATTTTTGGTACACACTTAGGAAAACTTGATTTATCTGGACTCCATTTTCCGTTAATACAAGTAGTTCCTCTAGGACCTTGTAATTTATATCCGGAATTACACTATTAAAGAAATAAATCAATTAGTAGAATTGATTATTAAAACTAATATAAAAGTAACGTATTTAACGGGGCATTTTCATTCCTATTCTTCTTATAGGAATATCTATAATAATTTATATATTTACTTCAAACTCTAATTGATCTGTATGCCTTCTTCTATTCGTATACTCTTCGTATTTGTATCTACCCATCTTCCCTACAAGGTAGACCAAACCATTTCTTATTCCTCCCGGTTGTTCACAAACTATTGGTATACATCGCGGTCTGAAAGAGAAAGACAACGTTAAAATATAATGAAACTCTTTATATACAATAGATGGCGCTCTATAATTGAAAGTTACCTGTGTCCAACCCAACGACCCTTTTGACATTTTACGGTTGGATGTCCTTTTAAAATAAAACCACTAAAGCACTCGTACTTGGCTTCGGCCCCGTGCTGATTACTATTAAAGCGCATAACGCCGCTCTCCAAATTCTCCAAGCTAGGAGGACGTCTGGCACACGGAGCTGGGACGCAAGATGGCAGATCTTCCCATGTACCTAAAGGAAACAGTATATTTATATATGGCTATCTGAATTGGTTTTAAGAGGTGATCACAAGGGATACACAGTAAAACTAGAATCTTATTGTTGTAGATGTAGTTTCTCTTTCGAGCAAAGGATACTGTTTTTCTTTTCCTCCTAATAAATGAAAATTCTCTCTACACATCTAATGCAGACTATTTGCATATTATCTTAAAGGGATATCGCCTAGTGAAAAAAGCCGATAATACCATTTTAGGCTAAACGCCGTACGAAAAGTTTCACTTTATACGTGTCTTTTACCATTAGGCTGAAAATAGCCCTTAGGACAAGAGGACTTTCAAAGGGATGAACTGTAAATTCCTTTATTACCATTATTACAGAATGATTTCTTCTTATGCCGATTCTCTAAGGCGTATCCCTTCTTACACGAAATCACTACATAATTGTCGTGATTAAAATATTGAACAATTCCAACATTGTCATTGTGAGAAGTGTAGACTTTCGCGTGTCTTACTTTAGGAACTGTACATTGCTCTATTGAAAAATTAGGAGACAAATTATGAAAAATGTTCGAGAAACAATTGTTTAGTAAACGTTGTTTACATACTTAAACATAGAGGAGGGCTATGATCCCATCTTCCATTCTCTTGGCATGTTATGGCCATGTGACCTTTGTGTGTTGATCTATTAGCGCATCTGAAGAGAAGGCGAAAGAAAAATATTAAATGCTGATACTATTAACGACAAGTTAACTTAAGAGGAATACTGTTTCTGAAAGGATTCTTATACCTAAATGTTAATTTAACGCCAAAAGTTGTCTTTATCGGTGAAGTAATCATTCCATGGGGAACATGGCCGGGATATCCACAATCGACAACTATCAACAGAAGAAATATAATAATAAAGCAAAAAGATTCAATTATTAACAGTGAAAAGTCGTTAAATTCTACATTTTTTCAATGATTCTGTCTAAAGTTATCAGTCAGAATGCTCTGCACAATGACTTTGTATTAACCTGACACATACATATGTATATATATTTACACTATACACTATACACCACTAGATATTCAATAATGAAGAAAATTAAAAGGTTAAGCAGTCATTAAAATTAGGCCTAGAGATTCTTTCTATAAGACGCAAAAGTAAAATTGATTACAGTAGAATTGAGTCGAAAGAGCATTAATGTCGTAAGTGATCTATTGCATTGGTAAATGATAGGTAGAGATGAAGTTGTTCAAAAGACTCTTACACTCCTTTAATATTACTAGGAAGAAAAAGAAAGAGATAAAGTAATTGTCATACTTGCACATCTTGCTGACTCGCCGCTCCATCTTTCATTGGCGGAACAAATCCTTTCCCTATCTCCTTTTATCTCGAATCCTCTCATACAATTGAATGTCGCTTTGTCACCGTACTTTAAACTGATAAGGTTCTTTTTGATATATTTCCTGTTCCTATTCCAGTATACAACTTCTCCATTTGAAGGATTTTTCAAGAGAGGACATTTTATTGCTGTTGATTATTAAAACTATCAATTTATTGTTATTGCCATAGATACTATCATATTCATCGTAAGTGAAGTAAATTGTTTTTAATGAACCTCAATTTCAAAGGGAAATTCCATATAGAGAACTTACGTAGACAATGAGGCTTTACTCCTTCCCATTTTCCGCTCGAATTGCACTTTAACGACTGACTTCCATGTAATTGGTAACCTTCGTTACAGGTAAAATTCACTTTACTCATATATACAAAATCACCGACTTGTCTAACTCCATTGTGAATATGACCAGGATCCGGGCATGCCTTAGCTATTCAATAGGAAGAATTTAATTAATTCTAGTAGCATGTTAAAAATATAGTTTTGAGGTTTGGACGAGTTTAAATAATAGGATAGATTAGCTGTACTAGCAGAGGAATTTATAGTTTTTATAACTTGGTAAATATATTGTCTAAATTATATATAAACAGTATATATATGGAGAGAGTAGGAGGAAGAAAGAGGTCTAAACTCTATTTATTTAGACGAGTCAGAGAAAGGGAGAAGAGATTTTTTTATCTTTCTTTCGTTTTCTTTTTTTCTATTTAGTTTCTTCGGTAAACAAATGTTAAGTTTGTTTGTAAAACTATCATCAATATGTTATAAACAAATGATAAATAATGGAATTTTTGAGCCAAAAAATTACTTACGATTACACTTAATTGTATGCTTAGTCCATAGACCATTATCTAAACAGGCTATGATGGAAAATCCTTCAGGGTCGTAGCCTATTTCGCACGAGTAGTAAATTCTGTCTCCGACATTGAAATATTTTCGGCCGGGTAGAGAATCCGGTTTTGCGTGTGAAATGTGCGGAGGTGGAGGACATTTTCCTTCAATTTCGCATGATGGAGCAGTTAAACCCCATTTTCCATCTCCTCTACAAACCCTTACATCTGGTCCGTTGAGTGTGTAACCTTCGTCGCAGGAATAACGGGCTTTTGCATTAAAACGATTATATGGTTTTACGTCAACAGCCCCGTGTAGAATTGACAAAACTTCTTTACATTTTCTGTCTATAGAAATATTAAGATAATTAATTAAATTAGAATAACATAGAATTGAATGAAAAAGTTATTACTGTGTCTGACACAACTCATTCCGCAATCACCGTCGCAAAAGCACTTCTTCTTTCGTCCTCTGCAGTCAGAGTTCGAATTACATTTTTTCAGACATTTTCTCTTGACATCTAATTTTCTAGTACAACTTGCGTCCACTGCAAAATGGTTAGATTTTCAGTTAATCAGCGGAAGATATACAAAAATAGAATGGTAAAAAAGAGCGGATATTGCTTATAAAGAAGAATTTATAACCAACGATAAGAAAGTTCGATTTATCGGAGACCTTGATCATCATCGCCTAATTAGCTTTGGAGTGAATAGGAATAACAAACACATTTATTTAACTTATTGGAATATTGATCAGCTCGGAAAAATTTGGAGGAAATAATTGACGTTAATCTACCTATTATCCAAATAATAGAACTTTTTCTTTCTATTTATTTGATTGAAATCAAGAAGTCTATCGATCATAGAACGACTTTCTTGATCATCCGTTCAGTTATTATCTATTTGTAAAATCTGTTTTGTTTGCATTAATTTACCCTGTCAAGAACTTTTATATAGATTTCCTATTTTTTCCATTGTTCCTTTATCCTTTACTTTTCTATAAATGTTTACCAAAAGAAGAAAAAGAAAAATTAATGTTAAATAAATAGAGAAAGAACTAAAAGAATTATTGTGCCTTTCTTTTCTCTTCTACAAGAAAGTCATTCTTTAAACTAAAGCCCATCAACTCTATTCTCAAACGTTTCTCTCCAATTCAATCCTATTCATCTCTGGTAATGAAAATCTATAAATATTTTAATTTTAACTTTCCAATGTCATTTGTATAGAAATTACAGGCGAACTTCTTTAAAATATGTACTCTATGTCCTTTCTTTTATATTTTTTCTTTTTCTCTTTCTTTGCGTTTCTTCACTTCCCTCTGTGTGTGTATGTCTCCTCAATTCTACTTTCCTTCTTTATCTAACTCTATCTCTGATTCTAAGCTATAGTTATCTAATTCTAATTAATAAAAGAATTCATGAGTAACAGGTTAATTATATTTTCAACTATGCATCTCTTTGTTAGATAGTTTCATCTTTAAATTCTTAACTACGACGGCGAAAAGAAAGAAAAAGCAGAGAAAAAAGTTGTCAATATTTTTTCAGTTTCTTCTCATTCTTTCCATATTTTCGTTTCGTTACATGAAATATTAGTAAACATTCTTACTTACCAACGCATGAAGCAAGTAAAATTGATAGGAGTAAGCTTGCGAGAGTCGCGTTCATGCTTGTCAAAGCGTCTCTAAAGTGACGCCTTGTTCGTTGTGGCTCACTTTTTATAGGCAAGTTTTACCAACGCCGTACCATCAAGTGCAGTAATTTATTTCATCTGTTATGTTTTTCTTTTGGTTTTTATATTTTCTTGTTTTTCATTATTCATCTGTCAAAAAATGATTTCTATGTACAATAGTTGTTTTTCTATCAACTGTATATATGCAGTATATATTTATATTACTAATAGAAGGGTTTAGAAGCGAATTGACCTGCAAAATAACATACATTACCAATATTTCTAGATTTTTCCATAAGTACTTTTTCATTAGGATAATTCCTGTTTGTATTATAGAAAGAGTAGAGAGAGGGAGAGACAGGCAGAAGGAGAGAGAGAGAATCACGGACGGACAGACAGATAGACATAATAACAGATAGACACATATGTATAAATAAACTTACACATATAGAGACAGAGAGGTCATGTGATTTTTACTATATATGAGAGAAATTGCATATATACGATGAGAAGAGTTTCCCTGTTTTATCCTCTTTGATAAATCTTCATTTACATAAATTATGTAAGAATAACTTTGCAAGAAGATAACTAGTAATAAGTTAACTTGATAAGCTATTTAGTTTTAACCTATTCAACAAATCAGTTACTCATGCTTTAGAATTTCTTTTCCCTCTCTAATAACTTGGCTTATCTAGTTTTAATTATTAATTATTCAAATAACCATTATTTATATACATATATGCATATACAGTATATATATATATATATATATATACTGTATATATTAGTATATATATTTATATATATTTGCATAACATATATTTCTAAAAATAGATTTATTTTTTATGCAGAGATGGTTTTTCATAAGATAAACTTTTGCGACAAATTTATTTCTTCTTAGCAATATTTGCCGTTGGGAAGAAATAATAGAGTCGCCATCTGTAATATGACTGCCGTCTAGTGGAGAATACAGAAATTAAATTTCTGTATTTAGTATTTACAATACTGGATTTCATTGATCAAGAAATCGAGAAGGAAATGAAGAAACGTCTTTTTTAGACATTTTTGGTGACCAAGTTAAAAAAAATAAAATGATTGGACAGAAGCATTTGCAGGCAAGATAATTCTTATTTATCGCCCAGAAAATTATCAACACATCATTAACTTAGATTTTCCACAATTTTTTCCAAAAAACCAGTGAGCAATCACGCTCAATTTCCAGTCAGGAAAGTCAAGGAGGAAACCGTTTCCAACCTTTTTGCAGTCAACTAAAACAGCACCTGCGTCTTTTCGCACGTTTTTTCTATCGATCTAACAAACAAGGACAAAAAAGCGCTCTCGATTTTTTCTGCACTCCATCATTAACTATGACGCCATGGTTATTTTGCCGGACGTTAATCGACTGTAAAATTGTTCGCTTCAATAATCTATCCAAAAACTCTTTTCGTTAGTATCAATTGAGGATAGCGTTAATAGATTCTCAACTGATATTTAATTATTATTCAAGTATATAAAAATAATATACATATATAAATAAAGATATATATATATATATATATATATATATATATATATATATATAGACTAAATAGGCAAGCTATCTAGTTTAATATATTCTCATGACCCTCTTTTTTTCCAGTATTATAACTTATATTAAATAATGAAAAGACAAAATATTCAGCTTCAGAAAATGAGACTAAATCTGCAACTAGACTAGACTGCAATTCTTTATACTTCGAGTTCATATACTGTATATATAAAGTATATATATATATATATATATAAATATGATAGTACGCAAGTGTATGCAGTAAAAACCGCAAATGTTTGTAACTTTTTCGCAATTAATTATTACAGGAATACGTATAAAAGTATTTTTCACCTGTTTTCGTCTTTTTTGTTTTGTTGTTTCTTTTTTTTTTGCAGTATTCCATCATTTTTGATATAACCTTACAAAGAACAAGAAATAATGAATTTTTTGAGACGGTAACATGCAGTACATATTGTAAGTACTGTATTTCTTTTCTACTGGTATTTCATCCTCTCTTGAAAACATCAACTGTAAATAGGTATTAATATATATATATATATAGCATATAAAGAACACTTTACGTTAAAAACATGTCTTTTCCATTAGATATTGAATAAATGTATGAAAAATTTATTTCGCTGATTTTGCTGTTTAATAACAGAGGCTTAAAAAAATTGGAAAAGATAAAATTGTAAAACTTCCATTAACACATTAACAAAAGTCGGTAAAAATCCGGTGAAAAGGGATAAAGTAAGATTTACTAAAACGGATAGGTGGAAGAGAGCAGAGACAAAAAATGAAAGATAGAGAGAAGGGTTCGAGGAAAGAGAGGTAGAAAAAGAAATAAGATTATTAGTATAGACTTTGTAGTTTAATTTCTTTCTTCTTTTAAGATTAAACATTAATTGAAGGAATAAAGAAATATGAATTTTCTAAATAAAAAATCCATAAGAATATCAATTTTTCATTGATTAATTGTAGTCTTTTATTTGTTGTTCTTTCTTTTTTGTACTCTGTAATTTTTTTTATAGCATCAACACTTTTCAGTTTTCTGATATTTTTTCTCACATCGTAATATTCCTCTACATGCACTTTGTCTAGATTTCTGTTAGGGAGGAATACCATGATCTCAAGGACGAACTGTGTTTAGAGGCAAATCGAATTTACACCGAATTGGGTCAGGCTTTTAAAAAATCTTATTACGCATTGGCTAAATATATATATATATATATATATATAGTATTAATCTTGAAAAAATAGAATAAGAATATCAGTGAATTTGTTATTAATGTTTAGTAAAATTTCTCAAATTAACCTGAAAGAAAAGACAAGAAATATTTTAATATATATTAAAATACAATTATGTTAGCACTATTATCAATACTATTGCCAATATATGAATAAACAACGATTAAAATAGAATTGTAAGTAAATTATGAAATGAATCTCCTCTTATATCATTAAAATATTAGAAGACGGAGAAGGCTATATATATGTATATATATATATATATATATATACATCTTGCTCTTTGGTTTATGGCTAAAGGAAACACAAATTAGTGATGGACTTTTAATCTCCTACTTAGTAAATGATAAATCATGAGAAGATATTAGGATATTTGACTCTTTTGCAGTGTAAACAGAATAAAAGTAGTTGCGAGGTTACGACTGTTCACACATACACACACATATATACAGTATATATATTTATTTATACAGTATATGCATTATAATGATAATTAAAGAGCTAATTAAGGATATTATACAGAAAGAGATAGTTATCATAAATTATTATACTTTTATTGATCTATATATTAATTTACACGGCAATTTTGAATGTACGTATAAGTTTATCTGCAAAATGTATTATGTATTATACATATTTATTATATACTGCATATATATTTCTATATTTATATATATACCTATTGCTGTACGTACTGCATATTGTATGCTAAATCATTTATGTTTACGTTCTGCACGGAGATCCATTAATGGATAAATTCAAATTGTATTGACGAGCATTCATGTTGAACATATAGAAAAGTATGAGGAAGAAAGAATACCTTAATATTTAAGAATATTGGATAAGGAGGGGTCAATAAGGAAAAAAGCAACTGCTACTGCTTTTCTTTCTTTAGTTTCCCTTTTATGTCTGCAATATATTTAATATCACAGGCAGATCAATAATAAAGATAAGCGATATGTTTTCGATGCACCCTGAAGCGTATCAAGCTTATCACGTGACCAAAGACGGCCAATAGGCGTTCTCTATTCTCAAAAACTGTCTCATTCATCACGATGCCAACTGGAAAGTAACTATTGCAGTTTCCTCACGAACACGATGATTATTCTCCTTATACTTATTGCTTTCGCAGGTAAGTTTTTGAGTTGATCTCTTGTTTGACGAAATAAAATATATAAATTCCACGTTGAAAATCAATTTCTCTTCATCAACACTTCGTATTATGCTAACGTTTTCTTTCTATAGTAGTTTTTTTCCTACTCTGACCGCAACGATAAAATACAGTAGAGTAAACTTTGGCGACTTGACCATGTGGAAAATCCCATATAGATGAACGATTGTTGTTCTGTAGCGTTTTCCCTCTATTTCTTAGCTTACTACGCCCATGTCCTATTACTATTCAGTTATAGGATTAAATATAGTCTTAAATTTATTTTCTAGTCAACAATCGGTTACAACTTTTTACTGTAAAAGAATAAAAACATCTGCTATGACCGGTGAACTGGTGAGAAAGGAAAATACGCTTGTGGTATATATTCTTCGTTGCAGTCAATTACCAATTTCAGAAAGTGCTAAACCATAAATACTTAACTTTTTCCAGATATATAGATAAATGGCTGTTTTGTTTATACAGCCTAAAAAAGCGAAAAAAATCCCTTACTGCCCTTTTTAGTGATAGTAGTAATTGCTTGCCTTTTATTCTATTTCTCGTCCTAGATGTACAGTAATAGAGTACATACTATATTTATATTAATATTCATATATATATATATCCGTAGTATTCTTAATACTAATTCTTGTTTAATTTTCTCCCTTTTCTCACTTGTTCGTCTCTTTTCTTCTCTATTATCTATCTTTCTTTGTTTCTTCTACTCTTACCAGAGTCAAGTGTTTTTGATTTATCTCTGCAAGCATCCAATTAATCTTAATTTGCTACCAATATAAGAAAGGTTAATTTACAGGTAACTTTGTTGGAAGTCAATAAAGAATTAGATTAAAACGTAAATTTCTTAATAGTATGTGTAAATCAAGGTAAGAAAATAACCAGTAAAAAAATCGAAAATAACAATTATAAGAGGGAAAAACTGATCTATTTCCCATTTTTTCCCTCTATACTGACGTTATAAAACAAGCTGTTATTTGTAAATTGCAAAGCTATTAGCGTTGTTTTGCTTTTAAAGTAGAGAATAATACAAAATGAGCGAAAGAGGGATGAAGTGAGTGAGGGAGAGAGCGGGGTAGCTATTGCAGTGACTAAAGGATATGAACAAATAGGTGAAGGCGAGAGAAAGGAGGGGAAGGAGAACAAGATAATGAGGAAGAGAGAGAGAGAGATTTTTTGTTTAGTTTGTCTAGATAATCGGAAAAGAATGCTTCATTTACATTTCTCTTTATTAATAATTTTTATTTTAAAAGAAAAAGAAAGAAAAGGTTTAAGGAGGGAAATTTAACCTAATAAATTTTTTATATTTGCTAAAGAAGTTACTAATCCCAAGAATCTCCTATTTATTCTTTAATATTTAAGTATTGAAAACTCTTATTGCCAATTTTAGGAAGTATGGAGGTAACAGAAGCGATTTATTATTTAAAGGCTGTAAAATACTTTCTTTAAAAAATTCCATCAGTTGGAAGCTATTAAACCGTGACCTGAAAAATGGATAGTTAATAAATATAGTGGACGAGAGAGATAGAGAGAGACACGGAAGAGAGAAACGAGAATAGATATAGTAGAGAAAGGATAACTTATCTGTTACATTGTATTTCTTAAATTATCATTAGGGATTTTTGAGCACTATGGTCTAATGCTTGTAAAAAATATATTAGATGTCAATTTACAGTGCTATAGAAGCTATACAATTATAAAATAAAAGGTACAATTGATCCTTTAAACTGTTCTATCAGGGAAGAGCATTCAGTGTATCACGTAGGGATTTAGATAACTGACAACTACAATTCTTATAATACTTTTTATAATTAAAAATTACAGGTTTTCACTCAGTCTTTACGTTAAAAAATAAGCAAGAAATTCAAGTTAAATGTAATTAATATAAAAAGCTGTTTAAAATACTTTTCTATGGTTAATTAGTAATTGTTTCCACTAAAATTTCTTATTTCATTGTAAACGTATATAGTAACAATTACTTGTTACATTTCCATTCGCGACTGGAAGTTGCTCAGTCACGTTTCAAGACTAACCTAAATAAGAATTATCTCACTTACTCCCTTCCTCTCTCCTTCATTCTCTCAATCTCTGTCTCTCTCTTCTCTCTCTCTCTCTCTCGACTTGTTTTTTTTTCTTTTTATATCCATTATTTCTATAGATTATTTGCTGGCTTCTTCCCTTCAATCCATCCACCATCCATCCATTTATTCGTCTATTTAACCATCCTCCTACATCAAAAGAAATTAATTGGTTGTTTGTTTTAAACAGAAAATTTTAATGATAAATTATTTAAACAAATTATAGTTTAGTTTAAACAGTGGCCAAACATTCATTTAATATATTACTAAACATTGAGCGAAAATGTAGGCCATTCCGATCGTTTACCAGCCGGAATTACCAACGATTTCAGATAAGAATTTCACAGCATCTTTCTTTCCGAGACATTAATCCACGATAAATTTTCTTTTTCCCCTTCTTCTTCCTTCCACCTTCTGCTCCTTTATCATGAAAGACTTGCTCAAAAAAATAACTTCAAAACTTCTAAAACATACTTTCATTAAGCCATTAGAAAAAGAAAATGATTAATTTGTTCTACAGACCGCATAAATGGAAATAATTGAATAAAAACAGCGTTACATTCCTTTTTCCTCTATACATCAGTTATAGTTTCACAGCTAAAAACTGCTTCCTTTATCTTCTTTATTTGTAGGGGTGCATATTTCATCTAAAAATGTAAAAGCGTATCTTTTTCTTTTATATTACATTATCAAATATATAAATATATATAAAATGTTACCAAAATGAAAGTTGTCTAATCCATTTCAAATAGCATTTATGTAACAAAGAAACAAAACAAACTGAATATTAGATCCATCAATCTAGATTTTTCAACTGTTTAGAAAATATAATACAATAGAGAAAAATGGTGCAAGTTATATCAATATTACTGTATATCTGTATATGTGTTCTTATTTTGCATTAGGTTGATGACTTATAAAAAATGTAATTAGATTTTGTCATATTTGGTAAGAGAAGTGTACGGAAAATATTGTCAATTTATAATTAACTTTTATCTAAAAACTCGTAGAATTAATATTATTATTCAGTGATATAAAGTAAAAAATCACTTATTTACGTTATATCTCAACTGTACGTGAATTGATAATTTATCAGACGAATTGTAGCTATAGATTGATTAATGCCAAGTTAAATCTAGTAGAAAGAGACGCCTATTGCTATTGAACTCTATATAGTATTTGCTTTACGGTAGATGGAAAAGTTTGCTTCCTTCTTTTTTGTGTACTGTACATCTTACCCTAAAGCCTTTTTCTTTTTATGGCGGTGAAAAAAAATTGACAAGGATTCCATCAAAATTCAAACGCTTATAGGTTATATAGCCTTGCGTGCTATCTAATCTTTGAAAAATTTTGCAGTAGTACAGTAAAACTTTATAGTATTGCAGTGGACTGAAAAGCAATAATGCCAAACGCAAAACACTAAATATTTTATCTGTTCTTGATTGCCAGGCTTACTGACCGTGAAAACTAGTCGAATTGCGAATTCAACATACGCCAGTGTATTGAGAAGTGTTTATAATAATAAATCAACGCATTTCAGTCTCTTTTTATGCTTAACGGTTGGACAATAATCGCCTTTTTGACGTTGAGGAGAAGGGGAATGAAATGCACGATATGTTGGTCTTTCACAAAAATAAGACAGGCTTAAAAAGAGACAGAGAAAATGAGAGGAGTATCAATTAGATGTCGGTCAATAGGGAAAAGCGTGTCGCACCATAAAATTAGACGGACTATCAACTGCAATAAATAGCACCTGAGGGTAGATTTAGTCTTTTCTTTTAGAAGAGACGGGGGGATTTATTGGCAGACTGTTTACCAACTTCTGAGTAAAATGATTTTACGTCCTGCTTCAATTGATTAGCAGTTTAGAAGAGAGTGATTTATCTATTTTTCAACAATATTTATTAATCCTATTTAAAGAATATCTCTTCAAAAATTCCCGTTTAAACTAAAATATTAAAACTACTATAATAAACATTTCTATTTATTATTAAAACACTTTTCATTTACGTGACGCCTATTTCAGAAAGTCAGACGAGATAAGCAAATTCACCATATGCTCTGTAATTATTTATTCAATTTGAGCAAGTATCTCAAAAAGTCTTGACTCTTTTTTCAAATAAAACAAGGTAAAACTTGCTGAAATCTTGGAAAAAGAGGTAAACTCGTTCAAATAAAAAACACATATTAATACATGATTGATTGAGTCTCTTCAATGTGTAATATCCCTCTACTCTCTTTCAAGGTGTATTGATTAGACAGATATGACAAGAATGAATAATGAAACTCATCTTTAATCATTTCAAATCTAATCTCTTCATAAGAGACGCACGACGAAAAAGAAATCATCATAATAGTCTATGATATATCTGGTCATACAAAGCACAAGGGATAGAATATAACTGATGTATTTTTTATTCGAATGATATACAAGCTGAATTAGCAAGAGGAATGTATAATTTATTAGATTATCACCGAATTTATCTGATCTAAATACCAAATAAAAAAAAGAGGACTGAAAAACTGGAGATAGAAATAGAGAGAGAGAGAGAAAGAGAAAGAAAGAAACAAACAAAGATATATTTAATATTTGAAGCATAATGTCTTTTTATATCAAACTCCAAAGTGGAGAAAGAATAAAGATATTTCTTTTTCATGACAATCAACAAGAAAACTAAAGTTATGAAATGACATTGAAACCTTTATAATTCAAATAATAAAGTTCATTATTTGTTATTACACATAAGAAATTCAGCTAAATAGATAGTATTCTTTACTTATAGCCATATTTACATTTCTAGGTTAGTAATACTAATAATAGTATTTACAATACAATATTAAAAAGTAATTATTCAAATTTTAATTATAAACTTAGCTTAAAGGCATAAACAAAAATAAAAAGAGTGTTTTATAAATATTCATAGATAATTGGATCTTGCATATTACCCATCCCCCCTTTTCCTTTCTCTCTCTCTCTCTCTCTCTCTCTCTTTCTCTCTCTTAAGTTTCCCTTAAGCCAGCTTCTATGTATTTCTGATTTTATTTAAAAATAGCTTTTTTTCCTTTACGCTATCTGGTGGGAGAGACAAAACACAAAAAGAGAAATATAATAGAAAATCATATTTATCGATACTAAAATTGGCTAATTTATGTCAATCCTATAACACACTCCGAGTTCATGATATACCGTTTTATTTAGCCATGTATATGTGATCTAATACTATTAGGTGTATGTAAACATTGATTCAGTAATTTTATCTTTTGCCAAACTCATTTATATTAATTTATAAGCTTGAATTCATCATTGGGAAGAGATTTCGATTGAGTTATTATTCTCTCTTAGGTTCTTTGTAATTTAATTCCTTTTCCTTTCATCTTTCTATCTAGATTCATCGTCAAGTGACATCTTTTACGTAACACGTTCGGGCCTTAACCGAGAAACATGCGGGAGTAGATCTATACCGTGCCTAACTATTCGCTATACTCTATCACTTTGCAATAGCGATAAATTATATACTATCAGAGTAGATGGTTCTTGGAACGAATCGTATCTTTACGAAGAATGCAACACGCCATACTCAATATATAATCAATCTATTAAAATAGAGGGATGGAGAGGAGTTCCTACTATTGGCTGCGATCAATTCGCCGCCGAAGATCGAATATTTGCATTTAATAAGTCAAATATAATTTTAGAGAACATTCGACTTTTACACGGAAAAGTCTTAATGAGTGATTCAACAATTAAATTTAAAGAAGTTGATTTTCATAATACAAGCTTTCTTACTAGTCAACTTTGTAATGAATTGAATTTTAGTATGGAAAATTCAACAATGAGGAAACCTTTTATAAAACATTGTGAAAAGATAACGTCTTGTCTAACTTTATCAGATTATATTATCTACTGCAAAAATCTCAAATTATCAATAACGAATAGTCGTATTCACGATACGAAATTACAAATTATCGGACATAATAAAACGGATGTATACATCGACTCGACCTATTTTGAGAAGGTATTAAAATATCAAGAAACTGATCTTGGTGGACTGGATCTTAATGTGTCACTTTGCGGTTCTAAAGTTCTTATAAAAAACTCAGTCTTTAAATCTCAGAGACATCGTAATCCTTTCAAAGGTGCAATAAATATGAATAAGGCCACATTAAGTTTTATTGGTAACCCCAGCGAAAAAAGGCTTCTGAAAGAGAAATGCGAGGAGTATACTATTCCTATAGTTGAAAATTGCTTATTCGAGGATAATGAGAGAGCAATTACGATAACTTACGAATTTGAAAAAATTATTATATCCCATACAAAGTTTCTAACAAACCAAGTATGGCATGCTGGCGCTGCTATTAGAATTGCCCCGGGACCGAATAGCCTCATTCAAGTGGATAATTGCGATTTTATTAATAATCAAGGGGGTCTAGCGTTCTACGACAAAGATGCCGATATTGGTGGACAAATAAAAGTAAATGGTAGAAGAGTCGAATTAAACTGCTCTGATTACCGAGCTGTAATTGATTTAGCGGGAAAAGGAGGAGCAATTTGGATAGCCACTGGCGTTTTAGCTTTGGAAAATTGTACTTTTTTAAATAATACTTCCAGTCTCTTAGGTGGATCTATTTTCGTCGATGACGCTGCTGCCTTATCCTTAAAAGGATGTAGAATTGAAAATTCCGATTCAGATCTTCATCCTCAGCAGGGAGACATGGTAAGTTGCCTTAATTAAACAAGAGAACTAATTATTTTTATCAAAGAGCTTATAGGCCTATATGATGGTTAAATTTCCATCAATCACCTTTGTTAAGGGTTATACAATAAAAGGAGGCGAAAAAAAAAGCAATATAGTAGAAGAAAGACTGACTTTTTCTTGTTCTATAAAACTTTTAATAAATTTCTTGTCCTTCAACTTCAAGTAGAAGTATTGAAGGAATCTTGAAAATGAAAAATTAGCTTCGTCTTCTATCTCGAGAAATATTGGCCTGGTTTTAGTCCCGACTTTCTTCTTCTCTTCCCCTTTTTTTTGTTTCTCTTTCCTTTTTACTCTCCCCTCTAGCTTCACGCTGCAAAAAGCACGAGGCGTCAATAAAAAAGATCCAACAGACATCAGACATTTTCATTACATAGTTTTTAAGCTTCTTTATAGTTTATTTCTGATTTATTTATCAGTTTTTCATTCTTATTATATTATTATAGGTTTATTCAAATGGAAAAGTGAAAATCTCGAGTACAGTTTTTAAAACAAAAACGGCTCATAGGCACGTACCAGTTATCCTACTCTTTGGCAATTATTATTGGAGTATAGACGTAAAAGATCTCTATTTTGAATGTCCTACTGGCCAAAGCGTTCTTATAATCAACGCTTCATCCTATCAAGTCCATCGTACTGGCTTAAAAACGTCTCATCAACTGGATCAACTGACTTATTATTGTCAGACGTGTGACGAAAATCAGTATTCGGTTGATGTCGGCTCTTTAAATTATTCAGTTTCGAGTAATCAATCGGATTTATTGTATGACGCAATAAGAATTGATTCGGAAACTCCGAAACAGACCCACGCTGTACACTACGAATACAAGGATGTTACCTGTCATAATTGTCCGTTTGGAGGTGATTGCTCCCGACATATAAAAGCTATACCAAATTTTTGGGGCTACATTGTTAAAGGGAAGGAAGTAGTTTTTCAACATTGTCCTCAAAATTATTGTTGTTCTAATCTACCGTGTAGTTCAATGTCAGAATGTGCACCTTTCAGAGAAGGTATATTATGCGGTAGATGTCGTCAAGGCTACAGCGAAGGTTATTTTTCCACCTATTGCCTATTGAATAAGGAATGTACGAAATGGTGGACGATAACCTTAGTGGTAGGTCTACAGAGCACATTCGTTGTCCTACTCACTATACTACTACTATTTCACGAAGATTTCGAAGATTTTATCAAGTCGACATGCTGTAAAAGGAAAAGTTCCGTTTTAAAAATTCCATGCGAAAATCACATCGATCTAAATGATGATACAGAGCCATTAAATATCTCTAAAAAGACTATAACATCTATGCAGATTGGTGAGAGTAGCGCTAGCGAGGAGCTACTAAGGAAGGATGAATCGATTAACGATAAGAACGGATTATTGATAATCTTTGTTTATTACTTGCAAGATGCATGGTTGCTCCATATAGACACAGTTTACACAAATTTTACTAAGGGATATCTTAAATATCTTAAAAATATGCTTAGCGGTTTCTTTCATCTTCGAATCGATATATTATTCAATTTTCTAGAAGATTTTCTTGGAAGAATATGCCCCATAAAAGATTTAACACCCATTTTAAAAGTCTCCTTACTCTCTGTAGATATTCTTGGATTCTTCATTCTATTCTTGTTTCTTTTTATTATATCAAAATTGTTGAAAAATTCTGGGACGGTTACTGGTTCACGGCGTTCCTTCAAAACCAGACTAACAAAGGCTTTTACAGTATTTATACTCTTCATCTTTCAGAAAATGACTATTACTGCCTTTAAGTTTTTAAATTGTATAGATATAAACGATGAAAAAGTCTTATTTATTGACGGAACTGTAAAATGTTATCAGCCTTTCCAACTTGGAATAATAGGCTTAGTGACACTATTTATTATTCCCATACCTTTAGTCATCATGTTCGGTCCGAGACTATTGAAAGAAAAATTAATTAGTCTTGGAAGTTTCTTCTTTGGTTGTTTATTTCCTCTTCCAACTTTTGCTATTTGGATCTATAAATACCGGAAACAGAATGCAACTGTTAAAGTATCTCCGGAGAGCGAAGCTTTGCTGGATTTACTGCAATCTCCATTTAAACAGTTTGGAGCGACATGTTGGAGTGGTAAATTAATGATTGGACGTTTACTTTTGATCCTATTCTATTCTTTTATAAACAATTCACTCTACAGGCTTTTATGTATGTTAAGCTGCTGCTGTGTAACGTTTTGGTATATTGTTCAATCTAATCCGTATACAACTTCTAAGAGTAATACCGCAGCCATCTTATCATCAGCAGCATTAGTTGCAGTAGCAGGAATAAACCTGGTGAAGGCAGGTTTCGAAAGCGCTGAATATCATCCCCAAGGTCCTAATTGGCTACTAGTAACAGTATTTGAACAAGTTGAAAATATTTTATTAGTGTGGTTTCCTCTGTTAATAAGTGGCTTGACAATACTGCTGATCATTTGTAAATTATTATCATGTATAATGTGCAGAAAAAAACGAGTTTAAGGTGGACATCATAGCATATATGTGAGTGATTATATATACTGCATAATGTTATTTTTAGATATTTAAATACTAAAATAGATCAATCATTAATATCAAAATATGAATAGGATGATCACATTCATGTGTCTATGTTTTCATCAATTATTAATTTTAAAAATTATTTTTTTTAAAATAAAATCAATTCTCTTAACTCTCTTTCATAGACTGCCTTTCTCTGTTATTACTCTCTTTCTTTCTTTGTTCTTTCTATCTTCCTATCCATGTATATCCAAATTCTGCTTTCCTTTTTGAGAGTAACTTGTTATCTATTTAAAAAATGCACAGTCATATCATTTATATCTCATACTAAACTATCTTTAATAGTATATATAAACAAATACGAATAAACGATAAAAATGCTAACTAGAATTGCATCGTGATGAAAATGTGCTATGTAAATTGACTTAAGTTAATAATGCAGTTGTAATGTTTACTAAGAACAAACAAAATGCGACAAAATCCAATTTTTCTCGTGTTGTAAGAAATATCTTTCGCTTATCCCCTATTTCTCGTTTCTCTGTCTTTTTCTCTGACTGATATTTCCTTTCTGGACCATCTTTCTATCTAACTCACTCACTCTCTCTCTCTCTCTCTCTCTCTCTCTCTCTCTCTCTCCTCCTCTCATCCTAATCATTTCGTTTAGTTCCTACAAATCACTCATTTTTAGTATTAATCTAAAATGATTTATTCAAAGAAATTGAATGTAAATACTAAATATTTTCCTCTCCCTTAACCTTAAAAATGAATTAATCAAGCCTATATACTGAAATTAGTTTAGATTTTATAAATAGGCACTGTAGAATAGAAATATCCTACAAATGTTTGAGGTTTATAATTAATGAATGCATATTAAACATAATGATGGACAGAAGAGGAAATCTAAACGTTCTCAGAGATTTATATTGTATCAAAAATCAAAAATATATTGAAGATAAAGAAGGTATGCCGTCTTTTTGGAAAAAAAACGCTTTTTTTGATAAAAACGCTTGGATCTCTTCTATGGATAATTAAAAACTGAATACTTGTAGAGAAATTGCATATTCTGGTCATGAAATGAATTTACTTATATTAGTCTACTTTAATAGTTTCTTTTACAATTCCTTATGAAAAAGGCCGAAACAAATACAACTGATTATAATAGGCACGTTTTCTATATTGACTAAAAGTTAGAATCATCGATCTGGCAGACTAGTTATTTTCGATATTTTGCAATAGTTTGCAATAGTTTTATTATTGGTGTTATTGTTTCTTAAGCGCACAGGAAAAATAGAGACGATAAATTCATCAATCATCTTCTATCTTATATATTTTCTTATCAAGTTTCTCTTCTCTCTTTTTTTCTATGGCGCAAAGGCAAAAAGTGACACCGTAAAGAAGCTGAGAATTTCCATTTTATCGAATTGGTTAAGATAACCTTAATCTTTTACTAGTAATTCAATGCGTAATGATATCATTTCTCCTGAGGAATCAATTTATCAACAAACAACCATATCAATTTTCCTATAGGAAATTTGACCAATAATCTTATTCCGTATAATTATTAGTCGTTCCTAAAAGAAGTCACCGCTGTTTTCATAAACACTATCGCCATCTCTCGACTATAAATGTAGGCACTATCTTGGTTGTTAGCTAAGTAAGAGCTCTGTCAAGTTTCGTTATTAGTTTGATATAAATGTATAGGATTAGTAGTAAATTACTTTAAAGGCTATCTTTTATAATAAATTAACCCTATCTTTATCATAGAAATACTGCATATCTAGAATGTAGAAAGATCTATACTATTAAATAATATTTTCTTCTCTTTTCAACATTTAAAAAACTGGAAGAAAAACTAATTTCACACGTTTGCATAGGGAAGAAGAAAACGAAAGAGAAAAGAAGTTAGATACTATATTTGTCATTTTAATCTTTTATTCTTGTTAAAGTATAATAAACAGTTTTAATAAAGATACTTGAGAAGAAAGTATAATCGTCAACTGTTATAGTATATACTATTAACATTATATACTGTATGTAGTTCTCTTTTTATAATCAACTTTAAAGAGGAAAATCTTTTTATATCTTTTTAAAAATTCTTAAATTATAATTCTGATTTTTCTCCTTCTAAAAATTCGTTACCTTCAAAAAAAAAATGAATAAACGCCTCTAGAAGAGATTATATCTTCTATCTTATTTTTTTTTCTTACCATTGAACCTTCTTTACCAGCTGATTTAAGACAGGATGGTTCAATTAAACACGAAAGATTTAGTATTTAATTCTGAAGAGGTTTAAAGTAAATCCTTTTCCTTCTGTAAATTGATAATTATTTTTTCTCTCTCAAATCCTTGTAAGACAAGAGAATGGATAATTTCTCTATCTTGAAAAGAACTATTGATAACAATGAAACGGCGTATAATATAGAATATCTTCAGTAATTCTATATATATAATATATATATATATACATATATATAAGTGGTATCGACTTCAGTTTGTCTTCTACTGTAAAGATGACCAAAAACTAGATCACTTGACTCAGATTGATGTTTCAAGAAGAGTCCATCTTACGTATGATATTATTTGATCAAATGCCAAAAAAATCTCCTTTTATTTTAAAGGGAGTTTTCTTTTATATAAAATTTTTTTTGCAGTTGTGTACTTTTCTTCTTCGACTTGTTTCAAAATGTTTATAGGATTGCTTATTGCTGTTGTTGCAGTTTTTTTTGTAAATTCTCTCAAGTTTTCAACAAGGAAAGTATATCCGTTCTAGCTTTATTACAAGTTCTTCATATTCTAAAATATTTTTCTGTGTTTTATTAAAAGTATATAGATATATATATATAAAACCATTTCTCGGTGCTAACTATGTTTTTTTCCTTTTCTACTATATCAATAAAATTTAAGTTATGCGAAGAAAGTCTTCTTACACACTTAGATGCTCTCTTTTTATTCTTCCATCTATTTTTCCTGTCTCTGTCTCTCGCTAGCTTTAAGTATGTCTCTAGCACGAAAAAATGACGTAGGCGTTGTCGCTTTTTAGATGGAGAATGTTTGTGAAGACTAGAAGTGAGAGAGAACTCTCTTACTATTACTTCATATTTCACACTCTGTTCATCCATATTGGAATTGTAGAGAAGATCTTAAATAAATATTTTATAACAATCCTATTTAAATAGGAAGAAATGGAGGATTAAAATACCCAAGTACTTTGCAAAGGAGTAAAAGTAGCATTAAAATTAGTCTGATAATAATAAATTTATATTTTTCTTATTTTTAGCAAAAGAAAATACTTGAAAGTACTAAATGGAAAGTAATGTTTATTCTTAATTTGTATTGTTACCAGCTGCAGTTTTTGTAGTCTGACTACTACTGAATATATGACTTGCCATCGGTTTTGGAAACAGTACAGCCAGTGATACTGCTATTACTCCAACGTAGATAATGAAGAAAAGACGGTCAAGTACTTTGGCAACACTTTTCCATTGATAAAAACTTTCCATTTGGTCCAGTCTCTCCTCTTCTCTTAGTCTTATTCTCTTTAATATCTCATTTAAGGTTACACGTAATTCTCCAAGTTGACACTCTAAGAGATAAATGCTTGTAGTTGAGATATCTCCCGATGCCGACTTAAATGTGGATTTCGGTAACAAATTTGTACACTCTGTAAAGTCTCTTGTGTAGCCATTAGTATCTCTACGAGCGAATCGCCTTTGAAAGGGTTTACATTTTGAACAGCATTTTATTCCCAAGACACGTGCAAGACACTGTAACAATATCTGAAATACGAAGAAAGAAGAGAGAATAGAAAAACCTTTTCAAACTAATATCCTTATTTATCAACACAGTTATATAGCGGATATTATTCATTTCTCTTTTTTTATCCTTTCTACATAGACATTAAAGGAAATTTATAAAAAAAAATCACTGAATAAGATTTTTAAAGCGTCGCCTATTCAAAAAAGAATTAGACGTCTGCCTAAATCAAAATATCTAGCAAAAAAAGCTAACTTTTCTGGCCCATGTTGGAACTTTCTTGTAGCTTTGATTGCCACATTGATGTATATTTACAACTAAAGATGAAAGGCAAATAGCGACCATTATAATTACCATGTTGAAACAATAATAAAGACCTGTTTAACAATATTATCATTTAGAAGTATAGCAGAAAAAAAAACAGCCAACTAACCCAAGGTTGGTACCGAAGACGCAGTTGGAGGAGCAGCTTCAACAAGGATAAGCAGTAATACTAGAAAAGAGGCAAAAAGGCTCATTGCTGAACACAATAGCCCCCCCACCAAGGAGGAAAAGAAAAAAGAGTAATTCAATCAGAAATATATAATTAACTATAAGACAAGTAGATAGAAAACTGAAAGCCGTTCTAAGGATTTGTTAAAGCTATTAAAACAACAACTTTGTTACATCAATCGTTAATACAAAAGATTTTAGGCCTATCGTCCCCTTTCCTTTTGTCTAATCGACATATAAATGAGATGTTTAGTTAAGATAAAAGCCGTTACACATTTATTTATCTATCGATTGTTTAGAGTTCATTCAGTAGTTTTCTTTTTAATTTTCAATTTATCTTCTCATTTACTTCATTTAAACAACCAAAAAAAGCGGTTTTTCATTCTTTTCTGTTTTATCTTTCACCACTATTTAAAAATCTCCTAACTCGCTTTCTGCTATTATTCTAATTAGGATGAATGAGCTACAAGGTTGAGTTGTTTGTCGTCTAGTCTTCTCTAAGAGGACAGAGTAGACACGGTTCATTTACCGCCTAAGCATGTCTTCGATAACAACGTAAAGTTTCCATTCGTACACTAATTAAAAGTTGTAAAAGGAATAAACTCTCACAATTTAGTTTTTTCCCTAATCCGCATTGTTATTCTCAACAATAATATGTCAGGTTTTTAATAAATTGATATAAAAAGGTATAATATTTTTATCTTAAGTTCTTATACTTGACATTCGAAGAGGAAATAAAATTTATAGGTTAATGGTTATTTACCTAAACCAGTTCTATCTGGCCTATCTGGGGGTAACCAAAACACAACCAACGTTAATAAAGCCAAAAAAACGCATGGTAATGTGAGAATATATGTCGAAAACATCACTTTTCTTTGCATCGTTAACGTAAAAGTTATAACAGCGAAGGCGTTAGTTTGATTACCAGGTAGGTAGCGTTTTTCTGCCTCTGGATTGACTATATCCCATTCACTTGAATCTTTATAGTCGGACTGAAAAGTGCTGAAAAAGTAAAATAAAATAACAGTTTTGCAATTCTCTTAGTCTGAAAAAGAGTGAAGTAGGAGTGGGAGTAGGAGTGGGAGGAGGAGTGGGAGGGGGAGAAGGAGAAAGAGGAAGCCAGAAATGTATAATAAATATTATACTATAAGGTTATACCATAAGGTTATACACATTTTCACTTTACACTCTACAGGTCATTTAAACTGAAAAGGAATATTTTAAAATACTATTTTCAGACAAAAACTCATGTTTAATTCCATTTATTACATAATATTTTATAACATTTGTCATTATTATTTTATAATGTAAAAAGTCCTAATTTTTGAAAAGGAAGGAAAACAAAAAAACCTACCTAAATAAGTGATATGACTAACAAAATAGTAGGAGACATTTTGTCTCTTCTTATTTTAGACTCAATATTTCCTTTAAAAATCAACTAACATCTTGTTTATGTAATTGCATGTTAAGAGGAAGGGAAAGAGTAAACATTTAAAATATTTTAATAATTATTTGCAGTCCTTCTTCCCTCTCTCTCTCTCTCTTCCTCCAAAGAAAATAAAAAACAAAAGAATTAAATTTAATAACCTTAGATCTATCCCTTCTGGAAAGCTTAATTCTATATCAATCTCCCTTCGGGAATGAGTCCATGAACCAAACCACATATGGCACTTCTGCAATCAGTTTATCTATTTTCAATCTATATGTAATAATTAGTTAAGTTAAAATAATTCTACAAACATCACTTTGTTATATTTGTTAACGTTTCTTTAATAATATACTATACGACATAATTTGTTAAAATTACCGAAATTGCAAAATTGATTCTGTTTTTATAGTGATATTCCTCCCAATGTATCTTAAATATGTATTACATTCCGTAATGATTGACTTACCTGTTTGTCGAATGGAAAATTTGTTACATCAATGGAGCAAGAAGATTTGAATATTTGATGCGGTACCCACGTTAATTCGCCTGTATACTGAACCATGACTAAGGCATTTCTTGCGGCGTTTTTTGGGTCAGCCCTTAGTAATATTAATAAAAGAGAGATATTTCATAACACTTGCATTTATCTTTGATTTATAAAAACATGTTTTTTGCTTCTTTATCACCTATATAATAAATATTTACGTGTTATATAACATTATATCAGGGATCCACACTCTATCAGCCTCTAATCTGACTTGACTAATATTTCCGTAATCTCCAGGGTTCCATCTCAAGTAGAAGTCTTTCCATTTCTAAATAGAATTAACAATCCATGAATAAAGCAGGATATACGAACGAAAGAAGACAGTAACGGAGACATATAGTTAAAGCAGGGGAGAATTACTTTCATTAGCATTATTATTTTAAAAAATTGCTTAGTATCACACGATTTGTTACTTTTTGATGAAGTACCGTCAGCTCGAAGATGAGAGGAGCAGTAAGATGTAAAATATCTAAACTACTTTTAGAAGTGAAAACGGAAATTCTACCCTGCCCTTCGAATATTTAAGTCTCACTATAAAATATCATCATCACGTAGTGTGCACTTGCTAAACTCTAATTGATATATAATTTCTAAGAACAGATAAATAAAGATTAAAAAATACCTTTCAAACTTTTTCTCTTAAAGATTAGACAAACAATTCAGCTATACCCTTCAATCTAATCACTTTTAGATATTCTAACTATTCTTAATTCAAACTACCGACTCTTTACTCAATTTATGAAACATTTAGTGCGATTGTAAAAGACAAGACGAGTAAGAGATAGAAAGAAAAATAAGAAAGATGAATAAAGAGAGAGAGAGAGAATACGAAGAAGGAGGAGGAGGAGGAGAGGAGGAGACCATTATAAATAATATATTAATTATATATTAATTACTAAACGAATGTAGTATGTTTTTAGCGGAAGAGAAGTGTCAAAATACAATAAAATATTATAAATAATTGATCAAATTACAATAAGATATATTATTAAAACTGTTTCTGTATGTGAATTAAATTTAATCGCTTTTTTCTCTATATTATTACATTGTAAAGAGCAAGATAGTAACACATTTATACATATATTGTATATGGATCTAATGTATTAAATATGTATATTAAACTAAATTGCATATTTCTTAAATCATGTAATAGTTTAACGTAGAAAGTTTCGACTCTTAAAATCAAAAGCTTTTCGCTTTTAAAGTAAAAGTCTTTGATTACTTTTTTTGCTATTCTTCGTTTTTCCTTTACGAACTTATTTAACATACTCTCTCTCTCTTCGTTCTCTGTCTCCCTCTCTTTCTCTCTCTTTTCCATTTCTTAATATTATAAAATATTATTTAATAATAACACCAACTTGAATTGAGAAATACTAGAAATACTAGATGGAAAGAATGACATGTAATTATATACTGTCTACAGGTTGTTTAAATTAATGTATACTCTATTTTTAGGTTTGGAGATAGACAGGTGGAGAGAGGTAAGAAGCACAAAACCGACAAACAAATGGACAGGCAGGAAAAGTGTAAACTTTGACTAAGCGATAGTCTACATATTCTTTTTAAAAAAAATTTTCTTGATATTTTAAAAACGGACGTAGAAACAATGGAATAAATGCTATACGGATCTGAATCATTAGTAGCTTATTGTTCATCTTATTAGCCAAATAGCCATTGTTAATCTGCTAATTTATTAAGCTAATGGAACTTACCAACTGTGACCACATGCTTGTAATTAAAATTTTTTCTTTCTCGTCCAAGCTGATCTGTATTAGACCCAAACCAAATTTGACGCTATTAGACTGAGAATAATTCAAAACGGGCCTTCCCTCTTTTCCAGTAGTTTGCAGAATTGTTAAAAGACGTTGAGTTAAACGTTTCTCGTCGGATAGTGGTAAAGTTCCATTTGGGAAGCTAATAAAACAACAAACGAAGGATTTATATCTTTACTGTTTCTTTTATATGTAATTCTTTCACGGATGCGTGAAACTAAATCTACGACGTTTGCGGAAAAGTGTACTGCAAATTTGTATGGATAACTTGATGTTAAAGTATGCATCTTTAATTTTCAACATATTTGCATTTAACAACATTCTCCATTTCACTTCAATGCTGTTCTCTCTTTAATGAATTCAGTCTTAATGGAATAAACCAGACATATTTAAATATTTCTGAACCGGTGTTTCAAGGTCCAAGTTTCCTACACATGACATTAATCAATTAACCTTTCAATAAAACTATTACGTCATAGAGTACGTTTATGGTGTTGTTTCCCTCTCATTGGTAGCCTATAGAAAGATTTGAAAAAAAATAGGAACAGAAAAATCAATAAGGGCTACTCTGTGTCCTAGACATATTTATAAGTTAGTAAGTGGCCGAGAAGTTGTAATTAACTCTCTATTAACTAAACAAAAAGAATTATGAGAGAATAGCATGACATGGTAAAATCTGTAATTTATCTAATTCAATTCCTATTTCGTAAAAAGAGAAAGAGAAAAAAGCCGTTTAAATAAGCTGACAGTAGAGAGAAACGCCATCCGTAATAAAAAGAAAACTACCCCTTTTAACTGTCACCCTAAAAGGAAAAGTTAAAAGGTATAGCAGAAACAAAGAATACAAAAATTGTTCAATTAGATAATATTAGGAGAGAAGATAAACTATATTATAATCAATAATATATGATTGCCGATGTAAGTGATTGAAATAATTCACTAAAATGTCCCAGATATTTTTTCTACTTGATAAAATCTTATGCTCAGTCTACAGTAAATGATTAACTTTTTTCCCTGAGAGATTTCTACAATAAAGCTAATAATAATTATTTATCATAATAAAATACAATGACTACAACATCTTCAATTTTAAATATCCATTAAAATCGATTGGTATACTTTTCATTTGTTCTCCTTATCGGCATATAGAAATTAATAAGCCTTATATTGTATACATGTATTAGATACTACATTATACACCTTTTAATCATATGAATAAATTCATCTGTTCAATTTATGCATGCACACACTATAGAGATGATTATTAATAAAACTTTTGTCGTGGCTAAACGTTCCTCTTTATTTCAATTATTTTATTTGTTTAAAAGATTGTCCGATTATCCTTAACATCACTAACCTTTCTGCCAAAGAAGGAAACTCCTGTCCCTTAATTGCTATAGAGTAGAGTAAAACAAGCCAAAAAATTGTCACCATGTTGATTTAATGTACAACTTATAACCAAACTCTGAAAACTGCATCCTTCGTTATAAAGATTGACGTAAGCACCACCTAGCGAGTCTCAAATTGCATTACGATGGAAAATATGCAGCGAAAGTAGAGTATATCTTTCACGCGTTTCTTAAAATTTCGACAAGAACGACTTGCTTTATTGTTTTATTGTTCAATCGAACGTAATAATAAAGAGTAGATTTACGTCTATAAAGTAAACAGCTCCCTCTCTATCAAATAGAAGAAATAACTGCATATCTTACAGATTGAAAGCAAATTAACTTCAACATTGAAAATTCAATAATAAAGATAAAAGTAAAGCGTATGGAAAATATATTACAATCATAGATTTATTTGACATAGTTATTGACAAGTATGTTAAAAAAAAGTCTTAGAAAGTAGAAGGCGAATAGCCAAATAGTCAATTAAAGTAATATGGTGAAAAAAAAGGCAATTAATCGATTTTGCTGAGCACTCGAATTATTTTTCCATATATAAAATTTTCCCATTCTTTCTCTTGACATTATTAGACGAAAAGAAAACTCTTGTTCTATAAATATTCAATAGATTTCTTCTTTTTTCCACTTCTTTACTTTTTCTTGGAAAAAATGGGTTTAATTTCAATAAAAATGTATGTTTTAAGGCAAAAGAAAAGGAAATACAAGCGAAACCTTTTCGCTAACAAACTGATTTACTCTTATTAGTTTTTTTTCCAACTGTATTTATCATCTAGAAAAAGTAAATGTTATCATCTTGTTATTTTCAATTCAAACTTTGTTTCTACTTTTACTTTATCATTAATTAATTTGCGAGAGAAATTGAAAAGAAAACAGAAAATGGTGGATAAAAAAATTTCCTTCCTTTGCTTAAATGGCTAAAAGGTTTTCTTTTAAACATAATTGAGTGCTTTGTGGACGTGTTGTTGATTAAATATTAAAGTATGATGTTCATCGAATAATGTAAAAAGAAAATCTATGGGATTACTTAATTATAATTTGTTTAAATATATTTGTGTAATTGATCGAATGCCAATAAAGACAATTAAGTCTAAATCAAGTTTTTAAGGCAATCAATACGGGAGAGAAGATAGTTTCAAAAGCAACAACCTCATGAAACAAATTGATGAAGTCAGAACAGACTGACCTACCCAAAGGACAATTTTATAAAGAAATTATATAAGCATTATAATCATTGATAAAAGCGTTTAGGTGTAAATTAAATAGACTTCTCCTACTCTTTTTAATAAAGAAATAAAAGAAAACAAAAAAAATTTCTTTCAAAGTTATTACGTCATCTTTAAGACTATCAAAGTCCTATAGCAATACAATAGTCAAATAGTCTGCAACTATTGTTAGTCGTAGAGAGAAGCTTAGACGCGTCGGCTAATATTATTTTAATTAGCAAAGAAGATATCTATTTATATCTTTATGTGCAAATAACAACACTACTCTTTTTTTCTTTTAAAAAAAAATATTTAATTCAGTAAAAAAAAAAATTTAACAAATTCTTTCGGTTCATTAAATTGGGTTTGGACTAAATTAAAATTCAAGAGATGGTGGGAAAGAGAGAGAGAGAGAGAGAGAGAGAAGACGAAAAAATATAATAATAATAATAATTAAGAGTAAGGTAAAAGGGAAAAGTGTCAAAGATTAATTTGTTGTTTTATTTAGACGGAAAACAGTCGAAGAAAAAAAAGAGAATGAGCACTTAATTAATCCTTAACGAAAACAGAACAAATTAAACAACTAAAAAGGGGGATAATTGCAGTTTGGCATGAAAAATCACCTATAATCGGATAGAATCTTTGAGAAGAAGTTCAAACAGCTGGTCGGCAACTTGCATTTTAACTTCGCATTCATCGTTATCGTAATTTGTCCAATCAGCTTCTTCTTCAACAAGTTCCATGCTGAGAAGCGTGTCGACGTTATCTAACCTTCCACTTTTACTTGCGCAGTTTTCAATTCTTTTTTGGGTATTTAATAAGTTAAGCACTTTGTCGACAACTATTGGGCGAACGAGAGTAAGTTGGTTGGGCGGATCACGTTTTGTTAGAGGGCACGGCCGCTTCTGGTAACTTGGTATAGTGTTGTCCTCTTCGAAGAATAAATCCGTTAAAACTTCACGGCACAAATCATAAATGAATAACTTAAAAGAGTCATTTTGTAAATATTTATCGGTAGGTTTGGCTTCGTCCCAACTCATACCGCATCTTCTAAACGACCATAAAAGATCGACAGCTTCGCAAATAACTTGAGAAATTTCGTCTTCTTGTTGAGGTACTACCGGTAAAGAAGGCTTAGTGCTGTCAACATCTTCCCAAAAACTATCTTCCCAGTTCTCTTCAATAAATTCAACGTTGTGATCGAGAAAATGTGGAAGGGCAATGCCATCTGCAGGTTTTTCCCAGAAATTTTTATTATTGTCGCCATCGTCGTCGTTGTTGTCGTCGTCGACGGTAACTTCATCTACATTTTCATCTAATTTCATTTTACGAATTTCTAAAGCCCGATTAATAGAATCATTCAGGGCAACTTGAACATCAAACACATTGTAATCACGCACTTCCGTATGATTGTCGGTGCTTTCTGTAGGAGAAACGTTCAATTGTGATTCGGATTGAGCAACTTCTATTTCTTCATGTATATCGACGTCGAAATGAACATAATCGGCGATTAAAGGCAATGGAATATCTGTTTGGCTGTCCGATAAATCTTCGCCGCATGGGACAGGCAAAACACAAGACGAATGATTTGAGTATTCAATTGGCGAGGCGCTACTGGATATAAATCTTGAATCATTCTCACTTGATTCGGATAAAATTTCAGGAAGAGTATATGAGAGTGAAGTATCCGGAGAGAATGGTATTGTTGCAGGAATGGCAGTAATAGCGTTGTCGCTGAAGCTCTTTAAGGGTGGTGAATCGCTCTCTCTTGAGACGGCAATTTCTTCAACAGAAACGCGGCCCTCACAACCGTCAGGAGATCGTCTTTGAGAAAGTGGCTCCTCTTGAAATGTTTCTTCTAAGCGGAGACTGCTAACCGATAAATTATCATTATTCAATTCGGCGCACTTAACAGTACTAATTGGCGGGGCTCGGTACTCTTGACTTTTTCCTTCCGCCTCTGCCCTAAAGCCTTGATTTACTCGTCCTTCTTCCTTTCTATTCTTTTTGGCTTGAGGCGTCCTGTTAAATGAAAAACAAGAGTTGAATTTAATTTATTCTAATCACAAATCGATCTGTAAACGTTTTCCCCCTACAATTCCCTACTGTCATTGATTCACTCTCACCATAAAATCTCTTTTTCCTCGTCTACTTTACCGCAACAGCACCATTTTAAACAAAATATTGTCATAATTGTCTCACGCAGTGTCTTCTTCCATATCAAATCTCCGCCCATATTTTGATATTGAAAATTCACTGCCTCCTCTCTTTCTATATCACAACATACATCCGTCGGCCATTTTTGGCCTTTTATATACTTCAATCAATAGAATTGAGACTGGGGCATCTGTTGCCCATATTTGGCCTAAAAGGTTATTGTTTATCGGCTATTATCTCGTCTAGTTTGACGTTTTGTCACGTGACCACCCACTAGGTGTTAGCAGGCAGATGAAGGGAAGAGTGAGACGCGAAAACGCTTTATATACACATAGGAATATCACCGTACGCTTGAGTCACGTATAGCGTGATTCACACAATTTTTGATTACTAAATAATAGTAGTATGGAAAAATTACCTGCTCTTGCCATTCTCAGTCTTTTCGCTCTTATTCACGGTATTTCTTGCTGTAGATAGGAATACTATAAGTAAAGAGTTACGTAATATAACGCAATAGAAGATATCAATCTCTCCAGCCATATCTACAGTTAGATTTTAATTAAAAGTATAAAACTCTCGCATACAATCAGCTATGATGATCGCGTATCATCACATTTTTTACATAATCTATTACATCACCAATTAAAATATGCTTCACAAATGGTTTGTCGCCGTTTGTTATTGTTTTTCAACATTAACGCCTTATATCCATAAATAATTATATATAATAAATAATTAATTAACCTCCATCCGTATAATTATTGAAATAGAGTATTATTGAAACATAGATAATAGTGAACCTTATTTATAGAATTCAATTATTATATAACTCAACATTTGTCTACAATCCACAGGTGTTAATAATTAAGTTAATTGGTAGTAAATTTGTAAAGGCAGCCGTAAACTGTCAAATGTTTACTATTAAAAGTTTAAATTGAAAAATGAATGGGTAAAAGATGATTTGAAGGTTATCACCTTTTTCTTTAGCGCCTAAAATTTTATTTCTATCAAAGGGCAATTCTTACTAAGGCAATTAGCACTTTAAATAATTAAATTGGAAACGCTTTAAACACTTCTGCCAATTGCCAAGTAGACATTTTCATAACTTAATTCTGCTGTTATTAAGTAACTAAGCCTAATAAATTATTGTATAACTTGCTTAATGAATAACAGTTATGGATGTATAGAAGTAATATATTATATATATTGTATAAATAATGTATACATATATGTATTCTTTACCTTCTTGAAAGAATAATTCGTCGAGCTTGGCTAAAAAAGCTTTGCATTCCAGGATTAAACGCTTTCTTCTTCTTTTACGATCAGTTGAAACTGGAGTCAAAATCGGACTTGAAGGTGGGGTTATCATGTCGATGTTCAAATCTCTACAGATTGAATCTGAATGATCCAAGACCCTAATGTAGGCGGGACTATATGTTGGTTGGGTAATTAACCAATCGCCATCGAGACTGATTACGTAACAGACTTTAACCCCGGAACTCGGCGATGAGATCAAAGGGAGACTAAAGTTGTAAAAGGGCCTCTTGAACTATCAACGAATCGATTGTAAAATGCTTAATCACCCATATATTCGTTATGTAAGTAGTCTACTTGAAAAATAAAGAAATAAAGAAGGATTAAAGCTATACAATATCTTTAATTTTAAGAAAAACTCTCTAAACATTGTTTATCGGCCAGCGTTCTAAACGATGGCCAAGCAAAATTTTAGATAGTAAACAAACCTGTCTTAAAAGTACTCAGTTTTATTGTTTAGCAGTGTTCGTTAATTATTAGTGAGTGTAAACAAATGATCAAAAAGTTTAAAATGTATCAATAACGTTCATATATGGCCTATATTCCGTATATTTATATATATATTGAAAAATTATAAACTATATAAAGTAGTTTATATAAAAAAAATGAATTATAAAGCGCTTAAAGATTGATCGATAAGCAAAAGTTTGCAACAAAGTATACGTATACGTTTATTGAAACGAAATAGAGAGTTTTTACTTGTTCACGTTTTCTAATTGATTGTTTAAGCAGGTTTTTTAATTTTTGTTATTTTTAAATGAGTTCTCTCTTTCTATTTGTCGATTTATTTAAGAATTTCAGTGGAAAAAAGTCAGCTTTTTTAAGAAATTTATAAAAAGCGTCTCTAATGGAAAGAAAACGCTCGCTCTGGTCGTTTATAGTATTTGTTTTGTATACAAGTAAACTATATAAATTAGGGATAATTTTATCGCTGGACGTAAAAGAAAGGGAAAAGGTTAATACCTTAAACAAAGGTAAAATGTTTGGATTAATTACAATAGAAGTCCCTAATTACGTATAATAAATTAAAGGGGAAGGAAAACTTGCAAAAGACAGAACTTTTCTCTCTTTTCTTCCAGCAACTTAATTGCTCTTTCGGATTCGTTTTTCATATATAATTTTCAACAAACATTAATTACAACAAGATGTTTTTTGTGTACAAGGAGAGAAAGAAATGAAATACTTGCACTACCAACTTTTCTTACTTCAAAGTATTTGTATTTCCATTTTGTCTGCAGAGATAAGAAATTAAAATCCTTTACCAATCATTCGCTTATTTACTGGGTTGCTTACGAGAGCATAAAAATATGATATTTTCGACATGATAAACCATGAATATATAGATATATATTACTATTTGCCTTCCAGAAATTGCCCATAAAAAGTCAAGAAAGTTGATATTAAAAGCTAAGACAAATAAACTATACAATTCCCCCCGATGGATTGCATTAAGACCCAAGTTTCTTTCAGGTTTTCCAATCAAGAATTAATGAATATATATGTTATAGAAATTTTATATTTATGATAGTCGTAACTTGATCCTATTCATCTGGAAAGTGCTTTATTATTTTGTTAAAATATTATACAGTAACAAGTAATATAAAAATTAATCTCAACAAGTAACGTAGGGGGAGAACAGTGAAGAAAATAGCCAGAATATTTGCTGTGCGTTTCCCAGGTGGCGCCGATGTAAACAGGGCTCGTACACGCGAACGTATTTGACAAACTGACGGACAGCAAACTAAATATTCAAAGCCTTATTTCTGCGATAAGGATACAAACAATGGGGACCACCGGCAAACAATGAGCGGAAATATAAATAGGATATACATATATATATATAAATATATATATATATTATAGAGAATTAGAAAGATTTTTGCAGGATGAACTGCAAGAGAATGGAAGATCGGCCGTCGGAGAATGATTATTTCGTTCCAAGCCTAGACAAACGCTGTAGGCAGGGCGAAGCTATTAGAAATAGGAGAAAAAAGAAGACTCGAATATCAGTAAGGCTCTCTGAACATGAAAAACCTAAAGGTTGGAAAGAAGTATGGTATGAGTTTACGCAAAAAACTACTTTACACGGAATTAATAAAATTACTGAACATACGCCTTTTGTCTTAAGGAGGTAAATATTTAAATTCTGATATAGATAGCTGAGTTTTTAGCGTCTCTTTTTCTCATTCATTCTTTCTTTGTTGACGTGTGGAGCATTTTTTTCTCGGTAAACACATACAGAATTCTACGTTTTTTGCAAAACTTAATAAAAAGAATAGGAGAGAGAGAGAGAGAGAGAGAGAGAGAGAAGGAGAGAGATAAAGGAAAATGTTAAGAGAAAGTATTAATATCTAAATGAACTAGTTTTTTCTTTTGATTTTTGATTTGTACCTTCAATATAGCTTCTATAAAAAAAAAACAAGGTATATTTATCTATTTATATTAAAAGTAGAATTAAAGGATACACGAAGAAAGATATGTGTTTGTCATTTCAAATAGATAATCAATGGCTTTTTGAGTACGAATTGTTACTATTCTTTTATTATTTCTCCTCTATTATCTATTTTGTTTTACCATTTCTACCTGATTATTGTTAAGTATCAGCTTGAAACGCTTGTCTATTGTTTTCTTTGAATGGGAAATTAATTCAAATCTGTTCAAAGATTAAAGTTTATGTAACGGAGGTTTTATTCAAGGTCTATTAACACCGAAAATTGTTATAATAACAACTAAATATTCGCTTTTTTTCATGATTTTTATTCAAATGCTAAAGAGAGAATTCTCAATAAATTGTTAATTTTTATCTGATTTGTTTTCTTTTCATGCGTAATTAAAGCAGTTGTTTCGCCGGTTACTTTTCAACTAGGTAGATAGATTATTTTGTCACGTGATGATAGATTATTCGCAGGGTAATCTGTAGGTTTTCTTAGGGTATTTAATTAGCTTCTACTTTAGTATGAGGGGTAGACGATTTTAATTTTTACAACATCAGCTAAGCTTAGTAGCAAATTTACGTAATTCATGAAATACACAAAATGTTCTCGAGTGTCGGACATTGTGCGTATGAGACCTATTTGCATAATTGAATATCCTAGACAATTCTAGAAGAAATTGTCACTTTTTACATAGAATTTAACTTAAAAGTAAAGAAGTTATATAATATGATGAGTAATAAAGTTATATAAGTTTTCTATACATCAAAAACTAAAAGTATTTGCTAAAGACGGAATTCTATTAAATTGTTATTACAATAATTAAACGTTTAACATCGTAAAACAGTAACTTTACACTTGTCTAACATTTTTTTTGTTACTGTTGCCAATGTTTCTAATTCCTCATCTCTCTCTCTCTCTCTCTCTCTCTCTTCCTCTCACTCACTGTATATCCTGCTTTATTCATTATTGTGACTCTTTTTTGTGATAAAAAAAATGCACACTAACATAAAAAAGCCTTCTGACTTCCTTGCGTGCCTAATAGAATAAAGTATTTAATACGCGCAAATCTTAATACTTATTTGCATATTATCATTGACTTATTTACGGATAACGTAGAAATATACTGCATATACTATATATTATATATAAAAAGAGTGGAATTTTTGCTCATTTTTTGTTTGTTGTGCATGAGAATGTTTGACGAATGAAGCTATAGGATAATAATAATAATATATACACTGCGTCCGTCTGCTTCTGTCTGCCTTTTTATCCTTATAACTTTCAGTAATATATTGCACTTGGGAGAGTAAATTGAGCCTTTCTGCCAAAATTACATATCTATATATACTGTTACTATATAACACATATATTTTAAGTGATGGTTAACAAAGTATATTAGACGGTATAGGTGGAGAGGTAACGTCTAGTTATTCCAGACTAGCACAAATTATTCAAGTTGTTAGGATTTGTAAATAGAATTAAATACGTGAAAGTTGATTAATTGTTTAAATAAAGACGTGCGAAATATATGCGAATTGGGTGAGACGAAGACTTACGTAACTTAATACAATTTATATATATTCAACCAAACAAGTTGAGATTCTTCTTTTTCCCATTGAGATTGCCTGAAGAAACATTTATGAGACTTCAATATTCGAGCATCTTTCTCCCTTTTTTCTTTCAAAGATTTTTCCTTTTTTCCTTTCACCCCCTGTCTATCTTTCTCATTAATTTTTCTCCTTTAAATGTGTACTTTATTACTATCTCTCTATCTAATAAATGATAATTGTAGAAAAGATTGAATTTATACTATGAAGATTCTTCAATAGTAAATGTATATAGTTTTTATGAATTATGTAATAGAATCATCTATTGGAATTGGTGATAGAATACAAATCCCACGATGTTATTTGGGCCTATAAAGCCTAATTGATTTTCACTTTATTCGTCTGTCACTCGCCTCCTAGCGCCTATCATTAGTTGTTATTTTTTTTCTCTTTCGCGGTGTTTGGCATATATATCAAATCAAAGTAGGCGAAGGTGAAGGCCATACAAACTTACTTCAACTGGCTTTTTTTTTCGCTATAAACAATTGGGGTAGAACTATTATTAACAACTGACTCTTTTTTCATTAAAAGAGGAGAAGACGTATTACATAAAAGTATTTCAGAAAGAATTATGGGAAGAAATAAGATTAAAAACACAAGAATTCTTAGTATACTGCAAAACTGTAATATTTTAAATTGTAATTGCATACAAATCTGTACTATTCAACTACTGAAAAAAAGTGCACTAAGACCCAAAAAAAAGTTAATAATTTATTGCTTCTGTTACAGATTAGTCTGGATTCTTCTCCTTTTAGGTGGAATCGGGGTTTTCTCCTATCAAATGTGGACAGCAATAAACCATTATTTCTCTCGACCGGTTACAGTAAATATTGCCATCAACTATAACAAATCATTAGTCTATCCAGCAGTAACATTATGCAATCAAAATGTGTTCAGAATGACTGCAGCGGCAGAATATGGCTTATACGATCTGATTGATTCTCTATATAGGACATCGGACATGTCCGATGCTGATTTGGCGAATTTTTCGGAGATAAACGCTGCTGAATTGACACTTGCTGATCTGTTTAATTTAACAGCGCATAGAAAGAAGGATATGATAACAGACTGTATTTGGGATGGAAAGGAATGTACTCTGAAAGATTTCGATGAAGTATATACGGATCACGGCGTATGTTTCACATTTAATTCTGGGAAAAACTGGCCAGTAAGGAGAGTTAATTCAACAGGTTTGTTTCCATAATGATTATTCCCTTAAGCCACCCAGATGCTTTTTATTATTTCTAACAGTATGATTTATTCTTATTTTTTCCACTAAGAAAACATTAGAAATTCATTTTTCTAAGATTATCTTTTATTGATAACGAATTTCTTAAAAGTACTATTTTATTAAAAAATCTTATCATATTTCTCCTTCCTTCTCCTCTTCTTTTATATTTATTAAAAAGGTAAAGAAAACAAATTTTCCTCCATTTTCTTCTCGAAACATTCCAACTAGGCTTAAAATTTATCGTTTAGATGAGAGAGATAAATCATAACATTTTTTTTCTTTATTTATTCATTTCCTAAATTTAACTTTTGATTTAAAATAATAAAAGAGGAAAGTGAAAAGAAACAAAATAATAAAGAATGTAGTCTAGTGTTTAGGAGAGAGGAGGGAGGGAGGGATAGGCGAAGGGGTGACCTGAAATGGGAGATGGGGGCGATGAGGGGAGGACGGGGCTGCGGGGGGCAGAGAGAATAAAAATGGAAATTCTCCATCCTTTAGGCGGAACAAGTGAAACTTAAATAAGTAATAGACTTGTAAAATTTGCATTAGTCTTAAAAATGTTCGTGATAGCATGTAATTCTTTATAGTTTGGTTCGTCGTATTCCCAGTTGGAGTAGTTATTTATGGATATATTACTCTACCGATGATAAGAAGAAAATTATTTTATCCTCCATATATAGGACATATATATGTATGTAGAAATAAAACTATGGCGAAAATGTTCATATATATCTGTAAATCTTAACGATAAGAGAATATCCTATAACGTAAATCCATGCGCATATTTACATTATTCTATTAATTATTAAGATAATAATTAAAACTATGAGGCTTGACCATTTGACCAATTGATTCTTTTTTAACTATTTATTCATCATTTCAAATATATTTAAATGATTATCTATTTCTTATTTCTTTTCCTCTTTTCACTCCTTGAAAAAAATACAATATTTCAATAATATTATTCAACTTATTAAACTTTTCCCTTATAGTTCCGATGAAAAGCACTAAAAACACTTACTTTCATCCCAAAAAATATCTTCGCTTGGTTACATTCCGAGCTCTTTAAACACAGTATATACTGTACAGTATACACAATATATACGGTATATACTGTATATCTATAGAAAAATCGAAATATTCAGCATAAACTTTATTTTACTTTTTAAATATTAAAGGAAATGACATCTAACACCATCCTACTAAATTAATAGACACACACACTCAAAGACCTATCGCTTAAATTAAATCTCATAAATATTCATTAAAACTTAGTTATAAAAGAATCAGAGATAAATATTTAAGATAAATTTTCAAGAAAACCAAGTTGTATAAATTGTATATAGCTCGACTATAAAAAATGACCATTAAGAAGATTACTTTTGCAGTTGTTTCAATGAAAGATCTCTCTAAAAGTTAGGGAAAGAAAAGTTAAGATTGCTAACTTTTGTTTAGATAAGAAAAACAATAACGAACATATGTGACAAGGAGACAGAGAGATAGCAGTTAGAGAGGAAGAGAGAGAGAGAGAGAGAGAAATTATAAAAAGAATATGTTCGAATAACTTAGGGGACTTAACAACAAATTAGTATGTTTAGAGTTCTTAATTTGTATAGCTATACATGTATATCTTCAGTTTTCTTCCTCTTCTCCGCATTATTTTCTGCTATTTCGTATCATAACTGTTGGAGATCTCTTTTCTTCAACTTCAAAATGTCATAAATGCGCATAAAACTCGTCTAGATATAGAGAAAAAAGAGAGGGAGGGGGGATGATGAAATAGATGAATAATTATTTCTTAATGGCTTTTCTCCCTTACAGTCTCGCAGGAAATGTTTATTAAAAACTAATTAAATTGTCTATAGTTGACATCTCTACAAGTGACCGTATTTATATTAAAGAAGAAGAAATGGAAATAATATTTATCAATCATACTTCTTCTTCTTCTTCCCTATTTATCCATCTTGTTAATTTGTCAAGGTTTATGATTTGATTAAATATCAATTATTAATATCCATATGCCACTAAGTGTATTCTTATAACGCGGATTAAAGACTAGACTCTTATCTTATTTATTGGACGAAATTGTACTCGAAATCGACAAGCCTGTCAATAAGGCAAGATTAGCTCAAATATTCAATTAATATTCGACTTTACTCTAATAAATTTGATTATTAATGTAATTAGTTAATTAATTAGATATATTTATTAATTTGAATTAATAAGGAAATATTATTTTATTGGTAATAGGATAATAGAAGAATAATTTTTTCTTTTTAGGAGCTGGCCGTGGTCTTTCAGTTAAGATAAATATTGAACAATACGAATATATGAAAGGACCTAATAACGCTGCGGGTCTCAAAATTTTGGTTCACGATCAACAAGAAGTTCCTCTTGTAAGGGAGCTCGGACAAGCTATTCCGCCATCGTCAAAAGCCCTGGTTGGCTTGCAAATACTTCAAGTTAATAATCTAAAGCATCCGTATGGAAAGTGTGATGATAGAGAAACGTTAGACTACTATGATTTGTATTCGATTCCCGGATGTAAAATTGAATGTAAACTAAGACATGTTGGCAATATTTGCAAATGTAGAGAAGTTTACATGCCAGCCGGAAAGGAGACGAATACGAAGCAAAATTATCCTGTATGTAACTTTAGCGATATGAAATATTGCGTAATGGGAGAGCTGAAAAAGAGATATCCTTGTTCTTGTTCGATGCCTTGTAGTAGAACAATGTACGAGGCTAGTATATCTTATTCGACCACTTCCGAATTTGATACGGATAGGATCCTTCATGGGAAGAGGATACATAATCTAAAGCAAAATTATATTAAAGCTAGAGAAACGGGTCAGAAGGTTAAACCTCATGCCGTTAGTAAGGATAGAGAGAAAGTTGAAGCGGTATGGAGGACGTCAAAGATTTTGTACCAGGCTTTTATTCAAATAAATTCAATATTACAAGATTTATATCAAATAGTTAAAGATAAAAAGCGAGAACACGAGTGCAGATGCCAATTTCATAGGAATTTTGCTCTTCCATTTGTCGTTAAATTTACTACTTTTAGCTTTTTAGCCACTTGGCAAAATTTCGAAGATGAATTGCTGTCTTCCTTAACGACAAATATGAGAATGTTTACCTACGATTTGAAATTGAATATTCAAAAGGCTATGCTATCAAATTCTACTAAAGAACGAAACTTGTATCTATGGCAGGCTGAGAAGGCGACCAGAGTTCAAAGAAAATTGGCAAAAGACTCTGTTTCTTCTTTGGTAAAAGTAAGAAGAGCATTCGAGAGTGGAAAACCGTATAAATTGTCAAATTTAGACTTTCGAGAGTTTCCCGAAAAGTATAAATTAGCTCTTGTTCCCAGTGAATTACTATCTAAAAAATGGAAGATAACTTATGAACATTTTGTTAATCTTGAACAAGACGTTAACGCCACATTCCACAATTTAACTGATCTGCACGATTTTCTAAAATCAAGTAAACCAGAACAAATAAACGACTACCTTTCAACTTTAAAAAGTTTGAGATCGGCCGCAAAGAGAATGGTGAAGCATAGACAATATATCAGAGAAGATCTTATCTACTCGATAAGGGATGAATTAGAAAAGAAGCTGACTAGTTTTGATAAGAAATACGCTCTATTCCTTAAGGAAAGAAGTGATCTACTTATGCTTCTCGGTAATATTGACGACCTAATGAACAAATTGAATAAAGTTATATGGCCATTTTTCGAGAGTCAAATTAATCTATCGAAAGCTTATATCTCGGCTGGAAAAAATTCAAGTAAAACTGAACTAGCCCGACGAATTCTATCGGGAGGTGTAACTGAAAAGATGCAACAATTTCAAGTGCTTTTTAACGATATTAGGGCTAGAACTAGAAACTTTAACCACGATTGGAAAAAATTTACAAACACTTATCTCGGTGTTTTGGTATCGATTGGTGATGAGGAAATAACTAGAAAGTTTTATATGGAATTAGCTGATGGATATCGAACAAATTCATCAGATTATAGAGCGATGAAGCAACCAAATTTAGGTGACTGTACTTCGATAAGACATTTTTACAGCATCGATCTTCCTTGGCGAACTGTTAATATGATTTTCAAAATTACTAAACGAATTGAAAAGACGATGGGCGATATTCAAAATAAATCGGATATGTCGAAAAAAGTTGGCGATACGGACGATAGATTCTTTAAAGCTTTCTCCGCCTGGCGTCAAGACCTCGACAAGTTCAAGCAGGGCAATGAAATTGACGTTGCTTTCATTAGAAGTAATTTTATGGAAGTTGACGTCTTTATGAAGGAATTGTATTACGAGCACGTTGAACAACAAGTTGGATACGAAGTCACAAATTTATGGTCCGATATCGGCGGTTCACTGGGATTGTTTATCGGCGCGTCTGTTTTAACAATGTGCGAACTAGCCGACGCTGTTATTCATAACTTTTTTAAAGTGTTATTAGAAAAGAAAAGAGCCAGAGCCTTAATAGAAGAAAGAAGGAAACAAAGAAGGATGGGTTTACAAACGGCCGTGGCATCATTTCACGGAAGGACTTTTGACGCCGACGACGTTTAGATAACAAACATCGTTTATAAGTCAACTAACCTAAATATACAAATGTTAAAGTCTCTTAAAACTTATAAATTGTACAAAGGTTTATAACATTTATAATATAAATTATAATATGCATAAATTTATATAATTATACATAAAAGTATATTTTCAAGTTTCAATTTTTTGAAATAAACCCAATTGTTTGTAATCGAATGATTCGATAATGAATTGTCAATTTTAGGGCGCCTTATAAATCAATATACACTGTATTTTAATAAGCGCTGTAGTCCTATTAATAAAAAATAAAAATATTTTATTTTCTTATTTATTTTTTTTTTATAAAAAAAAAATTATTTATTAAATTGTACTTTTATGATTTTCCGTATATATATATATACTTATATATGAATAATATTTATTCTATAAATAGACCTTCTCTTTTACATGTCTAAAAACTAGTTTCGTGATATGAATAGCGATATGTTAATTATCTAACTCCCTTGAACTTTCATCAGATTCTATTATCGGTGTGCAGTAATGGAGATTTTCTTTAGCGAAATGTCATTGTAACAAGATAATTATCAACCTATCTGATGGAATAATTGTTTAAAGAGGATGTAATTGTCATAAAATAATTAGAATAAAACAATTGTATATCGACAGATAGGGAGATAAGAACTTTTGGAGTTCTTAACAAAAACTTTTAGAATTCTTCATGGGCTCGTTATGTAATCCAAGAAAAAAGTAGGAAAGGGAGAATTTTTAATAACTATTAAAAGAAGAAGAAGAGGAAGATTGAGATAGATAATGAAAATGTATTTTTCTTTCCTCCTTCCTCCCTGCCTGCGTCTCCTCTCTCCCTCTCTCTATCTATCAAAAGTTTGTTGAAGAAGATTTTGTACAGATATTTCTTTAGAGTATTCTATTATTTATTTTTAGTATAAATATTTATTATTCTATGCCAATACACTTTGTGAGTTAAGTATAAACATTTCTACCTTGAAACGAAATTTTTTCTAAACAAGTAAAAAACTAAAAGTTGATTTTCTCTTTCTTTAGAAAAAGATTTCGTAGTAAAAAACTCTTAATATTAGAATAAACGTTTAATATTCTTCAATCGATAACTTATTAACTATTTTTTACTTATTTAACAATCCTTTTCCAGGAAGGGAAAGTAACTAATATCCTTTTGATTAGGAATCTCTCTATTCGCTCTCTATTTTAAAAGTCTATACAATTCTTCAGCTATAACTTGAAAGTTTTTTTCTCTCTTCCCTAAAAACCATATTCGTGATGGGAATATTGTTAAACGAATTATTAGATTCTACTGAATTATCGTTATTCTGCCACTATACCACCTTACATCTGTTAAAATGATGCTATCAAGAGATAGTTTTAATTATGCAAATTACAGTATACATAGTATATACATAATAGAAAAAAGAGTATATCATTCCACTCGATTAAGTCAAACAAATGCAAAGATAGAACAAAGAAACTATAATATTTTCTAAAAATATGATAGAAAATAATTAAATACGAAGAGAGGAGAGAAAAAAGAGTTATGCAATACTTTTTCATATTTTAACCATTAATGGAGGAGTTATGTTGAAAATTTTCTCAGGCTGTTTGTCTTTCTGTATCTGTATCTGTCTCTTTCTGCGTCTCTCTCTCTCTCTCTTAACGTCTGTAACAGATATATTTAAATGCAATTTATTTCTCTGTTAGTTTCCTTAAAAGTTATATTCTATACGTTACAATCAATACTGAATATACAGAATATAATTATATAGAGCTTTTGAATAGAGTTCAAGTTCAAGATAAATAAATATTATGCTCTTTTTCTCTGTTCAATTAGGTGAATAAACAGCAATAAACTATGATAATTCCCCCTTCTCCCAGACTAGTATAATTACAAATTACAGTTGACGATGCGATATTTCCGCAGTAAATTGAATCATTAGACACCTTCTGATGTATTATTTGCTTGGAAAAGGAAAAAAAATTGATGCCCATCTTTATATTTTAAAGCTTTAGTTCTTGTATTTTATATCAACTTTTATTGTTTATTTTTTTACTTCTTTATGTTTTTTCTTTGAAAAGTATTTCTTCTTTCCTATCGTTAAGAGACGATAAAGACGCTATATACTTTTATTTATTCGTGCTCTGCTCCGATCGAAGAAGGGTTAGACTACAAGCTATCTTTGCAATTAAACCAAATTCTTTTAATTAAGTCCTACAACCTTGTATTATTTAATTGGCCTTATACAGTTCTGGAAATAGGACAATAACTTAATCAAGAGAATGAGAGAGAGAGAGAGAAAGAAAGAAACTGACATGGATAAGTTTAATAAGCAACTTAACACTTACTTCGAAAGAAACTCTATAATGAATATAGTTTTTCAGTGTGATATATCTCAACGAATAATTATAAATCAAATAGGGAAAGAGGTGGGTTAATTAACCTCAATTAGTGAAAATATTCGCAATTAGTATTTAAATAAAATACTGTACTACGCTAATTAAAAAAGAAATATTTAGAAACTGAACTCTTTCTCTCTCTTTCTCTCTCTCTCTTCCCCTCACATTTAATATGAAAACTGTAAACAGTGACATTAATGAGGTATGACGGTGATAATGTGATAATGAAATATTTATGTAAATAGTCATTTTAACAGGAAAAGAAATTCTCGTGAAAGATCTGAATTAAATCCAGATATAATGATTTCTTTATTATTTTATTATTGCAATATCTAGTTAGTTATAAGTAGGAAATTATTAAAATATTAAACTCTCCCCTTTTTAGTTTTTCCATCAACATATTTGAATATTTTTAAATATAATTTGCATATTTTTAATATAATTATTATAATTGCGAGAGAATACTCTAAGATATTTCTTTAAGCTCATCTATACCAGATTTAGCGGATTGGAAAAAAATGACAAAACATATTTCCTTGTAAGGATTAATTCTTTTTCAGTCTATCGGTAAACTGGTAGACGTTGCTTGCCGAATTTACGAAAGGCTCTCAAAAGAAGTAGGAGAGAGGAGACTACATAAGGAAGAAAGAAAGGAAGTGATCTTGTAAGTAGAATTATAGTTTACTTTGGAAAGAGAATAGCGAAACAATAATCGAGTTTTAATAGAAAAGTAGAATAATTAAAATGGTATACCGATTAAGGTAGGAAATGTATTGTAATGATATATAGGCACAGATTTATAATTCTGGTACATTTACATGTTGGTCATAAATGATAAAATATGATATACGCTAATATTAACAACAATAACAATTGTACAGATATGATATTTTGTTTATATATACACTTGACTCGACAAAAGTCTTTCTAATATCTAAATCTAGCAACTTTCCTTAAATAATCCCAAATTAACAACAGAAAAAGATGATGAACGAAATTGTATTGAATGAATAATTTAATGAACTTTGATAAGTTTTTAGATAAATTAGAAATTATTAATGTTTATACAGAAAAAGAAAAATGTTATAACAATTAACTTATCTAACGGATGAATAATCATTGTAGCATTGATTAGCTATATTTATATTAGGTTATTCATGCGAACTGTAAAGAATACTCGGAAATTTTATATGAAATTAGAAGGAAACATATTAATGCATATCGATTACAATTAGAGTTCTAATCTTATAATTATTTATATTTATCATTTATTATGTGGTTCTTTTTAAACTATACTCTCCTCTTTATTACGAATTTTGGAGAACATTCCCCAGTGATTTACGGTTGTCATTAGTGTTTCGTCAAGGATCATAGACTATGAAAAGGCCGTGTTTAAAATAGCTAAACTATCCACCATTGATAGGATTAATTACAAGTACATATATAAAAAATAAACGATATTTTGTTTTTTTAAAAAACAAATTCATAAACGAAATATGTGATGATTTGCTTACATGTTCTATAGAAGAGATGATAAAATTCGCTATATAATTGTACACAGTATGTAATATTCAAGGTCATTTATTTTCAGTTTATTAGAAATACAATTTTAACATCTTCCTCATTCAATTAAAAAGTACTATTTGGAATTTAGACTAAATCTGTCGTATTAATATACAATAGTAAATGAGTTATTTGATATCTACCATAAATACATCTATTACTGAACATATGAAAGATAAGAAAAGATAGATAGATAGATAGAGAGAGAGAGAGAGAAAGTTTATTCAAAGAGATTTGAATGAATGAGAAAAGAAAGTAAAAGAAAGAATATTAAATATAATTATAAAACATGCAAAACTAAAAAAAAATAAATCAAAGTACTATTAAAATAATAATATAAACAAGGAAGAAGAGAAAAAAACTAAGCCTATATATACTATATTTAGACTATTATACAGTATTTATTTAAAGGAAAAAACAAAAAAACTCTGTCAAATTATGGCAACAACCAAGAAACAATACGTTTATATTTCCTCTCTATTTAATAATGTTAAAAATAGAGCTATTAATATTTTTTTATGTTTTTTTGTTTACATTCTTCTTTTGTAACCAATCAGTTAATAAAAAGTTACTTGTACAGTATATATATATATATTGTCTTCTTTTTGCAGGCAATAATCAGCAGTTGTTTGTATTTTGGCTTTATTTTCTTTTCTTTATATGCTCATTTCACTTATTTCTCTTTTCATTCGTTTAAAATAAAATTAAATTACTGTTTCGATATAGAGGAGAGAGGGAAGGGAAGAGAATGAGAAGGTGGAGGAGGAGGAGGAGGAGGAGGAGGAGGAGGAGGAGGGAAAAGAGAAAACTGCAAGAATTAAAAAGAAAAAGCAAACAAACAAATAACACAATCGAGTACAACATTTACAACAAAATACATGTAGCTGTATATACACAGTATATTAATATAATAGTTTTTCTTTATAATGACACGTTTCGTTCGTTTATACTTTACTTTTAATCTTTGAATTTGTTTCTTAATTAAACAAGAGGTAACAAGGGTGAAAAGAGTAAATTATTCTTTGCCAATTCTTCGGCCGCCATTTCTATAAATTTTAATAAATTCAAAAACTTATCAACTCTCTCTTCGTAATTGTCTAATCCATTTGTTGAATATATATGATATTTCAACGTCTTTATTACTTCTTCGCCGTAAATTTTATTAGAAGAAAGCAACAAAAATGCCTTTAGTAGGCCTATTTCTATACGACTAATACCGGTATTAATGAAATAGTCGCGAAGTTCGTCAATAATTTGAATATGATTCCTAGGCAAATAGTAATTATTATCCGAATATATTAACATTAAGAGTTGAGGCCATTTGGCTATTAAGGCTTTTGTCTGCTCCTCTAAAGAAAGTTGTTTAAAATATGGAATTTTTTCAGCCCATTGTACAAGGTAATTAACAAATTGATTTTCGAATTGGCCAGAATACAAACTCGTGATGCCAGTCGGAAGAAATTCATCCTTTTCGCAATTAGATATCGTTTGAATAAGAGATATATAAGATAAAGTATTACGGAAGTAATCTTCCTCATTACTTAGATATTCAACTTTAGCCGATTCGCAAATCTCTTCCGTTTTAGTTTTATTATGAAAATTTGATAGCCAATCTTGAATATCTCTTGTAGATCCTTCATTTAGATTCAATGTCTGTTTCGGTTGTTTTTTTATCTTTTTCCTTAATTTCTTATATTTTGAATCGCAATTCGCATAGAGGGCGCCACTATTCCTACCTCCAGGCATTCTATCTTCTCTAACAGCCGCTAAGACCATACCCTCGTTAAGACATTTTTTAAAACGACAGTATTGGCACTTGTTCCTTTTTAATTTTGTAATAATACAATTCCCAGTCTCAGTGCAGACGTAAATCTTTTTATTTTGAACTGTTCTTTTAAAGAATCCCTTGCATCTGACGAATAAATTAATAATCAAAATAAATATTATAGGCCAGCATAACGATAAAGTGAGCATGTTATATTTGTCTGGTTTATATATATATATATATATATATAAAGAAAAAGCATCCATTCAACAAGGATATTTGACAATTTACCGATAATATAAAACTTTCAGCCTATAAAAAGTTTACCAAACTTTTCTATTATCAGAAATATTAGTGTTTTTATTACAAGTTTTTTTTTTTTAAAAAAAAACCAGATAAATTGGGCTTGAAAAAGTTAGGCCATCCAATTTATATTTCTTTTTGTTGTCTAGAAACATTGTATACTGTTTAGAGCGATAGATGCTCGCTGCGGTGGTTAACCTATAATCGTATATATATATATACATATATATATATTCTGCAAGCTGTTTATTTAATTAAAAAGTCGATAAAGTACAGTGTTCAAGAACGGAAAAACTGTAAAAATCAACTAAATACTAAATTAAAATCGTATGTTTATGTGTTTTTATTAATAAAAAACAACTTTTCGTTCTTTTCATTTTCGTCCTCCCTTCCTTCCTCTCTCTCTCTCTCTCTCTTGTTATATATTTATATATTGATATTTTTTGTGCATATAGCTGTGATATTCCTAGGCCCCAGATATACCTGGTTTTTTTTTCTTTCTATAATATCACTTTATGATTTAAAGTTGCATTTGATAAAGTTTCTCCCTCTATCTTTCCAACTATTGCTACAATCACATTATACATTACGCATTAAAGACAGATAAGCTTTATACCCATAGGTAAATACAGTAAAACAAATACATTGCACACATACTTAGCATGCATATTCAGTCTATATATAATTGACTTAAAAAGTTTTAAATTACTTTGTCTTTTAACGAGTTTAAAGTTTTTAATTGAAAGATTATTTATTTATTATCTATATAAATAACATACTGTTTCTTTATTGTTAATATAGAGAAATAAAAGTATTACCCTTCGCATGTTAAAATACCGTAATGTAATCCCGTTGCTTTATCGGAACATATCGCGCATTCTATTTCCTCCTCCTCTTTTTTTATGCATAAATCCAATGGTGCAGATAATTCACTATTTATTGTGGAAATTGAACTTTGATCTTTCGAAAAAGTTTCATTATCGTAATTCTGTGGAATATCATTTGAGAAAATTGTTGAAAATTCGCACTTTTCCGATTCTAAAAATTGAGAATTTTCGTTTGACGAAAGTGCATTAAACTCGCTTTTATCGTCCGAAAGTTCACTTAGCTTTCTTTTTTTTGTTTTTAATTCAAAAAAAGAGATCTGGCCGCTATCGTTCATGGTCTGGGAGTGAAAGCTAATTTCGGAAGTATTCGGCCAATCACCGATTGTAATAAAAGAATTAATATTCATTGGATAGCTTACTAGGCTGAAGTAGTCTAAAATCTCATAGGCAATAACCTTGATAGTTCAATGTTATAAGAGTTCAAACAACGTTGAACAACCGGGCTGACCCTAAAGAGATTGGGCCTTTTATCTGGAGCCTGTTTTTATTATAAATAGGAATATCTATTTTTAGTCTTGTTTTGTGGGATATTGGCCGAAAAATGTTTTACTTTTGGAATAATCGAAAAAGATTCATATTTTTAGATTTTCAAAAATAGCCAAAAGAATTTGTACTTTCAATTCCGAATTGTTAAAAAGAAAGAGAAGCAAAATAGAATAGCCTACAACTGTTTACAATCATTAAGGAACACCTATTAAACGATGCATATAAACTTCTATTTTATATAAAGAAAGAGAAAGAACAGTAGTTCTTATTTCTTTTGTTAGAAGAGTATATTTAATATAATATTTTCTCTAGTACAAAATAATAGAAACATTGGCGGTTTTTCTTGAATTTACTGTTTCTTTAACAATATCTTCCTTACTCATTTCCCATCTTTTCCTCTTTCGTTCCTTTCTTCTTTTTAATTATTTTCAACCTTCCAAACATTGCGTTAATACTTAAAAAAGGCTTATTTGTAATTTTACCAAGATCTATATAAATGACAAGGTCATAGTTGTATTATGTTTTATAGACCCTTTACTGCATTTTCTTTCCTCCTTATTTCTGTTGATTTATATATACAGTATATATAAATGTATATATATATGTATATATACAGTATTTAGCGTTATATGTATACTCTTTCTCTCTCCCTCTCTCTTTTTCTCTTCATATATATATTACTTACTACAAGAACATTGTCGAAAAACCAGGGTTATGTGCGGTAGTGGTGTCACCTATTGTACATTTTTACCGTTAAACGGCATAAAACTTGCAGACAAACACGTGGTGGAAGGATTTTAGCAAGGGCAAAAGGAAAATAGATAAATAGTCCCCAGACTAGTTCATTTAGTATTATTTAATGCTGATTTACTAAAAGGTGCATATAGAGACTGAGTGTAAGGTGGAAAAAGAAGTGGGCAGATAAGAAAACAAATTAATACATTATTCGAGAATATAATAGAGATATGAAATAATTAATTACTTAATTAATTAATAGCTTGATTAATTAATTTATTAGTAGAAATTACAATTCTATCTTTTGTAATAATAATTTACTTTATTTATGATAAAAGAAAGAAATCATTAAAATAACAGATAAGATATCTTTCCTTTTTATTATACAGTCGCGATATTAAGTAATTATAACAAGAGTAAAAATATCTAAAATTCCAAATATCTTGATTTACAAATGAAGTTTATGGTTAGGAATAATTTTTTCTGTAAGAGAGATGACTTATGAGGCATCAGGCAAAATTTTTTAAAATATCTATATTTTAATGATCAGTTTTTCACTCTTTTTTTTACAATACTATGAATTTAGACCGCTATTAAGTAATTATAACAAATCAATCAGGTCCATCAAAAGTACTTTTTTTATTTTACTTATACATTTTTAGATAGGCAAATGATTGTAAATGATAAAATTTTCAAATTTAATACTTGGTATGTATGCCTTTTGCCTTTCTTGCTGCATTTAGCCTCCTTTCAATAGAGGCATACAATCCCTGTATCTCAAAATTTGATATTTTGAAAAATTCCTTCTCAAAAATTTCCCACAGCTCTTTCAAATTTCTAGGCTGTCTGAGCATGCTTTTTTTCTTGCAAATACCTCAAATGGGCTCAATAATGTTAATATTTGGACTATTTGCAGGCCAGTTTTCTAGCATTTTCATCTCATTCTTGATGTATGCAATAGTTCTTTTTGCTGTATGGCAGCTCACTCCATCTTGCTGGAAAATTTCTCCCCATTTGTAGGTAGGCAACACATTTTCTGAGAGTATAACTATATAGTCATCTGCATTCATTCTAGTAGGAACCTTGCAGAGTCCTCTCTTTCCTTATTATTTTTTGAATCCAAAGACCATGATGCTACCACCACCAAACTTTACTGTTTTAGTTGTATATTTTGGATCATCTCTTTTACCAACTGGCCACCTAACAATGAAGATCCAGTTTAATCTTGCTTTCATTGCTTTTCTCCATGTATCTGAACTCCATTTAAGTTTTTATTTGCAAAATTCTATTCTGTTTTTAATTTGCTTTCTATTTAGGGCTGGCTTCTTTGCAGCAATTCTGCCATAGAAGTTTGTACTTACATAGGATTTTTTTCACACTAGATAGTGATACTGAATAGGAATTTCAGTATTTCTAGAATACCTCTAGCTGTCGATTTTGGGTTGATCTACATGTTCTTGTGAGTTGCTGGCGATTTTATGTGGTCTACCAGACATATGCAGGTCATTTATTGTTTTAAATTGCTTGAACTGATTCTTTATATTCTGCACTGTAACTGGGCTGCAATTAAATTTTGCTGTTATGCCTTGAATGGTCAATTTTGGCCTGCTTAAGTGGAACAGGATATCTTTGCAGATTTCTAAAGATAGCTGATGCATTTTTTAATATTTCCAAAAGAATTGTATGTTGTAAGTTCAAGGGAACAATATTTGTAGACCAAATTGTTTTTCAATGATACTACTCATAATTATGAGGTCATAATGATGATGTTATAATTACTTAATAGCTGTCTAAATTCATATTTATGGTAAAAAAGAAAGATAAATTGATTCTTAAAATATAGATATTTATCTGAAATTTTCCATCATGTTTCACAAGTCATCTATCCTATAGAAAAAAATATTCACAACCATACACTTTATTCCTAAATCAAAATATTTTGATTTTTAGACATTTTTACTCTTCTTATAATTACTTAATATCGCGACTGTATAATAAATTAACGCTATTATAGTCTTTTAGGGCTTTTTTTCTAATTAATCAGAATATTCCTTAAGTACACTAATACTATAGAACTGTTCTCTTTTCGTTAATATCAAGATTTTTAATGCGTACTATTAGTCTATATATAAATAAATGGACTATCTAACCAACTTGCATTCCCCGAAATAAAACCCCATAGAAACAGCTTCTTATTGTAGTTTTAGGCGAGATTTTCCTGCATAGACAATCTCTCTCTCTCTACATATATATTGTATATATAGTATTTATATATTAAAATCAACCTAAAGAGGAGATAGGATAAGGCATGAAAGTTAGATTAGAACCAGTTGCTGAAGCAGAAAAACAAGTGAAAAAAAAATGCGTCAATCCAAAGAAAGGTTTTTGAAGACTAAAACTAAGCAAGTTTATGTAATATAGGTTTAGTGTAGCATATAAGCATAAATCATATTTTTTAGGATATACTGTATAGTGTATATAATGATTTAATTATGGGTAATATTTATTAAAAACTTATATATAGTATGCAAACTCTATATAGACAGTATGATATGTAATATACTAGTATAAATAATCTCTTTGAATATATAAGTGAACAAGTTGAACTTTAAACTCTCTTTCATGTAAACTGCAATTTTATTGCAGACAAAAAAATGACATAAAATTTACAGACGTGTAGTTTATATACAGTTTATATATATACTGTTTACAGTATATTTTAATCAACTGATAGGAAGACGACCGAGAGACGTAGGCAGAGACAGATAGAAGAGAATGCGTTTTAAGGGAAAGAACTATGTAGAGTTTTAATGACATTTCCTCTTTCTCACACTTCATTTTTGCCGGATAGTACCGGTTGCCTTCCTTATGAATTATCATTATTATTACTTTTTATGCGGTGTGCCGTTTGTATTTATGATTTGATCGCTAGTTACTTCCGTTGCTCTTCCTGTTATTTTATACTATGCGTTGAATTCCTATTGAAATTCTCGCTACGAAAATTAAGGAGCAATAGTAAAACACACAAATTGCTATGTATATAGTATATATGTATATATATATATTCGGTATATAGGCCTTATTATAGGGATAAATAAAAGATATATTTTATGCATCTTTCCCTCTAATATCACGCGCTTTCCCTTTATTTTTCTCTGCTATATAATCGGGCTACTATCAAATATAATAAAATTGTTGTTTTCCTCTGTACACCCTGGGATAAATTTTCCTCAGTGGTTTTCATTTTCCAATGAAAAGCCCTAAAATTTCCCTATGGAAGACAATCATGAGAGGGAATATCAAGAATAAAGTAAATTAACAATTGTACAATGTTACAAGATTTATATAACTAAATACTTTGCTTACTCTTTCACTTTTTTCTATCATTTTTAACATATCAATCTCGCTTTTTAATATTTCATCAAGCATCTAATTTTGTCTCCATTTGATTAAATATTCGAGGCGTCTCTTTTCTTTATTCTACATTTTTTCTTATTACTCATAACAACAACATTAACAACTTTTAAAGGACTAATCAATTTATTTTAATGGAAAAGTATAATCTTAAAAATAAGTATTTCGACAAAATCCAGCCCTCGGTGCAAATATTAAAATATCTTATAAATATAGTTAGTGTATGTATGTGTGTGTGTGTGTGTATGAATGCGTACGGTAATGTTAAACTTTGTAAACAACATAAACAAACAATTGTTCAAAATCTTTAAATGGTTCAAGTATATTTTTTACAATTATGAAATGTCTAAAAAACGAAAGAATAAAAGGTAAAACACACTATTGATTAAGTCTATTAATGAATTATTGATTATTTTAAATGAATATATTTATCATTGTTTACTAAAAGTGGATTTTTATTATATGTTTTTTTTATGCAAAAGTGATTTCTTTAAGGGGAAGAGTGTAAAGAATGATTAAAAATTAAGTATAAAGAAAAAGAAAAAGAACAAAATTGACAAGTTACATAGAAAAGAGAGACTGGAAAATAAATAAAATCCAGTTTGACTGATGGATAAATATAATAATAAATATATACTTAACAAAAAACTTTAGCATTGAGTAAAGGGCAAAAATAATTATAATTTCGCAAAAAGGCGGTAGTGATAGAAAGAAAATCAAGTAGAGGGAGAACGGGACAAACAGAGGGATAGATAGATAGATAGACAGATAGATGGATGGATGGATGGATAGAAGGAATTAAAGAACAAAGAAGGAACGAGGTAGCGAATAAAACTGGCAAATAGAAAGAAATGGTAAGCGAGTGAGTGACTAGGAGAGCTAAGGAGTAAGTGAGAGTAAGGACCATAAAAACACGTTTTTTTCAGTCGTATTGATTTTCTGAAGACAGATACTAGAAAACGGTAAATAGCCGCCATAGAGCCTCCAGGTACATTAACGTATTGCGTGCAAAGAGAGGCACTCTAGTGTATAAAATTTTATTAAATAGCTACAAAAATCTATCAATACAAGTATGTTAATTTTTCCTTCATTTTTTACACTATTACATTTTATTAGGTGCAAATGAATCAATACGTTTACTTTGTATTCAATTTGAACGGGTAAATTTCGATCTGTTGCCGTTGTTTCTCCCTTTAATAATCGTATCGAAAGCAAGTGATATATGGTAATAAATTTGAATAAATTATAATGATAAAATAAAGTTAAAAGAGATGTATTGTCCAATCCTTTGTTTCTTTAATTTATTTCTATAGTATTTAAACGAGATAGAGGCTTATCCCCTTTAGTAATAAAAACTCATAATATTTATGACTATAAATGATATTATCTAATTTAGTTAAAGGGAAACTTATGATTTATTTCTACTTTTTTCTTTAATATCCGATCATTTCCACTTATACTTTTCCAAGTTATTCCTTAAGCGTCTCTTTTCCTGACTAGATAATAATGTTAATCGTTTTCCCTCAAAGCAAAACGTAATCTTGTGTACAAATGATAAATAGTTTTAACTTTAATTTGTCCTTACTAACCTTCCAAATTTCGCACTTTATTCTTCTCTTTATCTTTTCTTTTCAACCACAATACAAACCAACAACAACTTTCCATTCATACCGTTTTCTTAAAGAATGGCTTTATTTTAATAAGTTAGTTATAGTAATTTCATAGATCGTTCAACAAGTAGTCAATTAAAGCATATGATATATACTGAAAAGGATATTTACTCACTATTGATTAACCTTCTAATGCATGTAGAAAATATCCTTTTATTAAGTTTTACTCGCTAATAATTCCATCTTCTTCTTTTCCCCCCCACCCTCCCCCTAACCCCATCACCACCACCACCACCACCGCCTCTTTCTTTTCCCTTAGTTACTTTATTCAGTATTCTTTAGTCTGTGCATTATAGCAAAATATTTGATAACTATTAATAATTGAAAGAGGTATCTTTTAAAAAACCACTCAATTATTCATAGAAAAGTTGAAAAAAACAAAGAAACCTCTAAGTAACTTTGAAGATACTGAATAAAATAAACAGAGTGCCTACAAATCTTTCTCACCCCCTTCTCTCCTCTACTCTTCTATTACAGTATCAGAGCATTAGTGTCTCTTATCTTTCTCTCTCTCTCTCTCTCTCTCTCTCTCTGTCTGTCTGTCTGTCTGTCTCTGTCTCTGTCTGTGTCTCTGTCTGCCTGTGTCTCTCTCTTATTCCTGTTAGTTTATACCAATTTGGGGAATTGCAGATTTTCACTCGAATAAGGTATAATGCATCTATGGCAATAACTTAAGGAAAGAGAAAGTAGGCGTATCTATTAGTATATACAGCAATCTCATATTTTGGTGAATTTTTTCAAATGAATAAATTAATTTATTCCAATTAATATTTTAGGCCTACCCGAAAAAGGTTTTAAATCGAAAAACACATTAAGTAAGTTTTTTTCTTTTCCGTAAAGAATAAATTGCGTGAAATAATAAAAAATGTGTGTAAAAGTAATAAAACGCTTTTAATTTTAATTAAATCGGCCTATAAATATAAATTGGGTTGAAACAATAATAAAAAGAATAGACGAGGTTTTTCTAAGAATGAAAAAGAATTGTTTATATCATCTGAAGGGAAGAAAATTGTCGCTACTGAATACCTCAAAGGGTATACTGACTTTATAAGGAAAGGGATTGTTAAAGGCAAAATTTATTATTACATTACAATTAATAAGTTTCTGTTTCTTCGTTTCTACTCTATTTTGAAGTGGAGAGAATGATGGTAAAAAAAGAAAAAGTTGGGGTTAGAGACACGACAAAAGGAAAAGTTAACGAAATATGCACACAAATTGACTATTTTACTTTTTGGCTAATTTGAATATATCTACTTAAAATAGAGTTCAAAGGTATAATTTATGTAACAGTAAGGCAGTCAGTGGAGAGAGAATGTGAAGAGTTTTTAAGTCTCTAAATACGAATTGACAATGCCCATATACTGTTTAATCATCTAAAATATCAGTTATACTTGTATTGATGTATTTGAGTACATAGACAAAAATTTACCCTGAAAAAGACTATGTAATAAAATTGTATATACAGTATACATGGGGACTGACTATAACATGTATATATATAAAGCTTTGATTGTTATATAGCAATATATTTACTTAATGTTTTTCTTACAGTACATGTTTCTATTAGATGTATAGGAATTAGAATTTTTTCACCCTACATCATTGTAGTCATTGAATATAAACAGGTGGCTTGTAAGTAAATGTCGATACAAAAAATAACTGCCATCTTCAGGTTATCTTACTTGCAGCATTAATCAAACCCATTTGGTTAGACGCCGCCATGCGACGCCCGAGTGACGCTTCCTTTTCACTAAGTTACTTTGAAGAAAGATTGTGTATATCGACTTCTATTCAGTTGCAAAACGATAGAAAATAAGTTATATCAAGCCGTTAGAGTTCAGGTAAATAATTTATTTTATTATCAAAATAATCTTAAAGGTAAAGAGAACTAAGAGAGAATGTTTGAAATCTAATTTTCTATTGTATATATATATATAACATATATATAACATATATATATATATCTATATATTCTGTATATAGTAAATATATGTGTAAAAGTAAAATATATACTGTATATACGTCACATTTACTGTATTTATAACTGTACGCTTTTACAGTTTACAATTTGTTGCAACGTATAGTTATTAGACTTGCGGAGAGGCCTATTGCATGGTAAATAGTTCTGTGTCATCAAATGTATGGAGAATATATACATAAACTGTATAAACCTTGTTGAGAATTACCATTAACTATCAAATTTTTGTTGTTTTTGAGAAAGATAACTTTATTAATAAGGATAAAGAGAAGAAGCTGTAAACAGTATATAAACTTATGTATGTAAATAATAATAGTAAATTATTATTACTGCGATGTAATCTCGCTTAATGATTATTCATTAAGATAGAGTAACGTTTAGATGATTAAGGAAACAGTTGAAATATGCTTTATCTTTAAGGAAATTATAGGTCAAACGATGAGAGAGAAACAGAGAAAGAAACAAAGAAACAAAGAAAGAAAAGTGATAAATAACATTCCTTAGTTTGCCTGTTTAAATAGTGTATAATTAAAACATAGTGTCCTTATAAATGTGTATATGTATAGAATATATGTTTCTAGTATACAATTTGACGGAACCATTACCAATAATATGTGGTTTTTGCTCCCACAACGACAAAAGTTGAAATAATTAGCCGTCTATTACCAACATCTCCAATTCCGTAATGCAATATAGTTTTATAGAAGCCTAACTGCAATTTTTGTTTCCAATAGTAAAATAAGAGTAAGGTCTTGGATTTTAGTGATAATATTCTCTTACCGTAGAATGGATTAACAACACTTGTACCTAAAAAGCCATAAGAGTCTTTTACCCGAAATTCTTCACTCATTAATAATAAATCTAATAATATTTCCTCCTCCCTTAGCATACTTTTTTAAACATTACTCGTTTAGATATACAATAGGTAATAAAACGTGTACGATGTCACATTGAGGATGAATAAGGGAAAATTAAAGATTGGTCGATTAAAAGGTCAAAAAAACAAATTACTCCACCTAGTAGAATGTAGTCAAAATTAATAGAGTAGAAACCTTAGAGGATGTAGGTATCTTGTTCGGCAACGGCTTCCTCCTCAAAGATTTTTGGCTTTAATTCGATTGCATGTAGGCAAAATTAGACATTTGACTTTATTAGTCAGCAACAGGAGACTGATTGTAAAAAAAATATTTAAATATTTCTCTTTAAGTCGTTTTAATTAATTTATATTCATTCGTTATTAACCCTATTCTTCTCTTTTGCTCCATCTTTCTTAGTTGGTTGTTGTTTTTTTTTTTTTTTCGCTCTATCTCTTTTTCTTCTTTTCCTTTCCCCTCTTTTTCCTCTTCTTCCTCTTTCAATCTTTTATCATTTTCGAGAGTTAATGGTCTCTTAGAATAAATAAAAGAATGGAAGAAAGTACGACATTAGGTAAAAAAAATATGTAGAGTTAAAATAGGTTTAATAAAGATATTTACAATCAGCTTAAACAGTACAATAGACTTTTTTTCCACTCATACTAATAAAGTTTAGTAGGGATAGAAACACATCAATAACTACTTTACTACACATTTCTTACTTTTCTTAACCACAATGGAGTCATATGTGTATTTTATCGATAGTTTATTGAATACGACTCATGTACATATAATGACGCATCTACAAAGACAATTTTTCAAAGCTGTCCCAGTTTATTTTCAAAACGAAGATAGAATAAAACAAGATTTATAAAGAATTTGTTAGTCAGTCAATTAGTCAAAGCCGATTTTGCATGCTAATTCGCCAGTTGTTTAATATGTACAATATACAGATATATTCTGTATATATATATATACAGTATATACTTTTTATAAACTTCCTCTTAATTGAAAATTTACTTTCTTTTCTCACTTATTTTTATCATAATTATTGTTGTTATTGTCTAAATATGACATGTTGCATGTAATTTATAGCATTTTGTTAACTCTATACCTCGTGCTCATCCTCCGGAACTAAAGGCTTAATTTTTCATTTAAAATGTCGAATGTTCTCCGGTAACAAGTTAAGATTACGAAAAGAAATATTTATTTCCATAATTTTATAGGCAACATAAAACTTGTAAACGTTTAAGACAGTTTATGAGATATTAAATCATCTTTTCTTTTTTGTCTCTTTTCACCGTCTTCCCTAGACTTTTTCATCTTAAGTCGTTCTCTTTATCTCAAATACTCTCTAGCTGTTCTTTTTCTAATTGTCAAGAAACAAGGTTGCATGTCATCTAGATATTTCTGTACAAAACATATCAATAATAAGGGCGTACGACTTTACTACACCAGCTTTATCGTATACACTCCAATGATTATTTTGATCTTTTTTGCCGCTTAGCATACTCTACGTTAGTTTTTGCCCTCTAAATACATTAAAAATCTCTTCGTTGACTATAATTAAACATCTGTTAAGAGAGATGATGAAGAGCATTATGATAAAGGTTATCTTTATTATTTGTTCATTTAATAAATTAAGATAAAAAACAAAACGATTTGAATATGTAAATTGTTTAACAACTAGATTAAAGATATATGCATTCTATCTCTATTATAGTAACAATCCTTATTATCCTCTTTACCTAATTAAACAAGAACATTTTAAAAAATTCGATCATTTCCTATATGATAAAAAAAATGACTATTAAAACATTTTATAACAAAGAAAGGGACTAAAAGAGACGAGTATTTTAGGTTCAGAGCTATTTTCGACTATAAGTAAATTGTCTGCTTATGTCGCAAAAGTAGTTCATTAGAAAATTTAAAAGATGTTGACATAAATGTTATAATATAGAATAATCAATATTTTTATATCAAGATTTAACATAAACCAAAGAGAGAGAAAAGACTAAAGATAAAGAATATAAAAAGAAAATAATCTTAAAAATAGCATACATTTTACTATTAAACGGTGATAATAATAGATTGATTGTATAGAGGAAGAAGAAGAGTCTGTGTTATGCCCTGCAGATTCAAATGTAGATGTTGACATACAGACGAACAGAGTCACCTCATCTTTTAAATGACAACATAATCGACATAATCCTCTAGTTTATTTAAAAAATCAAATTAACCTAATTAGAAGTAAAAAACTATAAATGTCTGTTATTTAATGAAATATATTTGTCAATTCATTATTTTATTAATATTATACTTTTATAACTTTGTAGAAATACTTGAAAATCTTTGTATATAGGAATAAATCGATGTTTAACGTTTTTCTCTAGAGCTTTAACAAATATACTAAGTACTAAACAAATCGAAATGTAATGATAACGTATTCTTGTTTTTTAATATAATCTTCTTCTCTTTGTATTCTAGACAAATTACCGAGGATGTCGCGCGATTTAGAACGTTATATCTGGTCTCCGATCTTAATGAAATTTACGAAAAATCGAAATTTTCAAAGTCTTCGAAACGACGACGAAGATGACGATGTTGTTCCTCGTTCTAGAGTATGGAGTTGTCCAGATTCATTGATCAAACGACGAACAAGAGGTAAGCGAACATTTGCTTAGTATTTTTAGAGCAGTTTCTCTTCCACTTCCTCACTCTAGAATTTTCGACATAAAAAAAAAGAGAGCTAAAATAGAAAGTGGAAGAAAAAGGTTTTTAAAACTCTAAAATCATGCAGCTTTAAATTACACTTTGCAGTCAGTAGACTGATACGATATTCCTTGTAACAAAGTAAAAAAAAAGTTCGAATTAGATACATAAAAACTAAACCAGTTGGCAAAAAGGAATAAATCTGTTTTCTTTAAAGTCTTTAATTACAATTAATCGGTTATATCCAACAGAACAAGTTAATTCAACTGCGTACTTACGCACGTACTATAGCCACGTCTATGTTGTACTTATATAGAAAATTACTAAACTCTATGTCTTCTTGTTGATAAATTTTTTTAAATAACAAGAAAGATATGTCCTAGAATTTCACAGACTATGAAGAATAATCTGCAATTATTTTTACGTTTCTTTCATTTCGTATAACCGAATAAAAGGGATAGTGCATTTTAATAGATGATTAAAGTGAGAGGGGGAAAAAAAGAAGCTAAGGGAAAGAATATAAGCTTCAAGACCTTCTTTCCCTCAATACATATATAGTATACCGTATATTCTAACTGAGAAAGAAAATAAGAAAACTTTATTACGCTTCATTTAGATTTTAAAATAAAATTAAGAAAGTGACGGAGAGAGAGAGACAGAGGGGAAGATAAAGAAGGAGAGGAGGAGAGACAGGGACAACGACAAAAAACGAGATGATGATAAAAGGTTAAGTGACCAGCCCTCATTGATTGTCTTTAATGGGTTAAAATTATGCCTATTAATATTCTGAATCATTAAAATTTGTAGCAAAGTCTTCTGATAATGCCATTTAGGTAGCTTTAGATAAGAACTTGCCCTTAGGTAAAGAATAGTCCGTATTTTGTAAATGTACCCAACGATCGAATATCCGATTGCTATTACTTGAAACGGTTTCCCTGTGCAACTAATTTCCTGAGTGGAGGGAGAATCGTCCATTTGAACAATGTCCACCCAATTGGTAAATCAAGAAATAAACCTCAAAGCAAAATAAACAAATCGATATTTAACAATTGCAACAGTTTTTACTATCTGCTTGGATTAGATCGAAGAGTCGGATAACTTTGCAGTTCATTGATTTTCTATATATGATAATAAATTGATCGATAACATCCTTTCGTAGTGAGATTGACAAAAGGGAATGCGATTTATTCCGCTATGAGCAGGTATCAAAGAAGGAACTAAACAACAAAGTGTTTTGTTCAAGAATAAAAGCGTGAAAAAATATGTCATCTTTTCTTTAATTACAATATAGGCATACGAGGAATAGAAATAAAGAAAGAAAGAGAAGGAGAGAGAGAGAGAGAGAGAAAGAAAGAGAGATAAAATAAGACATATTAACAGACAGAAAAGGGAAGAGAGAAAAGAAAAAAATGGTTTTTCAATTTTACTGAGAAGAATTATTATAAAGATGAAAATCGAATATTCCTCTTTAAAGTGCTCTTATTCTTCTTTGTTTTCCCTAGAATATTCAGTATCTACATCAATTCAGATGGTATAGTATGTTTCCTTTTGGCTTCTTTTTATCTTGTGTCATCTATTAAAAATTCCTTATGCTCTAAATTAATTGAGCATTTCGTTCTTGCAATAAGATACTAATGACAGGAGAAACAGTTATATCTATTTTAAATGTAACACATATTCGTTAAGAGTTTTCAAAGGCCGTAGATGGCGTTTTAATTTACAAGATTTATCAATAGTATCATCTTCTTTATATCCAATATATTCTCTATTTATACAAAGCATAACTTTAAGTATTGAGTAGTTGATTGTATTACTGTTACTGTCTTTTTTTATGGTGGAATATATGCATAGATGAATGAAAAATTTTTTTACTTTACACGGTAATAAATATATAAAAGAAAGAAGATACTAGGCGTTTATCTCCTCTATCTCCGTACTCGTAAAAAAATGGCTAAACCGTCAACAATCCAATATTTTAATACGCTCTTCCTTGCCGAATGAAAAATAAAAAAACAACGATAATGAAGAATGAGAGATGGAGGAGAGAAAGCAAATATTTAACAGATATCTTCAATTTCGTCTCTTACAATAATGTTACATATATTTTCAACTGTTTGGTAAAGAAAGATACAATAGAAAAGTATTGAGTTTTGTATGAGAGGAAGCCAACAAGAACGAAGGCTGTTGGAAACGTCTAATTCCAGCAGCTCACTCTCTCGTACGGTGAGAATTATTACTTAGCGAAGGATGTTGCTCCTTACTGCATGGCTAATTCGACGACCCAAAAAAATTCTTTATAAAAAAAAAGCGTTACTGAATTCGACTGGACTGTTATGAGGCTTATAAGATGAGAGGGAGACTTTGAAAATTGAATTGAGAAAATTGAGAAACTTGAATGCAGGATTAGATACGAAAAAGGATTTTGTAATGATTACTTAACACCAAGAATAAAAAACAGGAAAATTTCCAATATTCTATCAGGACAGAAAAAAACAAAGAAAGAAACTTGTTGAGAGATTACTCCAATAGAACTATTAAACTATTTAATATAGATGACTTAAAGAACGAACTAGCTGTTAGATGTCGCTTTAGAGGTAGCCGAGTTCTTACAATTTTCTTTTTTTGGGAAATTGGGATTCTTGGTAGGCGTGTTAGGTAACGACGAAAGACGATTAATCTCTTTTAAAAGCGTTAGACGATCATCGCATTCAATTTCGTATTTCTTTATATTTTCTTCATAATTTTTATGCAATTGGGAATAAGAGAGATTTTGGAAAACCGAGTAGACATTGTTAATTTTCTTGTTCCATTACCAATGAAGCTCTTCTTTCATAGTTTTCCCAAAGTTCGTCCAACTATTCAAGAAAATTATCTTATTTCTATTATTAGATCTCTTCTCTTTCTTCCCAACCATTCCTCCATCTCCGCTTTATTCATTCATTCACATTCCTTTTTTCTTTTTTGTTTGACATGGCTTCATAATCATCATAGAATTGACCTCTTTCTGTCTTTTTTTATTTTAAACCTACTTTTGATACTGTAGTTTCTCCTACCTATCGGAAAGTTTCCCTCTGGGTGATTTACATGAAAGAAATCCTTCCCAATAGGCAAAACATTTTAAGCTTCCATTTATTGCTAAGTGGGAGAGTAGCTATTTTTTTTAGTTTAGCTCCATATCTCATAAGGATTTGACCAATCCAGGGTACTCTTTAGAGGAGAACGTAGGAGTAGGAGTAGAAAAAATAACTCGATAGATGGCGCTGCCATTCTTATTTCTTTGGTTGAAGATGGATGGGGTGAATGGTATTTTCATTACTGATGCTTATTTAGTGATTCCGCAAAATTAAGATAGATAATAATAGAACTTTAGAGCAAAGTAAGCCATGATGCAAATTTCAGGGTATGATTTCTAAATTTGCTGACTATGGCAGGCGTGGTTGAAATCCACGAAAATGGCATAAAAGTACCCAGGAATTTTTTTATTGCACTAAACATGCTAATGAGAGTGTAACTAAGTGCATCGGAATGACGTCAGACGTCTCCGAAACACCGCCGTCATTCGATCAAAGCCATGTCTCTGCAAGCACTGATTTCAAAAACCAAGGAATCTCGAAGATCATCCGGTAGCCTCAAATCTCTTCTTCAGAGATCGAATAGCAGCTCTGGAACCCCACCCGGTATGGGAGGCTTAGTTCAGAGTGCCGGATTATTGGTTGGTGTAGCTCAAAGATGGGCGAATATTGAATCGAAACCAGCAACACCCCCACCACCCTGTAGACGAGGGAGTCAGCCTGTGGCAATTTGCATTGAAGAGGACGAAGAAGATGGAATTGTTGTCGAGGACAACGACCCTGGAGAAGGAGATGACGATGTTGCTGCAAGGGTTCAATTGGCCCAGCGCATGTATTCTTATAAATTGGCAAAATCTGGTTAGCTTTGTCTATAGTGTTTTACAATTATTAAAAAGAAATTCTATTAGGCAGTATGGTCAATTTTTATAAGAATTATAAAATAATTTCCTAACGTCAACTTGTTTTTACGTAAACCTAATGAGTTTACGCCCCAGCGCATTGAGGAATGACAGTAAAATAACATTGCACTTGACGTTAGACGGTATTATTGCGCATGACTTTATTCTATTATTCACTTAATTATACGAGAAATGGGGAAAAAATTCTCAACCTGTAATCGAGGTGTATCAACCTTTCTTCTCACCTATTTTTCTTTAGGGGTCGACAATATTTCTAGCCCAATTGTCACTTTTAAACGTTGTTTATATTTCTATTTATCAAAATAGTCTTTGATAAAATTAGGTGAAGCATCCTTTACTCTTGGCTGTGTACTTGTTTCCCTCTCTCTCCCTCTTTCTACGTTGCTCTTTAAGTCACCTTATTTATGTTTATATGTGTAAAATACAGCGCAAAATATCTACAATTATTACAAATTATTTAATTCTAATTAGTTATAAATGTTCGTTTAACTAATTAATTTTATTTACTTAGTAAATTTCTTGGTTAATTGTTTATTTTTAGAACTGTCTTCTAGTAAACGACATTTTTTTCTGTTTCGCAAAAACAAGCGTAAGAGTGCATCATTGATTGAACGCTCTTTATGGAAAGGCCAAAAGTAAGTGACCTTGGATAGTGAATGTAGATCAAAGCTACTTTTAGATCATCATTTTTTTGATGTTTCATATGAGTATAATGATATCGATTAGTTCATTAAAATGATATTACACGAACGTACATTTTCATAGAGATTGCCTTGATATATTTAGTTAAATGCAGCGTTAATGCAGACTTTATCTAGAAGATTAAGATATTTTTCGAATTTATTACTATTTCTGCATAGATAATTTAACCTGTAAAATATTTTTTGCATCTTACCTTTCTGTAGTCTTTCTCTCTCTTCTTTTGTTGTCTCCCCTTTTCCTTTTTCTTTATAATTTAGACGGTTTGATTATTTCTTTGTTTCGAATTAGACTGCCTATTACAGCTATCTGTCTTTGTCAATCAAAATCACTATAATCTTTTTATAATTGCTATCCTGTTTTCCTATTCCTAACCTTCAACGTGAGGTTTCGAATATTAACTGAAAATATAACTTAATATTTGTAATTTAAACTTACTTAGTATACCTAAATTATTAAATAAAAAAAACCACTTTACCCTTCTATTATGCTATATTTATGTTTTTTAATCATATATATATATATATATCAATGATTTTTTAAATACTTCCATCACCTTAGGTATATACGATCACGTGACATTTTTCTAATACCAATAACAATTTAGCGAAAGGTTAAAGACTGTCTGTAAGTCATCTAGAAGTTTAAAGTAAAATATATATATATATATATATATACTATATATATGGAATCAAAAGACTAGTTTTGATTGATTGTTTACGTGTTTTTTATTGCTTTTTTTTGACTTGTTTATATTTTCATTTGGATCTTTTCCCCTTTTCATTTCGCTTTCACCATCAACCAACAATAACCAATTAATAATAATGATAATGTATTAGTACTATACGTAACGTAATAGATCTACCCATATAGACCGTACTATCAGAACGTTTAATAACGTTGTTTGTTCATGAATTTTAATGTTATATATAAGACATTATTCATATGAAAGATTACTCATTTCATTGAAGGAAAGAAGGGAATAGATAGTGTGATTTAAAATAAGAGTAACAAATTGTTGGTTTATTTTATATTTGCATATTTTATTCCTTAATAAGAGTTTAATGGTCAAAGTATTTTTCAATCATAATTTGTCATTTTTAATTAAACGTTTTCATCTTAGTATTTACATTATTAAAATTTCCTTAGATCTTGATAAATTATGAAGTGGTTAACGTGAAAATGTAGATAAAAGAATATAAAGAGGAGAACGTTTATAAAGGGAGACAGTCACATAGACACATAGAGAGAGAGAGAGAGAGAGAGGGAGAGGAAAAGAGGAAATAAATGAACATCTCTTAAAAAATAATAACAAAAGGGAAAAACAAAAATCAACAGTTATATTAACTTTTTTTCTATTCGCAATCTAATGTTCGAAAAGGGAAAAAAGAAATTTATACAATTTGTAATTATCAAACCGCTAAAACTATTGTATTTAATTATTTAAAGAGGTCGAATAGTGAATATTAGTTGGATTCATCTTGCTCTTTTCTCCACTATATCGTATCAAAAATTTATTATTGAACTTTTATGCTGTTACTTTAACTTTTTCATCAACTTTTAACTAGTTTTCAACATATACTGTATACGGAATTGGTAAGAAAGGGATAGTACTACTAAGAATTGAAATTTTGACTAGGTGACATTTTGAACTGTTTAAAGTGTAAAAAAAAGGGAAAACATATGGAAACCTTGAACTGGCTTTTCGCTTAAAAGAAAAAGATTTAATTTTATTTCTTACTCTTTCTTTCAACTAGAGAGAAATTAATTAAAAGTATTAATCGTCAAAAAGAAATAATATCTATTTCCTCTCTAAATTTGCACTTGAGGTTGAAGGAATCTGCACTTAATCAGCTTTTCCTTTTTTTTTTTTTTACCCTTGCCTTTAACAAGATAGTAACGTCAACAATTGAGACTCCATGCTTAAAATAACATACGATAGATGTCGCTAACATTTTCATGAATACTTAACATTTTATTCGATAATGTAAAAATTATGTTGCTCTTTAGATAGGACATTTTACTGGTGTGAGCTGAGAAATATTGCAATGATAAGAAACCTTTCTGTATGAAAATATTTGAAGGATTTCATTTTCTCTTCAATCCGCTAGACGTCACCTTATTTTTTTTCAACAGGAAAAATCTTCGACCGTCGTCAGGAACGCTTCAGTTCTGGAAGTGGCGACAGCGAATGCTACTCCTACTCGGACGTCATGTCCATGCCGGTTCCCGAAGAACCGATTTCGAGAAGCACGGAAGATCTCTTACTACCACATAGGCCAGAAAGAGTCTCCTCCGCTAATCCCCTATTAGGAGAAAATAAGGGGTTGGATAAATCTCAACTTGCACTTCCTGGTTCCAGAGCTCAATCGAGGGACTCCCTATTTTGCGGAGCTAGAGTTACACAAGTTACAAAATTTCCTTGGCAAAGGGATATCGGAGTGCAATGTGAACTTTTAAAAGGTGAGTTAGCTAGAAAAACCACAAGAAATTATTTCTATTTGATATTATTATCCCAATGTAAATGATCGTATATAATATGTTTAGCGTTACCTTTAGTTGATGCACTCTTTAAAATGCCATAAAATTATATGCTATTAAGAGCTGAGCAGACAACCAACCATAAAGTTTGTTGATAGTTTAAAGAATCCTTACAAAGTGAAGAGGATGTGATAAAATAACTTTTTCGGTGGTTGATTTACTCTTCAAAATACAATAGACAAACTAGTTTTTTTTTCTATAGCTGAATCAGCAAATTTTCCCTATCTATTCAGTAGCCTTCCTTTCTTTCAAATTCTCTTCCCTCCTTTATTTACTTGTCCTCGCTCTAAGGCAAAATCATCTCTGAACATGACTTTGTACTAGAACAGTCTTGAAAATGGGTAATTTTCATTATTTCATTTCTTATTCTTCACATTTTTTCTATACTTTCGAGCGATATTATTAAATAATGGAAGAAGAGAAAGAATGAGTGGGCGGGAAGGAGGGGGGGGGGAGGCAAGATATGGAGGAAAAACATATACATATATATGTGTAATGATTTCTGAGAAACATCAGTTCTATCATCTTTTTAAGCAAAAGAGCTAAAGGAGAAAAGTAACTTTTGCCTTTGAGCCTGGAACAGGACATAAAGACTAAAATGTTATAGCCAAAGTGCTAAGAAATATAGACAAAATTAACTTGTACTTCCTTCCGCTATGTTAAGTATAAGATTTAAGAAAATAAAAGCAACCTGTATATATACTATATATATAAATATATGTATATATATTTAAAGGATGATAAATCTCTTTAATCAATGATATGTCAGATTTATAAATAATGAAAATGATAAAATTGTCATTTTAATGTAAATAAATAATGATTAACGGATCTTATTTTAACTTATTAAAATAATTTAAATTTATTCATCCTAAACTTTTTTTCTTTCATCTCTTTTTTTCTTCTCTCTATCTTCTATATTCTTCCCCTCCTTCCTCTTCTTTTTATATATAAATTGCCTTTCTTTATAAATTATAGAAGCTGATAGAATTCTTATTTAAAAAATAAAGACGTAGTAAAGAAAATCATGTTAAGGTTACGAGGGTAGAAAATCTTACTTTTCCAATATTTTTTGTACGGTATAAAAGACAAAGTAGACTATCTCATTTCTTTTATTCTTTTATGTTCTATGTTTTTTTTTTTAAATCAACATTAATTTGTTTATCTAGAGGGGAAAAAAAAATCACATATACGCACTATGGTAAATGAATGAGTAATGTCTCCACAGTCATTGACAAGTTAAAGTAAACTAATTAAATGGAATCATCGTTTTCACTATGGCCTAATTTTTTTCTTTTTTCATTTTCCCTTACCTTTTTAATGCGAAAAGACGTTTTTCTTTTTTCTTTCCCTCCCTCAAACAAGAACAATTTTTAAGTTATTTTTTTTTTCTTTCTTTTTTTTTTTTAATAAAAAAAACTTTCTTCTTATTAAAGAAAAACTTTAATTTTTTTCTTTATTCTTTTGAAAACTTGGCATATTTTGCAGAACTTGGTCTTTCGTTAGGTAAATATTAAGTTTTTAGTGGTAGTTTTTACCCAAGTTTATAGACTCCGTATAATTTCATCTACATTTAATTTAAAACATTCTATACTATTGCACGTAAATTAATATTTAAGGAGGAATGAGAAGAGAAGATAGACAGAAAGATAGATTGGAGAGAGTTACAGATAATTAGCTATACTAATATAATACATAAATTAAACAAAATCTGTGCCAACTTATTATTTATGATTATACTAAATCGGATGGAGGGAAGGAGGAGGAAGAGGGTGAGAGGTTTTAAGCATAAAGCAGATAAGCAAAAAAAAAAAATCAAGCGTTGTCATGATAGTCTTGGCTATATGAATATGGCCTTAATATGGGACAAAACTACGTAAAAGAAAGAGACTATAGCGAATTAAATATAGATTAAATTATTACGCAATAACCCAGTACTAATACAAATAAATATAATAATTAAGAGTTAATAGTATAAACAAAGAAGAGTTAAAAGTATTTCCTTCTAGTTGACAAAGTTGATTTTTTCCCCCTGCCATTCTTTTCATATTGCTATTTAGGATGTTTATCTACTTTTCATATTTATTTGTTCAACAATGTGACCACAGTTAAAGGTCAACAGCACCTCTTGAGCAAAAGAGTAAATAACCTGTATTAACTGGAATAAAGCTCCTCCTTAAGCTACATTAGCTTCCTTTTTTATTGCACTTTTAAATAAATGATTGTCTTTCCTCTCCAGCTTTCGATAGGCCGTAGTTTAATAGTTATATTCTCTTCATACTTTAGCTGATCCTCCCAAGATACCTCCACCGCCACCGTCTCCTAGGCAAATAAGAAGTCTAGCAACGCATAGAAAATCTATTAGTAAAACACTTTCTTTGGATTTGAAAAGTCCCGGAACTACCGTTGCTCATACGGCACCAGCGGGAACGTTTCATTCCACATCTGAACTATCGATTCCAGTACCAATTAGTAGGCATAGACCATCACCATCACTAGGAGCTATAGATGATCCAACCGGAAGTGATTTGGAAGTTGCGGCGCTATTCGAAAATGGACAAACTCAAGAGCCGAATGAAGATGAAGTAAAGTAAGTACTTGATTATTTTTATCATTACAATTTTCCTTACACAAGAGGAAATTGATTAAATTTAATTAGCAAACATTTGGTTACATCACATTCAGTCTTGCTACACTACACAGAACAGCCAAAAAGTGCCCTTAATAACTATTCCCTAATACTTTAAAGCTTTCGTGAACGTTTGATAAGATGTACAGTTGTTGTGCGTTAGTTAGTTTGAGTGGGAGAAAGAAAGAAAGAGAGGGAGAGAGAGGGAAAAGGGAGAAAACAAAACAAACTAGATGTTAATAAGTCATTTCTATACACACGTAGTCACAGCTATATCTCTACTGACCAGCACAAAAGACAAAGATAAGATGTTGAATTAATGCGTAAGAGGTAAAATATCTTACACGGCATCACGAGTAAAAGAAAGAGGAAACCGTAAAAGTGATCTTTTTATTTTCTTTTATTCCTTCGACGTTGTTCCTTTCTTGTTGAGTGTAAAACTCTTCAAATAAGACTATAAACTGATAACGAATTAAAGTAGTTAATCAACTTAAAATTCGGTTTTATGTAGAGACTTAAAATACAAATAAGCTTGACGCATAGTTAATAAAGAACAGACAGGATAATGTAGTATTCTTCACCCTTTTATCTGTTATAGGCCTTTTTCATAGAGAAATTTAAAAATCGTATAAATCAATCAAAAACAAAACAATGTTGATAATTTAATAAAAACAACTTGTTTAGTTTATATTCGAATTCGTAAGTTAAACGTTAACGGCCGTCAAAGTCCCACCTAACAAGTTACTAGGGGCAAAATACGTGATTGAATGTCTAAAGCCTAATTGGATGTACCTAATCAGCTCTTGGGGAGTTTAGGTATCATGTAGTAGTTATTTATCCAGTGCAGGAAATATCTAGTTTATAAATGAATTTCGTGTCTCATTTGAAATGATTTTTTGATTGTTTAATAGTTTGACTAAATTGGATTAATATAAATTATTTATTACTAATTGCCATTAGAAGCGTTAATCCATTTCAAAAGAAACAAAATGTATCAATGAGAATAAGATAAGCAAGCATCAGATAATCTTTTTCCGGGAGAGAATTAATCTAATGAAATTGAAGTATAAAATAATGAAAGTAGCTATGAGAGGGAAACGGCGAGTAGACAAAATGAAAAGAAGAGGGAGAATGCTAAATGAGAAGAGATTACGCCTGCTAAATTAAAATTTCCTGCAATTAAACTAGTGTTAAGATTAGATTGATTGAATGAGTTTTAATCCAAATTCAATTTACATCTTAGCAATATTTATATATATAAAATACACGCCCGTCATTTTCTATAGTAAATACATATAGTATATATAAACCATAGAGTATGAAGATTGTATACCTACAAATACAATCTTAATATAATTTGTAGCTATTATCTGAGGATAATCTGGAGATTCGTCTCATCAACTTTTCCTTATTCTTTTCTATTTATTAATTTATTTTTCTTCTTTTCTTTCTTTTAATATAAAGGAAAAAAATAGGTTAATTTGTTTGTAGGCTAAAGGAAATTACCTAAATTCTCTAATTACTTACTTATCTATTTATTTATCAAAAAAAAAAGAAAACAAAGAAAATACAGCAAAATGTTCTAAAATTAATTATTTTTCTCTTTCGTTTTGTCTTCTCTTTTCCTAATTCCTTGTGCAGATACCCTTGTATATTAAAGGTGAACTATGCTAACCTAGGCCTACTTTGCTTTCTGAAGCATGCAATAGATATTGATATAGCATAAAAGAAAATTACTGTGCTAGAATAAGATCTAATAATGCTGTTAAATCGTTTATATACAGTATATATATATATATATTCGAATTTCTTATTATATTTGAAGGGAAATATATTATTTACTCAGATTTTTAGGTAATAAAAGTCTCTGTTATTTTTTCCTTTTCCTTGTTTCTTTCTTTTATCAGAATTAATTAGAAAAAAAAGTCAAATTTAACAATGATATAACCATATTAGTTGTCCTTGACTTAAGAGATTTAAGATTTAACAAATAATGATTTTCAGGTCAAAACATGGCAGATTTTTAAGATAATTTGCATATCCTTGGGGAATTAATTAATTACCTCTAATACAGTAGCTTTCTTGATGAATGTCGTGTTATTAATCAATTACAGATGTTATTCTTAATTCAAAATTGTTATTCCATTAGACGTGCTTTTTTTTGTCGTATAAAAAAGAATAAGACGAGAGATGAAAAGGAAGAGGTTAGAAAGAGAACTAATACAGAGTATATACATCTTATATGTATATACAGTATAGATGTATTAGTATAAATGCATAAACGTACATATGTTAAATGGAATTAACTAAAGCTTTGAAATATTAAGAAGAGTTCTTCTCTTAATGAGAAGGTATCTTTCTACAATATGAAATATTTCTATTAAATGCCAATTTACGAATTCGTAAAGGTTTAATGGATTTTACTTCTATTCTTATATAATAAAAGAATTTATTCGTAGGTTAGATGTTTTTGTAGAGTATTAAATATCCTATAATTACTAATAAATGATAAAGAGAAATGAGAGATTTTTAAGGGGAAGTCAGCTTCGGAATAAAAAAGATGAAAATATGTTTCAAGCTTTAGGATTCTCTCTTTACAATGTTTACACAAGCGAAGACAAAAGTGGAATGTAATTTTTATTGGTATTTTACTCTCCTATACACTTTCTTTTTATAGCCTGTTGACTCTTATGGATACTTGAATTTTTTTTTCCCCGTTAGATCCCCACTTGATTCTCTTCTGCTCTTTTTAGTTATTTCAACAAAAGCTCATTAATTATTTACATACAGAGTAACGTACTGATATATAATTGTATATATTCTAGATGTAGGAAAACAACTTGATATATATTAAAACGTTCAAGAGATAAACATTTTGCTTTATTATGAAAATTGAATTGGAAAGTGGAAACATTAGGGGAAAAATTGTCGGAGAGAAACGTTATGACTCCTGATATAATTTTATGATCGTGTCGATTTATTCCTAGTTTATTCACACAATGCCGACTTGTGCGTGACTCACAGTCGCTAATTGTGCTTGACATATGACATATACACACGTCTTAATAAAGCCGTTCTGATATTTATGTAAAAATGTATTAACGACTGTACTGCTGCCTATCGGCCAAATTTAAGATTAATATTCTCTCCCTCTCCATTCTCCCTTTACGTTTCCTTTCTATATCCATAATGCAGCAAAAATAAAATGAAGTTTGTTTGACATAACCGCTAAAATGCTGCGCTTTTGGCTATGAATAAAAAAAAAAACATTTGCCTACTTAACGCGCCACCTAGCGCTACACTTTATTAGTTTCTCTAATTGCCTTTTGAAAGATTGCTGCACTTGATGTTGCACAAACGTTATTGCTGCTTTTTCTACAAATACAAAATATTGAGTAGGATAAAAAATAGAAAAAAGAGAAAATACACATTAAACCTTTATTATTCGATATCAAACGTTGTTTAAATATTATTATTTAAATGATAAATATTAAATTATTACAAGAGAAATTTCTAATTAATCTATATATTCAACGAAATTCAATAGTGTTGTCTCTCTTTTCTTGTTGTTGTTATTATTGTATTTGTAGTTTTCTCTATTTATTAAAATTAGACTTTTCTGATTCATGGAATCTCTCTGTAAATGAAGAAAAAACTATATAAAGTATAAATCTATAATGTATACGTGATTCTGCATGAACTATGTGCTTATTAATTAATCCCTATAATGATTCTTAACTTTTAATGCGATGGCTTTTTCTCTTTTCTTTTTAAATTGCTCAATCTCTCAACTAGTTCAAACTTTTCTTAACAAACTCGAAAACATGCTTTAGACGACATTTCTAGGAGTGAAGAGGAGTGGAAGAAGGGGGAGAAAGAGGAGAAGGGGAAGCTCAACATTTATGCTCTTGGTATTAATTGTAGATTACTTTCAAAACCTAAGAGCGAAATAAAATTTTAGCTTTCACCTATGTCATAGGGCTGTGTCATCTGTCTTCCTCTTTAGTTTATCAACTTGCTCCTCTTCTCTCTCTCTCTTTCTCTTCCTTTTTCCCATTAGAATACATTTACTATACATTTGTCTTATACAACTTAGCATGAATAAGTATATTAAAAGAAAAATTTAATTGCTATTTGAATAAGAGAATATTTTATGGAAAGGAAAAATCGAAAAGAATAAATATTTTATAGGAGAAAGAATAGAATATTAAGATAGGAGGAAAACGAATAAGATTCATTAAAGAAACTAAGGACTATTTATATTTTAACTACAATACTTTGTCATTGTAAAAATGTTGCTCCTAACAATAACCTCTATCTAAGTTTGGCTTCTCGAAGTGTTCCATGAACTATACTTAAATACACGTCTGCTGCTGAGAACGCAACATTTACGTAGGAGAAACTTTCTTTTGAAGCAGAACTACAAATGAAAATAGGAAAAGGGGAAAAAACAGTAAATTTGAGTATGGGAGAATAATGAAAGAACAAGAATATATATATATATATATATATATATATATATAGTATTTATATATGTATTATTCATACAAAAATGTAATTAGGACCACTTTCTCATTGAAAAAAATCTTATCCTTGTACTTAATCAATATAAATACCTAGAAAAAATATTTACAGTCGTCTCGTATTTTGTCCCTCTTATTAAGTATCGACTGTAAACTTTTGAGAATAGAGTATACTATTTATCAAGCATAAAAATAGAAAAAGCTTCACTCTTTTCTCTCTATCATTCCTCCTCTTTTTCCTACTCATTCTCTCTCTTTTTCTCTCTCTACTACTACTACTACTTTCACACTCTATATTCACTTAATCTCATTGGAACGTTGTTAACAGAATACTTGAACAAAAGCTAATCGTACTCTCTCTCTCTCTCTCTCTCTCTCTCTCTCTGTCTCTTTCTTTCTTTTAGGCACATTAGACAGACAAAATAATTGTAGATGGCGTTAAATTATTTTCACCTTATCCATATTGCGAAAGAAAGAAAAATAAGTTCTACTGCAAAACATCAAATAATACTATGACATAATACTGTGTTAACCAACTTCAAAGAATAAGAACACAGCGTGATTAAAGCGGGC